TATTTTATTTTATTTTATTTTATTTTATTTTATTTTATTTTATTTTATTTTATTTTATTTTATTTTATTTTATTTTATTTTATTTTATTTTATTTTATCTTATTTGATTTTATTTTATTGTATTTTATTTATTGAAAAAGGTAAAAGTCGAGATGTGAGGGCAATCGGTTCTATATCCTTATGTTCTGGTACAACATTGACAAGTCCCTAACCCCAGCCTCAACCAACCGCCAATATGAAGGTAATTTACCTTAGGTACCGCAAGGTATTGCTTTAAGGTAAGTCAAGGTACCGTACCTAGGTAGCTCGTAAGCCACCGGACAGGGCGAGCTGTCGATACTCCAAGCAGAGGTCTAGCCCATGAGACGATTCATTCCTTGTCCTTGGCTGACAACAGGTCGGATGAGCGACACCAGACCAAGCAAGCATACACAATCTTAATAGGCACTGCAACAAGCCTAGAGATCTAAGCTACAACATATATACCTACGCCCCGTCACCCCCTCGTTACAGCATCAACAGGTCCCCATTGCTCCCCGCCCCCTGTGTCGGCTGCACAACCTGCTGCGCTGAATTCTGGTTCACCACATACCCCGTCTCGTACCCGCTGTTCCCCCCGAACACATCCCCCTGGTCTATCCGCATAGCCGCCATCTGCTGCGTCCCGATGGTCGAAAAGTAGGCATCCGCCTCGCTTACCGCCTGCGCTATGCTCCCGTCCCCGTTCGCTCCGTTCGCTCCGTTCACCGCCCCGACGCCGACGCCGAGCCCCACCCCAGCCGCCGTCGCCGCATTAGCCGCCCGATTCCTGGCGTCAATGTCCGCAGGCTGACCTCCCCTCCCCAACTGGCTGAGGCTCTTCTGCCCGTCCAACCCAGGGGTGGTGGTCGGAGCGTCGTGCTGCCGCTGCAGCGCCGGCGAGTCGAGCAGCCGTCGCGGCCGCGCCGACCGGAACACCGTCTGCACGGGCTTCAGGTACACCGTGGCCAGCGTGCCGACGTTGAGGCACATCTCCTCCAGCGTCTGCGCGTCCAGCCGCTCCGACTCGGCCGTGATGGCCGGCTTCTCGCTCATCACGATCTGCTTGGCCGCGTCCATGTCCGTCGACAGGAGCCGCCAGTACATGTACGCCCGGTCCCGCAGGTCCGGGTTGTCCGTCTCCTCCGTCGCCCACTTGAGCACCCGCGGCACCAGCTCCTGCCCCTTCGTCGGCCGCTGGATGAACAGCTTCACCGTCGCCGTCAGGAGCGCCAGCTGCACCTCCACCGGCTCCTCCGCGAACGAGTACAGAAAGTCCTCCAGGAGCGCGTCGCTGTTCTCGATCCGGTCGGCGTACTGCCCGATCACCCAGACCATGGCCGCCTTGGCCTCCGGCTCGTCCAGGGAGTCCAGGTGCTCGCACAGCGTGCCGATGATGGATTCGTACTGGTTCGGGTACTTGCGGAAGATGTTCCGGATCACCACCGTCGCCTCCTGCACGATGTACGTCACCTTGGTGGCCACGAGCTCCAGCAGGAGGTCGATGCAGTGCTGGGCCGCCGGCTCGATCTTGATGGCCAGCTTCCCGATGGCGCGCACCGCCTTGCGCACAAAGTGCACGTCAATCTCCGTCGCGTACTCCCGCAGCTCGGTCAGCACTTCGTTGATGTTCTTCTCCGTCGCCAGCATGAAGATGAGCTCGAGCTTGGTCACCTTGACGTAGATGGGGTCGTTGTACTTGCAGAAGAACACCCGGATGTCGTTGCGGAGCACCTCGGGCCGTCTCTGCAGGATGAGCAGCGCGTTACGCAGGGCGAGGTACTGGACTTCGGGCCCCTTGGCCAGCAGCGTGACCAGCGGCGGCGACAGCTTCTTGCACATGGCTGTGATTTGCTTCTGATCGGCAATGTAGTTCAGAAGATAGAGGATCACTCGGATGCAGGTGAGCACGACCGCCGAGTTGGAGTGCGATAGCCGGGGTGCGATGCGCTCCGCCAAGAGCAACGCTTCCCCCGACTCTTGGGGTACGTAGGACATGAGCGCCTCTAGGATGTACGTCTGACCCCACCTGTGCGTAGGTAATGAATGTCAGCCAAATAATGCCCGGGGGAAAAGAAGGGAAAAAGGGAGAGAAAAAAAAGGGAAAAAGAAAAAAACTCGAACGGAATTGTATACATACTCTGAGCAATCCGGCAGAATCGCCACCATCTTGGAAGCGTTGCCGTAATCAATGGTGAGCTTGATCGAGTCGCTCCTCTCCCAGATGTCCATCAATGCAGCCAAGGCGCTGGCCACAACCGTGGGGTTGTCGTCTCGCAGCAGCGTATTGAGGCGGTCGATGAGGTCGGAAGCCTCCACCATTCGCTTATCGTGGTCGTAAAGCTTCGCGACGCAGTATGCCGCCGTCTTTCGCACGTACGGGTCGGGATCTCTCAACATGCGCTTCACTATGGGAACCGTGGCCTCCACATACTCGCGGACGTGGATGTAGGAAATGGTTCGCAATGCCAAGGCGCGCACTAGAGGATTCGGGTCTTCCATGTCCTGTACCACTTTTCCGTCAGTTTCATTGCGCCGCGATGCCGTACCGCCACGCCAAATGGATAATAGGAAAAGGGGGGGGGAGGGGGGCGATGATTCTCGAAGACCCATACCCGTTCTAACACCGGTATCGCTTGCAGGGAAATCTCGGGCCGCATCCTAGCGTAGTTGACGAGAAACAGGAAGCACCTGGGCAACGGTATCGGATCAGCTTGCTAGCTCAAGACATCAGAGAGAGAAGCCATGCAACGACGTACATCTTCTTGATCTCCAAGCTCTGGATGTGCATGCAGCCGATGATGTCCGGAAACAAAGCAATCATGTCGTTATTACTCATCGTCATATTCGCCACGATCTTCTTGAGGGCAATCTTCTTGCACTGATTGTTCTTGTCTTTCCTGCCTCCGCCATTGAGTTCAAGCCGCAGCTCCGCGACCTTGCCCTTGGAGGATGTTAGTTCAGTCGACAGAGTCGGTGGGGGCATGTATGCCATAAACATGGTGGGCAATGTTCAATGCTGTTGCCGTGCAGAGATCAACAGTTGAAGATATGAAAGACAAGAGGCAGAGACGGCGTCCGCAAGAAACAAGAAGACAAAGTCTTGAAAAATCATCGCAAGGAACACCACCCGAGACGGGTATCGCGAGAACGCAGCGTCACAGGTATCTCTGATGGTTGGATTTGTGAAGCATAATGTATATAAAAAAGGCAGCAAGAAATGGGAAGCGTGATTGTGCGCTATCTCGGAACGAAGGGTATGACACGGTCCGCGAGGTTGTCGCACAGAGAGGTAGGTAGGTAATGAGGCGTTGCATGCGGTAAGAGCGGGGGAGGGGACGAGGACGAGATAAGACGAGACGAGACGACCGAGGGGAGAGAATAATCGCAAGGGAGCGGGGGGAGATAGAATGAAGCTTACCCTGGCAAATAATTTGGAGTCACCTCCACCCTGGGCACTCGACATGACGGGCAGATAGATCTAGGCCACAACCGTCTGACGTCTATAGCCAAGCGTTGCGTTGGGAGTTGAGAGAAAAGAAAGAGTCTTGGGTCGACGAATAATAAGCCGAGCACAAGACGTGAAGACGACTGTTGGGATCCCTGAGAAGCCTTGTCTCTCCTCTATGCCCTATTTCCTTCTCTTACTCCTCCTCACTTCCTCTTGCCAGGGTGGTACAGTCCCGGGTGGGGGGGGGGGGGGGGGAGTGATCGCGTGGGAAGCAAGACACCAGTACCAACGACTTTGCGGCGGGACCCACGATGGCGCAGACAACCGACACCCGGATGCAACCCCCTCCGCCCAAGTTGGCGTGACCCTTTTTTGCGGAGGTCTCTTGTTATGCTTCTGTAACGAACAAAAAGGGTGCGGTGGCCGAGTCACATGCGCAAGGTAAAGGGACGTTGGTGAGGAGGGTGAGGAGGTCGGCCAATGGTCGCAGTCTTTGGGAGTGGTGGCGTTGGAAGATGGATGAGCTCGACTGAGCTGGGATGAGGTTGGTTATAACTAGGGTATCGGCGTTTTGTTCGAGAGTCGTTGTGGTTGCGGAAGCGAGATGCAATTGTGTCCGTATCGTTCCGCCGGGGAGGATCGGATTCTAGGTCGGCCGGTCGTACGTCTTTCGGTGCATTCCAACCGTCAGGAATGCGCATCGGGCGTCGGCTGGAGATGGAGAATAGGGTAGGTAATAATAGGGGTCGGATACCGTAACGAGCAAGTGGACAATATACCGATATCTGCTCCACCTCCACCCTACCAAACCTTATCGATAACCACATTCCGCTTAGTAAGCTGCTAACAAGTAATGCAAGGAGAGCTCGTCTTAGTACCGCGTACAGTCAAGTCGAACATGGTCGTCATCGACCACGACAACATCATCCTCTCTAAAGCCAACGCGCGGAAATTCCGCAACAAATCACCATGGCATCCGCCAAAGAAGACGTGCCCAGCTGGGTCGCCCAGCTCAATTCCCCCCCTCCAGCAAAGGCCAAAATTCCCGGCATCCCCGACCCCTTAGGCTACCCATTGTCGCAAGCCGCGACGGGCAAAGTCAGTCAAGTCATCCTCGCCCTCGTACTCGCCATATCAGCGTCCGCCACATCGTGACATTAGTCCTAGCTTACTGACAAATTATCCGCCCCCCCCTCCTCAAGCAGAAACAGAAAGACGTCGTCAAGCACCAGCCCCGCAAGCAACCAACACCGGAAGAGATGGACACACTGAAGCTCAAGAAGGCCTGGGAAACGGCCCTCGCCCCGGCTAAGAGCCTCCCCATGACCGCCTTCATGATGTACATGTCCGGCAACTCGCTCCAGATCTTCAGCATCATGATGGTCTTCATGGCCTTCAAGAACCCGCTCATCGGCCTCCTCAACGTCAACGCCGCCTTTGCCCGCTTCGAGTCCGAGTCGAACCGCGACAAGATGCTGCAGGTCAAGATGGCCTACGTCGCCATGCAGATCCTCGCCCTCGCCGTGGGCGTGTGGAAGATTAATGCGATGGGGTTATTGCCGTACGTTTCGTCTTTTTGTCTCCTCGTTCTCCCGTCGTCACAGAGACATGCTGATATCCTCTCCTTCCAGAACCACTCGGTCGGATTGGCTGGCTTGGGAACATCTGAGGGAACCTCTGGAGCGAGCTGTCCCGGCTTTGTGAAGTTGTATATCGCATGCAAACATAACATAATGGACTACGTTCCACACCTGCTTTGGAAGTCGTGGCATCATATGAGATGATCGAAAGACATTCGTCTGCGCTGCAGACATTGCCTGGTGGCGCTCTTTCTTCACCCTCGCCCGCAGTGCATCTTCCACGTAATCTCCCCTCGCTGCTCAGTGGCGCATCCCGAACAGCTTCGTCACGAGCTACTATGGACGGAGTGAGAGTATTGCTGGGTCTTTCCAGAGCATTTGGTAAAATCAACCAATGGAGACAATCCACTACCGGACGAAACATGAATGACAAGTGCAAACAAACTCTGGAGTGGAAGGCAGAGAGACGAGGCCTTGAGAAGTGTCCAGAAGTGATCCTGTGGATGTTTTTGAAACCCATGTTACTCTTCGCCGATGCCACAAGAACTCGGGACATGTGTCGCGCAATGCACTCTATTAGTCCTCTCACCAACACAGGAGAGGCTGCCCTAGGAGGGCAGGTGAAAAACGAGGACAAAGGGAATTGCACAGGGGGTAAGAGGAAACCCACACCCATAGCTTAGATTACTTAGTAGGCTTCCCTTCCTATGGCAAATAGGAGAAGAACTGTGCGGATATCCAGGACCAGTCTATGTCGTATGTCCGCAAACTCGGTGCGCTTGCCCATCCCCTGCAACAGGATTCACCATCGTCAGCTCGCAATATAGCACGGCGAACCAAGGTGCTGTCCTGGGCCAAGGGACCGACAGAACACACCGACAGAAGGACAGGAACAAGCCATGCAATGAAAAGTACCTCTGCGTCCAGAAAACCAACAGTAATGTATTTATCGTGGCCGTTGTCTCTCGCCACTTTTCCTACGTCAAGCAATCAAAAAGGTGGCCGAAACAAGCCATTCCATCATCGTGGTAAAACGTGGTATCTCAACCGCACACAGCCTTCAGTAACCCATCATTTCCCGTAGCGAGCGAATGTCCTTTCGCGCAGCGCAATACACAACATAAAACGAGCTCGACAGGACGCATCTGCAGGGATATCCTTCGTCCCGCGCCGAGACCACAGGAGAGTCCACCTTCTTTTCGTCATCACAAAGAGACTTATCATCCATTACACCTTCTTGCTGATGTCCGGGGATGCAGCCGCTTCGTCGGACCTGCCCTCGACAACAGTGGTCTCGCCAGCGGCCGCCATGTCGTCTTGTTGGAAGGCCTTCTCGACGGCTTGGTTGGCGGCCTCGGCCTTGTCCCTGTCCTCGAAAACTGTTTGTCCATGGTCATTAGCAAGCCAAGTCCGGATAAAAATGGATGGTAAAGATAAAAAAGAAAAAGGGGAAGGGGTGTTGTAAATAAACATACGGAATGCCAATTCTTCGAGAGTTCGGCCTGCAGTCTCGGGGAAGAAAAAGTAGACGAAGACGATCTCGAAGACTATGGAGGGTCATGTTAGCCAGGGAGAACGGGTAGAACCGTACCAACAAGACACGGCGGTCAGGACTGCGGAGACACGTACGAAGCCAGCAGCAGTAGAAGATGAGGTAGCGCCAGCCAGAGTTATCAAGACCGATAGGGTTGACGAAAGTGGTGAAGAAGTTGGCAATACGGCCAAACAGCTGGAAGAAGGAAATACCACGAGAACGGAGGGCATACGGCCAGAGTTCGACGAGGTACGTGTAGGTCAGCGCGTTGTAGCCCATGTTGTAGGCGGGCGAGTAGGCAAAGATCCAGAAGATGGTTGCGATGGAGGCGCCCTGGTTGACGTAGTCGTTCTCTACAGCGTGCATAGCGCGCTCCATAGAGACGGTCCATGCAACGTAGACTATTCCCAGACGCCCAACAAGTCAGTCAAATGTTTCACTGCCGGGCTGGGGACAACAGTGCACTGGTGGATGGCAGGACAGCACTCACCGGTAAACAGAGAGATGGTGCAGGTCATGTACATGACACGGCGACGGAAGCGACGGACAAGCATGGCGACAGTGAAACCGCATATCAAGCTCCAGCAGGCGATGCTAAGGTTGATGCGGTGAATGTCCTGGCTATTGGTCATGCCGATCATGCGGAGAATGTTGCCCAGGTAGTAGGAGATGAGAGTGTTGCCGGACCACTGGGTGAACCTGTTGCATGAGAAAAAGAGGGCGTCGTTAGAAACCTCGATCTGCCAAGACGGCTTTTCTTTTTTTTTAAGAGGGGAACCGAAGTAAAAACTTACAGGCCAAGGAACATGGAGACAAGAGCTCGGCGGCGGTTGCCCTTGGTGGCGAGAATGTCCGACCAGCTCATACTCGCAGCCTCCAATTCAAGCTTGAGGGTGGTCTGAATTTGAGCAAACTCGGCCCTGACGAACTCCTCTCCACGGGTACCCTCGCTGTGATAGGTTGCGAAGATGGCATGAGCCTCCTCGCCGCGGTCTTTGGAGATCAGCCATCGGGGGCTCTCGGGGAGGAAGCTGGTTGCGCACAGACAAGTTAGCGTGAAGACACGACACAGTTTTCGCCGAGAGAAGAACATGGGGTCCGGGGCAACACGCACAAGACGAAGAAGATCTGGAGAAGAGATGGGCAGATCTGCAGCCACGAGGGGATGCGCCACGCCATGTTGCTCTGGATGGTGTTGGTGCCGAAAGTGATACCGGCAGCCATGATCTGTCCAACGAAGTAGGCGACATTGAAAAGCGAGGTCAAAATGGGGCGCTCCTTCGGATAGCTAAGCTCGCCGATGAGGGAAGAACCGGAGACGATACAGGTCGGAATGCCGAATCCAAGAATCATGCGGGCAACGATGTACATGCCGACTATGACAGATCAGATACGACGTCAGGCACAGCTGGGGAACGGGCACGGGCACGGGCACTCACCATGAGCAGAGAATCCCTGGATAATAGCACCAATGACCATGACGATGCTACCTCCGAAGATGGACCACCGACGGCCAAAGCGGTCGTTTACCCAGGGAATGAAGGGAAGAGACAGGCAGGAACCCAAGGGGTAGGCGGCAGCGATGATGCCCCTCAAGGCACCCTCAGGATTACCCATGTCTATACGACAGAAACCACAGTTGTCAGCGAGCTGTTATCCCGATTCGTCTGAGGACGGACGGCTTGGGGTTGCGGATGAAGAGGGCAACTTGCAGTCATCCCAGTGTTCGACCATCTGGAGGGCGTTGATCATTTGCGAGTCGAAACCGGAGGTCAACTCGATACCCATACAGGTGGGGAACAGCATGAAGTAGAGGTATCGCAGGTTCGGCTTCTTGTACCATGGGATGGTATCCTCCTCGGAAATACGGGTGAGGACGGGGTCGGCGGCACCCGTTTCGGCCTTACGGGCAAAGGAATTGCCCTGACCGCCGATGGCGGCCTCGGGAGGTGCGCGAGGCATCGTTGACTTCGAGGGGAGGGGGGGCGCGCCGGCCGTGGAAGTATGGTTTCAGTTGGTGTTGCTCGTTAGAGAACCTCCTTCCGGGGTTATTGACACGCTGATATGTCGAACCGGGAAGGGATTTCCTCTCCTTAGTCCGATTGATCTCCTCGATGAAAAGGGAAGCGTCAACCTCTCGATGAGAAACACACGGTGAGCTTTGAGAGGTCGGTGGAAACACCGGGACTCTTATATGCGGGCCATGAAGCTCTCCCCTTGTCCCCTTGTCCCCCTTGGCCCCTTGTCAGTCCCCTTCACCCTCCCCATAGAGGGTCCATCCGCCCAGATGCTCATTGCCCATGCAGGAGCACGAGCACAACGTTGCCCAACTTACAAAGCGCAGACATATAGATGCGGCTTGTCGGGAGGACGGGAGTGTTTACCTTGGCATGGCAACCCCCGTGGGAGAAGGCCCGAAGGCTGGAGGTGATTCGCTGGTTGGAGGAAGAGCGCGTGCCAAGAACCAGAGTCAGATTATCCATTCACACGAGGACATGATGATCATCTGTCTGAAGCAAGGAAAGAAAAGATTGGGCACAACTCGAGAGCAAGGTAAGCAGGGGACCGGGGCCCCGGGGGGTTGACAGGGATGGGAAGGCGGAGGAGGAGGAGGAACATGGGGTTCCATGGAGAAAGGGACCAGAAAGGGCGCGAGAGCTTCCGCATCCACTCATGGAGAGGTGGGCGAATCCCCAGTGTGGAGGGAGAGTATGGAGATGATGGTCATGGTGGGAGACGGTGGAGGTGGAGGAAAGATGATGAGTGATGGTGGAGTTCGGTCGAGCAGGAGCAGGGGGGAGGAGTTTCCCCGCATGCAAGCCTCTCGGTCTGTGGCCTTCTCCTTTCCTTCCCGCCGTGTTTCCCCATATTAACGACAACGGCACATGAGTCGGCCCTCTCCTCGCTTGAACGCTTTGCCGTGCGGGGGTGCTTTTCGGCTCTTGCCACTGGTTCGAGACGATGGGGAACGACCGGGGATATCAGTAAAGGCCCTTGCCGAGGGCGGTTCCTCGAGCCGCAGGACAGTGCGAATCCGTGCGCCGGTGTAATTACAAAGTACTTGTGCGTGTGTGTGTGCGTGTGTGTGTAAGGCACAGAGCTGATCGTGTTGAAGTTGTGTGACCGTGCGTTGGAGACTACCTTACTCAGCACAGCGGTTAGGAATCAAATACTCCGTACATCCTAAAACCAGGCACAACATACTGCGATGGACTTCTCCCCTAGACTGATCCGGGCAGGTGGTCAAACTAACACTGCTAAAATATACTATTTCCTACTACTATTTTAGGCGCTTCTTGTAGTCTCTTATAGCGTTGGCACACGGCCAGGTCGGGCTGAACATGCGCGGGTTTACCTAGAGGCTACCACCATACGTAAGGTAAGGTAAGGTAGTTCAGGTCCCGCATACCTTATGTACGTACCCCCACGGAGCCAAAGTTTGGGCGACATTGCCCAGACTCGACGACCGACTACCGGCACTTCTACGAAGTACGTTGTAACTACAAAATTACCCCGAAGACACAGGGTTCATAGCCCAGCATAAAAACGGAACATTAAGCGAAGCTCGATAGAGGCTGGGGAAAGGGGCAGACACTCACACAAAAGTCGATAAGCTGGGAAAACAAGGGAAAACAAAATCTTCTAAATAATAAAGGAACACGGATGGATGGGACGGTCGTATAATCAATAAACAGGGGAATGGGTGGACGGACTAATTATGGAGCACTCCGAATTATGAGTTATGAGCAGGACAACAACCATGTCTGTCTACCCCGGTCCGTTGACACCTCAGTGGTCATGAAGGCCGAGGAGCGTGCTTGGTCCGCCAAAGTACATTTCGTTCGCCTGTAAGTAAGTAATACATTTCTCATCCCCCGCTCAGGGCGGTGGGGATGAAATAAACAGAGGTTGGATACTACGAAACGTGTTTATGCTCACGTGGTTCGAGGTCGCACGGCTGGCTGGTGGACTGCTCTTCTAACATACCTCGTTTTCATGGGCACAGTCCAACATGAGGATCCGTTCTGCTGGGAGATCTACGAAGTATCTGGTCACCAGAAATCTAGAAAATGTCTGACTGTGATGCACATAATGTCGAGCTACGTACCCTAGTACAAAGAAAATATACAACGTATACGTTGCAGGTGGTTATTAGTGCCGCGCCAATCACCAAAGGGCCGTGGAGCCAAGCGAGGTCTCAAAATCCCCTTAAGCTTGTTTCGTTTCTGGAAACATTTCATCTGGTCTCGATTTTCCCCCGAATACGCCAAGACTTGGGCGCACCCCATCCGGCAACCTTAAAAGTCCACTGTGGGGGAGTAAAAATAGCCTAAAACTTCCCTCACCCTCACCAAACCAATTGGTGTTAGCCGTTGCTTCTCACCGTCTCGGTCGATGTTCATACTGTACACGGCCCGGCAGTTCCTAGAAACAGTGTGAAATCATCTGCCGGTACATGGCAACATAAGCACATCGTGCCAAGTTTGGTGGGCAAGTCACACCTGCTTGGCGACTACGGATGCAGCACAGTATCGACTTCACCTCTTCCTTATTAACCCGCTTCCACCAACATCACACTTGGTAGCGTACAGAGGAGTGCTAGGTAAGACGGAAAAGGAAACGACTAAAACTCCCTGTCATCGACCACGAGTCTGATTCCCAGGAACGGCGTCAGACACGAGATGATGGATTCAAGTCGCTCGGGCCACGCGGCTGTCGCCGAGGCAGAATGAGAACGCTGGCGTCAAAACCGACCTTTGCTCATCCCTCTGTTCGAAATATAGGAATTACTCTGTAATACTATCTCCGCAGTCGTTTAATACGCGTAAACGCGCCTGCGCCGCAAAACCCCCCCGGCTGTACTGTTTTGCTGGCGCGTTTTCCCATCTCCCCGGATAGCCAACGAAAAAACCCCTTGAAAAGGAACGGGATACATTCATCTCCAGAAGCCCACCGGTATGCAGAGGAGAGCTGTCACTGCGATCGCATCTCTCTGGCTCGCCTGTCACCAAACTATTCTTCCTCTTTGTTTCTCAGGCCACATGCGCATAGCTGATAGCTCACCCCTTCTGGCGTTAACGCCATACAACCAACGTACGTTCTACCGTCCCGCCGGGAGGTATCCATCCCCCCCCCCCTCCCCCCTTTTCCCCAGGTCCCCGCTGATACGACTCTCCCCGGACGAAGCTCACCGGGAAGAAAGACGATGTGGGTTGCACCTGGCATGCAGAAGGCAGTTCTCCACCCCCCATCTGGGTGTTGCATTGGTCAGAGGTATATACATATGTAAACCAGGGGCTCCAGGCCAGACCAGACCTGTGGAATGTCCATGTCCTGGAAGGCGGGTGCCGGTGCCAGTGCCAGTGATCCACGGCAGGTTCCGGTCCTGAGGATTGGGCGCGTCCAAATATGTCACATGTCTGAGTCTCCGCATGCATAAGGTTGTAGAGGTCGGAAATGAGAAATGGGACGGGATTGCCCCGGGCCAGGTTAGGGCAGCAACGGAATGTCTGGAGTTCCAATCCCACATCCTCGTCCACGGGCCTTGTCTTTGCCAGGGAGTAATATCAGCTCAAGTATCCCCGTCACAATCTGCCCGTCTTACCGGGCCTTTCCCATTACATCAATGAGCTTAAGCTATGTATCCGGAAATTGTGCAATACTCATCACAAAGGACATACCACGAGTCCCATCGAAAGAGAACGACTTTGCGTTGTACTCTTATCCCGGGGCAAGGGAAGCCTGGGCTTCGTCTTGTCTTCTAACTATATGCATAGATCTGATATGCTGCCCTCTTATATAGGGCCGCCCCTTATATATCGCGGTAACCACCGCCGGTACAGCATCCAACAGATCAGTCTGCCAAAGGGTCCCCCACGACCCGCCCCCTTTCCATTTGACCATACTGATTGCTCCGCCAAGGTGTTGGGTGGCAGTTGGCAGTGCAGTTGCACACCTCTGACGCGGGACGGTAAGGATCGGGGAGACGATATCGTTTCAGAATCGAGCCCTGCAGCACAGTTCCCCAGAACGAGATCAAAGTAGTAGCCGAACTCCGGGCTGCATACAAGTAGATGATGGGTGCATGTGAATATAGATATATATTGCTGCTGCCTCCGCTCTGCAGCAAGTTCGCGGTCCCGAGACACTGTTCCGTGGTGAAACGGGTACTTGAGATGGCCTAGTATGTCCTTGTATTGAATGAAGACATGATATCCTATGATAAGATGATGGTCGTTCGAAAGAATATAAATCCGCAAAGTTTTTCTTCTTCTTTTGGGGTTTTCCTTTTCTTTCTTTTTATTTTTATTTTTATTTTCTTCTTTTCTTGATTTGCTCAACATGACATTTCAGGAGCATACCGTCCTGGACATCCCGTCAGAAACACGTTCGCTTAGTCCGCCTACCAGCCGAGCCTTATGTCGAATGCCAGACGCGCGTGTGACCTGGTGTACTCAGCTTTTTTGAACGAGGTCGATGACTTTCCGGCAGTCTAGCTTCTAGCGATCAAAGTGACACCTGCGTGCAAGACGTTTGAAGGATCATGAGTGAGAGTCTGGCTCTTCCAAAACCAACCACATACAACCTGGTCGGGTCTTCCAGAGAACTTGTTGAGAACTTGCCAAGACGAATCATAAATCTCTGGCTGATGGATTCGGAAATCTAGTATCCATATCCTCCAAAGTCCATGCCCCACAAGAAATGCACACGCATTTATCCCACCAACACCTTGTTTTCCTTGTCTTCATTGTTGCCTCCCATGTTATCATTTGGACGTCGCGGTTGCCCGCAGAGGAAGCCAACGACATCCTCTTGCGTATGCTCAGTTACTGCACCTCTCGGACGACCTTGTCTACAGCCTTGGCAAAGTAGTCGATGTTCTTCGTATTGAGACCAGCCATGCTGATACGGCCGTTCTTGGTCATGTAGACGTGGGCCTCCTCCCGCAGCTTGAGGACTTGGGCTTCGTTGAGACCGGTAAAGCTAAACATGCCGATCTGGTCGGTGATGTGGTTCCAGGTGCCGGGGGTGCCGAGTTCCTCGAGCTTGGCGCGAAGGGCGGTGCGCATGCTGATGATGCGACCTGACATCTCCCGGAGGTTGTCCTCCCACTCGGCGAACAAGGCCGGGTCGTTCAGGACGATGGAAGCGATGCGGGCACCGTAGAGCGGCGGGCTGGAGATCTCGGAGCGCTGCAGGATGGCGAGTTGAGAGGCGACACGGGTGGCGGTCTCGGGGGTGTCGGTGACCACGTGGAAGCAGCCGGCACGCTCGCCGTAGAGGCCGAAGTTCTTGGCGAAACTCTGGGCGATGATGAGTTCGATACCGCGCTCGACAAAGAGGCGGATAGCGGCCGCATCCTTCGCCAGGTTACCCGAGGCAAAGCCCTGGTAAGCACAGTCGAAGAAGGGGAAGTGGCGCTTCTGGGCGACTAGATCGGCGAGTTCGGCCCACTGCTCGACCGTGGGGTCGACGCCGGTAGGGTTGTGTGCGCAGGCGTGGAGGAGGATGATGGACTCTTCGGGGGCGTCGGCGATGGCGGCCTTCATACCGGCAAAGTTGAGACCCTTGGTGTCCTTGGAAAAATAAGGATACTTGACCACAGGAAGATCGACGTTGGAGAAGATCTGGTTATGGTTGGCCCAGGTGGGATCGGAGACGTAAACGGTCTTGTTGCCGCGGAAGAACCTGGCGCAGAAGAGGGCGCCGACATGGCAGGCACCGGTACCAGAGATGGTCTGCATGGAGGTGGTGCGCTTCTCTTTCAGGGCGGGGGAGTCGGCACCGAGCAGAAGTTCGATGGCCTTGCTGGTGAGAGTTGGAATACCGGCGATGGGAGCATATTCGTGGTCGAGATTGGGATCGTTACGGAGGATATCGTCGGCCTGAATCGGTCGCAAGGAACGCTTGTTAGTCGGAGGTCACATTACCAGGTATTGAGCGCGATTCAATGGGCAGAGAGCTCAGGAGGGACAGGAACAAAGCGGAAAAACACGCAATACATTGGTCGGAGATAAAACGAACCTTCTTAACAACGGGGAGCACCCAGGGCTTTGCATTGTCGTCGCGATAAGCACCAATTCCCTACGAGAGCGCAGGAGAAGTTAGTGGCATGACGATTTCTGAGGTTCGCCCATCGGAACGGATAGAGCAATCTTGGGCTGGACTCTGGGCTCCATTTTTTCTTTTTTTTTTTCAATTTTTTTTTCTCCTCTCGAACATACCAGGTCGACCTTGTTGGGGGAAGGGTCAGCAAGGAAAGCGCGTTTTAGACCATAGAGAGGGTCCTCAGGAGCCTGAGGGACGGCCTCGGCGGAGAATCGGGTGGAAGAAGGGGCCGCCATGTGGTTTGCGATGCTGCGTATCCGGGAGATGGAAGTTTGTTGTTGTGATCGGGACGAAGTTGAGGAGAGGGGCGAGGAGGGTGAGGGTGATGATGTTGCGTTTGGGTTCGCAACGGGGGCGAGGTGCGAAGTCGGATGTGAGGTTGGCATGTTGGCAATAAGGTATCGTGCGGTACGGATAATATGTGATAACGCCTAATTAAACAGCCTGGATCCTAGGTAGATGGGGTGGCTCCTTCCCACTTTCTCCCTCAGTTACATACAGTACGTAACTTGAATGAGACGAGAGCTACCCACCCAAGGTAGGAGTACTGGTATGGTAAAGTCCGTAAGGTATACTCCGTACTCCGTAATTACTGCCTGGTACGTTAGGGACCGATAGAGGGGCAGTCGCGCAATTATGCAGTGCGGGGTAGTAGCGGTTACCTAAGGTATTACTTGCCTCTGAACAGAAGGCGCAAGCGCGGGGCACCCTCCGGTGACGGGCGCTGTAAGGATTTTCTTCTTCTTTTTTCTTTTGTACGAGGCAGAAGCGGTCGAATAAGAGAATTTAAACTTGAATTGTCACCTCGACCTCGACACGCTTGACCCTGCATTTTACCCGTTAGTTTACTTAACGTACGATGAAGGCTCTTGCTTGGAAAAAATCATATGTGATAAGGGGCGTAAGGTATCCCTTTTTTGGAAGGTCCGGAGTAATGAGTTCAAAGTCTCAAGTCACGTACCTTCAATATTGCGTTGATACGGTATGTACCGCTTCAGACGTTGCTCTTGTAGAAACTGTAGAGAGACAACAAGACGGAGCGAAGAGATGGAAAATATGTTTTGACAAGACAAGGATCGACGTTGTCGCCTTTGGAGGTGGTGAGCATGCCCGTCTAATATGTTCTCAATCTCCCTTCTCCATTCTCCATTCTTGCATGTGAGGTCACCACTTCCCGTCCCGCTTCTAAGTGGGCTAAGTCTACGGACCGGGGCCGGGGCAGAGCCGAGGCCTCGGATCAGCCACTGTGAGAGTGAAACGGTCATTTGACAACGGAGATCTTGCATGGCCAACCTGCCTAGGCTTTTATTTTAGCCGTGTGTTTTTAATATTTCCGAGCAAGGAAGGGCCCGTCCCCGGCTATAGGTTGTCGAGGTTACGAATAAACCGTTTCTCTAGGAACCTCCATCAGCATTGGGGTTTGCCGTACGAAGCAACAGTGGGCGTGTCTGCCGAACTGACCGGGGTGCACAGGGGAATTAAGCATGTGATTGTCATTTCGAGACTTCGTTGTATTCCGTACAACCATACAATAAGGTAATTAATCCACAAATACAATAGCAAGTGACATGATCTCTTGGTCTCATGGCCTCATGATCTCGTGGGTATCCATTGGACCGAAACAATTTCCAGTCTCACGAGAACAGAAGCTTTGTACTTTCGCTTCACGCTTCACGCTTCACTTCTACATCTACACTATGAGGTCCCATAGGATCAAGAACGTGCACAGACCAGCCGACGCGAAGAAGGTGTATCGAGCTGCACTCGGTCGTTTCGTCGCTTCCTTGAGCTGCTTGTTGCCGCTGGTTACGTTCTGCGCCGTGTTTTCCGAGTCGGCCACCAACTGCTCGATGTGTGCCGACTGTGTTGCCAGGCTCCCTACTAATAGAGTCTGCAGCTCGGAGATTTCGAGCAGCGACTTTTCTGCGGTCCTGTAGGCAGAGAGTTTGAGTCAGTTTTTTTCTTTTCTTCTCTTTTTTCTTTTTTCTTCTTTTTTTTTTAGTTGCCTTCTCCCCAGGAGGGTATTTGCTGCATTGTCCATAAAGAGAGAGACCGAGGAGTAAGGTTCTGGCAGTAAGTAACGTACCTGACTTTGTCCAACGTGCTATTAAAGTGCTGGACCATGTCGAGATTCCCCTTCTCGAACATTTGGATTTGCTCCTCCGTCAGGTCACTCGCCAGATCATAACCCCCCTCCCTATCCTCCGTAGCCGGCGGCAACTCAGAAGATCGCTTGGAGCGCTGAGACTGAGACTGAGACCTGGGCCCATCGCCACGACCCGCACCGCCCGCACCGGCCTGCATCGTCTCGTAAAACCCCGTCAACTCGGGCACAGCACCCCCGCCCACCCCGCCCGCCTTGGCCAGGACGCTGCGGTTCTTCTCCATCTCCCTCGTCAACCGCGCCTCCATCATGTCCTGCTGCGTGCGCCCGCAGAGCTGCAACCGCCGCCGCAGGTACCACAGCACCCCGTTGCGGTGGCATGCCACGTCCCGCGCCCGGCCCTCGGCCGCCGCGTGTTCCGCCGTCTTGCCCGCGTTCCCGCCGCCGCCGGCGGCCCACGCGCCCAGCACGCCCAGCCCCCGCGCGAAGGTCTTGCGGATGATGGCCGCCTCCGTCTCGCGCCGTAGCGTCTCGGCTTCCTCGAGCGACCGGATGCCGGCGTTGAGTTCGCGGAGCATCTGCTTGGCGTTGGCGTCGACTTCCTCGCGGTCGCGGTCCGTCAGGTAACGTTGCTCCTTGGTCTGGCCGTGGTGGCGGATGTGTGTTGTTCTGCGCGGTTGCGCTGTCGAGAGGTAGGCTTGGCGGACATCCTTGAGCTCGTTGTGTAGGCTGGCGATGTGGGAGTTCTGGACGCGGAAATGACGAATCATTTGTTAGTTTGGGTGCTTAAGGAACAAGGTAAGAGGTGGAGTGGAGTGGAGTGCCAATGAAGATGGTACGAACAATCCTGTAGGCTTCCTTGAGAAACCCATCCAAATCTTGGACAGTAAACTTGTTCTGTCTCGAGGAAGTGTTGTGCTTCCGCAGAAGCTCGTTTAGGGCGGGAGTGATGTCCGTCATGATGGTACCATTGAGGGTGAAGGTTGGAAAGGAAAGAGAGCAGGGAGAATCGTAAGCTAGCTTAGCATTGACGTTGCGGCTGGCACTGGTGTACAAAGCTGATCCATCTAGGAGAGGCGTCGGACGGCGATGTTGGTAGCTCGTGCTACGGTGACGGGCAGAGTTCATGTGTCACTGTCCAAGAGGCCAGAATTGGTACCCACAAGTGACATGAATTGGCCCCCCATAGCACGCCTGATAAGTACCACGTTGTACGTACATTCCCTAAGACCTAAGATATGTATAGTGAGTAAGCAAAAATTTCGGTATAACTCAAAAATACCCTATCGCCACCACTTCTACTATTATCTTCTAAGTCCTCTACACATATCAATTTATAGTAAAAATAGTAGTAAATATATATTCTAGGTACCTGAAAAGCAGGGCTATGAAATAATATATATTAATACTTTGTGTACCACCTATTCGCCTTTATAATAGCCTCTATCCTACGTGGTATCCTATTAATAAGCCGTTTAAAGAGGTCCTGTTCTACCTCCTCCTAAATAGTAACCGCGGTTCGAACTAATAGATCTATAGACTCTACGTTACTCTTTATATCCCCTAGACTCGGTTCTTTACGGCAAATACGCTCTTTTATTAATTTCTATATATTTTCTATAGGGTTTAGGTCAGGCGAATATAGCGACCAGTCCAGGATTTTAACCCCGTTATCTTAAGCCTATGACTTTAACCAGATCTACACTACGCGCGCTATATACGTAGGGGCGTTATCCTGGGCGAAGATAATACCCGGTTTATAGATAGTAGGGAGTTATTCTTAAAGATAGGCCAGTATAACGCGCGCGGAAACGCCTCCACGCCTAGCTTTAGGGTCGCCGTGCATTTAGTATAAAGAGGTGCGTTTACTATACGAAAACGCACCCTAGAATATCTAAGAGTGTTTTATTAGCTTACCGCGAGGTTACACGTAATAGGGTAGTAGTTATTCTCCCTATAAATTTATTAGTATTCAAGAAATCTGCGATACAAAGTGACTTATACTTAGGCAGAATACTTATTTCTGCCTCTCCCCTTAGCCGCGCGCGATTATAGATTCGTTAGAGAAAACCACACGCCGCTAGTAGTCAGGACTTTTATTTAGATACTCTCTCGCGAAGGTAAGACGGATAGTAGCGTGTTCCTCGGTTAATTTAGGTCTCTAAAGCGCGCGGTAGTGAAGAATACCTCCCCGGATAAGCTCTCGTTTAACCGTATCCACAGAATACTATAAACCGGCCTCGTCCCGAAAAGACCGGCATAAAATAAAAGGATCTTAACTAATAAATCGGAAGAGGTATCTTTTTTCCCGTTTATTAAGGGATCGTGGGCGTCCTGGGCGTAGGAGTGACCGGGCAGATTTCTAGTACTAATACCGTTTATATATACCGTGGGTAGTGGTGGGGGATACGCCTTCACGCCGTGCGATCTATTAATAGGTTAAGCCTATCTCGCGTAGCGTTATAATCTTCGTTCTTTTATAAGGAGAATAGTGCTATTTAGGGGTCCGTGGCTATTATTCTTCTATAGTTATAGCTGTTTAAAGATTAAGGTGGTGATGGTTATAAACGCGTTGAACGCGTTGGGGGTGGGGTTTATACCGAAATTATTGCTGACCCACTGTACCTACTATACAGTACTCCTCGAAACAGTAATAAGGGAAAAAAAGAAAGAAGAAGAAAAAAGTAAAAAAGACGATAAAGCACTTTAAATCAACGCTCCGAGGAAGCATACTCCCGTCACTTCAATAGCTCTGCTACTTCTCATAACATCTTCTAGGAGAGAATATATTCAGAAGGTGTAGAGATCTTCACACACCAGCATCGGTTAAGGCTCAAGAGGCTGTATTATACTACTCTATGAAACGGCCCCCGTTCACCGAGTCTTAACACTTTCGTCGAGGGCCAGGCTTCTGGTCGCCACAACGTGGTTTTACAAATCTTTTACAAGCCTCTACTATTCCATCAGTACGGGACAAGACTGTACTTGGGGCTTCGTTTTGTTCCATTCAACATCCTTGTGATTCTCTCTTCCAAAAACGCAACGTACATGCGCACCTGATTCACCCCTGACAACCGTTTCCCGTGGCCCAAGGGACGTGGAAGCCCTCCTCAAGGCACCTACAAGAGCACTCCACTCTCCTCTTGTAGTCACTCATACTATAATAATTTTCCGACGAGCCACACGGGTCAGAGAAGTATACAAGATGCGAGCGTAATTTGTTATTCAAAACGGGGGCTAAGATGAAGAAAACCCAGCAAGAAACGCCAATCAATCCCCTGATGCTCGCAGAACGATGGGGAGACGAAATATGTCCATCTACATAAGGTAGTACAGAGCCCAGCCTCCCATATTCACACCATCACCCCTTTTACCTTATTTCCATCTCTGATGTTGTCCGCTCCAACCGCCGCTGATGCAAATAGCTTTACTCCTCGTCATCCTCTTCATCCTCCTCAGCAACCTAAAGAACCCAAGTCAGTCAGAAAAGAGTTTCATCACATAAAGGGGCGAAGGGAAACCGAGAGATCTTCGAAATGAAAGAAGAAGACAAAAAAGAAAAAAAAAACCAAAGAAAAAACTTACGTTATCATGGAAATCCCTTCCTTCCTTGGTGGCCTGGATGACCCCCTTCCGAATGCAAAAGTCGCCGAACCTCTCGCCTTCCTCACGCTCGAGAGCGTACTGCTTGAGCAGAGGTCGCATGATGGCCAGGATCTCGTCCTCCTTGATGCTGGACCGGTACAGCTTGCCGAGACGCTGGCCGTGGTACCCACCGCCGAGGTACATGTTGTACGCGCCATACGCCTTGCCCACGAACGCCACCTCGGCGAGCCAGGGCCGCGCGCAGCCGTTCGGGCAGCCCGTCATGCGCATGACGATCGAGTCGTTGCGCAGACCCACCTCCTCCAGAGTCGCCTCGAGTTTGTCGATGAGCACAGGCAGGTACCGCTCGCTCTCGGCCATGGCCAGGCCGCACGTCGGGAAGGCGACGCAGGCCGACGAGCTGAGCCGCAGACCCGAGAAATGCACGTTGTCCAGCTTGTACTTGCGCAGGAGCCCCTTGATCTCGTCCAGGTCCTCGTCCGCCACGTTGCTGATGATGACGTGCTGGTTGCCCGTCAACCGGAACTCGCCCTTGAGCACCTTGGCGATCTCGCGCAGGCCCGTCTTCATCTGGAACGTCGCCGTGTCCTCGACACGACCGTTCTCCACGAATACCGTGAAGTGGTTGAGTCCAGTCTCGTCCCGCAGCCACCCAAAGGTGTCGATGTTGCTCGCAAACTCGAACGGCCGCTGCTTGCCGAACTTCTCGCCCCAGAGCTCCTCCACTTTGCCCCGGAAGACGTCGACGCCCATGTCGTCAACCGTGTACTTCAGACGTGCGTGCTTCCGGTTCTTGCGGTCGCCGTGGTCGCGCTGCACCAGCATGACCTTCTCGCACACGGTGTGGACCTCGTCGGCCTTGCAGAAGCCGAGGTGGCGGCCAATCTGCGGATACGTCTTCTTGTTGTTGTGCGTGGCGCCCATACCGCCGCCGACGAGAACGTTGAATCCCTCGAGCTCACCGTCCGACCCCCTGATGGCGATCAGGCCAATGTCATGAGCGTAGACATCCGTGTCGTTATGCGGCGGGATGGCGATGGTGATCTTGAACTTTCTCGGCAGGTAGGTCGGCCCGTAGAGAGGCTCAAAGTCCTGGACCGCATTACCGGCAACCTGAATCTTCTTGTCGTCGTCATCCGTCAGCCAGATCTCGTGGTAGGCCGTGGTAGAGGGGAGCAAGTGATCGCTGATCCTCTTGGCGCTTGCCCACGCTTGCTTCTGGAGCTTAGACTGGGTTGGGAGCGAGCTGCACATGACGTTACGGTTGACATCACCGCAGGCCGCAATCGTGTCCATGAGAGAGCGGTTGATGGCCTGCATGGCCGGCTTCAGCTTGCTCTTGATAACGCCGTGGAACTGGAAGGTCTGTCGAGTCGTCAGCTTCATCGTCTCGTTTCCGAGAGACGTGCTGATGTCGTCCATCTGGACCCACTGCTGCGGCGTGGCCACGCCACCGGCCAGCCGACACCGGATCATGAACGAGTACGCCGGCTCGAGCCCCTGGGCCTTCCTCTCGTCCCGGACGTCACGGTCGTCCTGCATGTACGTGCCGTGGAACTTGGTGAGCTGGCAATCTGAAGCCGAGAGCGCGCCGGTGCTCGTGTCCTTCAGGCCCTCCAAGATGGTGCCACGGAGGTAGTTGGACGCCAGCTTGATGTCTTCGTTGGTCAGAGGAGGCGGTTCTTCGGGAAGACCTTCGACCTTGTCGACGCCAAGCGCTTGCCAGATCTTCGGTTCCCACTCCTGGTACCCCGTCTGGAACCCGTCGGGGTCCTGGTCGTCGCCGAGGCCGATGTCCGCCAGCTTCTGGGCACCGAGGTTGCTCAGCACACGATTAAGGTCCTTGGCCGGCTTGTTGTAGTAGATCCTGTCCTCCTTCCTCGGCCAATAGTGCTTGTCACCGAGACCGAAGACCGAGTAGCGGACGGTGGCAAGGTCGAGCTCGGTGTTGTCCTTGATGGCTTCCCAGAAGGCGTGACCGTCCTGGGGGAACTCACCCTGGCCGGCGGTGGAAGTAATGAAGACGATGTTCTCCTCGGAGGGAAGATCCTCGAGGGGGTAATCTTCCATCGACATGACGGTCGACTTGAGGCCTCTCGCTTTGCCCCGATTGGCGAGGCGCTTGGCGAGAGTGCTGGCGTTTCCGTTATCCGAGGCGTACAGGATGGTGAGCGGGGCTCCGAGCAAGCCCTCGAGCAGCTGATTGTAGGCGTCCTTGGCCTTCCGCTTCTGCTGCGCGCGCACCTCGGTGCCGAAGTCCTGCGCCAAGCTCGAGGCGAATGCAGGGTCCTTCTTCATGAGCTGGGTCAGCTGGTTGTCTCTGGCGAGGAAGTCCTTGAGCTCCTTCTTGATGTGTTCCGAATCGAGAGAAAAGTTGGGCTCGCCCTTGGCCTCGTTGTGTGGGTTCCACCGGTACAGCGGCCAGTAGCCCACGTCGACCGCCTTCTTGGTCTCCTGCAGCACGGTCAGAGGAGAATCGTGCTCGCCAAAGTAGGGCAGGTATGCCAGCACGACGGAGGGGCCGTCGAACTTGTCGGCCTCCAGCATGGCCTGCAGGACCTGCGTGTACGAGCTGTAAACGGCGGTCGAGGCGACATAGGCGTTCCCGAAGTTCATGGCGTAGAGGCCGATATCCTTCTTCCTCCGGTTCGCGTCGGCGGCGGCGCGCTCCGAGTAAGGGGTGGAGTCGATGATCAGCAGGTTGACGTTCTCGCCCGAGGCCAGGACGTGGTGGACGCCCGAGTTGCCCAAGTCGTAGGACCAGGCGTCAGAGCCGACAAGCCAGAGGGACTCCTTGCGGAACAGACGCTTGTTGTCGAGAAGGTTCCTGGCCAACGGAGAACCGTCGGTCTCGAGGCGGGTGAGGACATCGTCGGCGATCTCCCCCGCCTTGGTGACGTCGTCGGCGTTGGCGGCCCACCGGGCGAGCCAGCTCTTGGGATTTTCGGTGATGAACTGGTTGCTGGTGGCGGCTTCCTTCACCTCGTCGACGAAACGGGCGCGGCGCTCCTTTCGGGCGATGAGCGAGCCGAAGCCGAACTCGGGGCTGGCGACGACGGTGGAGGAGATGCCGGCATGGCTGGACTTGAGAGCGTTGGCAACGAAGGCCCGCTGGCCGAAAAGCTGGTCGAGGATCTTGGTGTAGGCCGTCTCGACCTGGGGCTTCTCCAGGCCGTAGTCGGTCACGGGGGCAGGGACGTCCTTGCTTCCCACCTCGAGGTTCTGAACAGGCTTCTCCGAAGTCAGGTTCTGCAGGACGGCTCGTAGGGACGGGGTGACGTTCTTGGCGTTGACATAGCCAAGCTGGTAGCCGACCACGGTCTGGACGCCGCCGAAGCCGCTCTTGATGCTGGTGAGCACATCGAGCAAAACGGGACCCCACTTGGTCGTCCGCCTATGGATCTGCTCCAGGACAGCAATTCTCTTGACGGACTGGGGGATGGCCTCGATGAGGGCGGAGCTCAGCCATGGCCGGTAGAGGCGGGCGGCAACGATGCCAACCTTGGAGAAGTCGCCTCCCCGGCGCGCCTCTTCGATGACCTTGGTGAAATACGAGGCACCGGAGCCGAAGACGAAGATGGCGTTCTCGGCATTGGCCGGGCCAGCGTAGTAGAAAGCCTGGTACTCACGACCGAGGAGCCTCTTGATATGCGACCAGACGCCGTTGGCGTAACGGAGGATGTCCTCCGAGGTGACGACAGGTACAGTGGTCTCGATGGTAGTAGCGGCCGAGGCCACGGACGGAGGGCTCTCGGTCGCGCTCTGCTGACTAGAAAGTTCAGAGGTGCGAGACGATTCAAGCTTGGAGTGGATGGAGGAGGCGAGGTCGGGGGTCGGTGCGCCGTTGCGGCCTACTACAGGAGGTAGATCAGAGCGGTCCGAAGCGACGGGCCTACGTCCGTCATCTGCGTAGATGCCGGTAGCGCCGTCGGAGCTCGACTGGAAACGGCGAGCGGTGTCCAGGTCGAGAATTTCGCGTACGGCATTCACATCCTCTGCCTCGATGGGCCCGTCGCCCTCGGAAGAACCCGTGGCGAAGAAATGGACAACACCCTTTCCGGACCGCAGAGCCAGGGCATGAGCGGTCAAGGCCATATCCTGGGCCTCCTGGAGGGTCTGAGATTGGAGAAAGGTCCATCCCGAGTTGCGGATGGCAGTGATGACGGAAAAGTCCGGGAAGTTGGCGGGCTGAAGGGAGACGTGAAGTACGACGGGGTAGTTGGCGAGCTTGTAGAGGTGGAAGATCGCAGGAAGGAGGATGGAAGATGGAGTGGTGACTGCGACGAGCTTCCCAGACCGGACGGGGGAGAAGACGGAGAGCAATGGGTCGGCATTGTGCCTGACAGAGATGATCTGAAGAGAAAATGGTTAGGATTACGCATGAGCTGGGGCATTGCAGAGGGCGATCAGACAGAGAGAGAGAGAGAGAGAGAGAGAGAGAGAGACGTACTTCAGGAACAGCGCCATCAGCCGTGGCGACAAGGCTCTTAGCCTTGCGACTCTGGAAACGCTTTAGATGAGAGGAGAACTCCGAGTCAGTGGCCTGAGAAGGCTGGACAGCAACGACGACGTCGCTGCTGAGGTAGGCGATCCTCGCGACTGACAGACCGAGTTAGCTTAGCTTTCATGTTCACGTGAAGGCATGTCTTTTGACAAAGCGTGGGTATGCTGCATGTCGACAAGATCTTTCCCTCGAAGACGAGCTTTGGGTGAAATGGTGATGGGACATGTAGACATGAAGAGTGGCCTGAGCTGTGGTGATACTGCTGCTCCCCCCTGAAGAAGGTCTGCCGACGAAATACCAGGACCTTGGTCCGTGGACTGTGACGCAATGACAGACAATCAAGGGGAGAATAAGAAAATAGCAAAGAAAGACGTGTCTTTTTCCCTTCTTCTTTCCAACCCCACTGCTGAACACATGGCGCATGTCTCGCACCGCACTCTGAAGGAGACCAAGCAAAAGAATTGGACGAGGTGAGGATCAGGACAAACTTACCGGCCTCACCAGGTGAGTGAACCTGGCCTCTTGACGGCGTCATTTTTCTTGCTTCAAACTTGCTCTGAAGAAAGGAATTGGTTGAGCAAGATGAGACGGAGAAGGTTGAAGCAGAGAAAAGGAAATTCAAATTATTATGAATGACTTGGCTCGATTTTCTGCCGACACCCCCCCCGGATTCGGGCTCGGGGACGCTGGCCACCAGGGAAAATGGAAAGTGCCACCCCACCTCCTTCCCTTGGGTACAGAGCATCTGCCCCCCCCCGATGAGGTGCTTCCGCCATGATGTCCCGCCAGTGGACCTGAATTGAAGTCACGGATGGAGAGCTACTACGGCGGAGGAATAGGTATTTAATGCAGAAACTGACACTGCCAAACCCTGTCCTGGAGCTGGCATCCTCCTAATAGGTGCAATTGTCAGCTGGCAGACAGATTTCTTTATTGTCGCTGTAATGAATCACCGTAAAATGGCGTGATCGCTAGCGTATATCCACCACCCCACGTTGCCAGGGAATCCACCCGACTCACTCCCTCCGACGCCGCTCTGGACCCTGCGTCTGGCGGCTGGTACGAATCGTTCAATATCCATTTGTCATCTCGCCCTGTTCAAGTTAAATTTTGCCATGGCAAAAATGCTGGATACGCTGCTATGACAGTTGTAGCCGCCCTGACCGTGGTAAAGTAACCGTTATGGCTTTTATGACTGTGGTCGTTGCGACTGTAATAAGAGAACGGAGTACTGAGTGCTAACCACGACTCGAGTCTTGTCCATGGATAGATTCTACAAAGTACCTACCTTAGACATTCTGCCGTGTCTATACGCCGGGTTTCCTCGAGCTTTTTCTTCACATGGCCTTATTGCCAAGCCAGGCGAAGCCAGATAGGTAAGTAAGGTGGTCTGAATATCAAAGCATAGATGGGTTGGATTTGAAAATCATCACATAATACCTTGGACATTTAGTAAATCATTATTTGTGTATTAAGTAGGCACGCCAATGGCCATGCGCTGCTGTCTGTCGTGATATGCGCTTAACAAACTACCCAGAAACCATTACCAAGTACGTACGCTCCCAATGCTTTGCTGCCAAATGATACCAAATCCCGGTATAAACATCGGGATTTGAACCTAAATATCGCCATCCGTTCTTCTCGTCCCAGTTCTGCGGCAACCCCGCAAGAAATTGCGTGAGGTTGTATGACAACTGGCGTAAAAAGTACTCCGTAGAGCGAGAAGGATGATAGACCCCCCAAAACCCCATCCTAAACATGGGCAGCCGCTGCTGCACTCCGGAACTTGGAGCTCATGCTCTTAGCCCAATCCTCTTGCGCTCGTTCATCGAGCCAGTAAGCCCTGCCTGTCGCCAGCATGCCACGTCCCAGCCGGCCACGCCACCCTTCTCCCTCGGCCGTGCCCTTGACGAAGAGCCCGTCTTTGCTGCCGTTGCTGCTGCTGCCGCCACCCTCCTCCGGGTCGGGACCCCACCCCTCGGCCCCGTACCACCGCCTGCTCAGCACCTGCTGCGCGAACGCCATGACGACCAGCGCAAGGTACACGCGGATCACAGTAACCAGCACGATCAGCGCCAGGCTCGTCCACGACTCTTCAGGCCCGATGTGTTTCGTCGATGGCGGTACGTCCGGCACCACCGGCGTTCCGCTGGCCATAACCGACTCCGGCACTGCTAGGGACCCCGGCGACATGGCTGTAGCCTCGTCCCCTCCTTCCGTCGGCTCGCGCGTCAGCGCCGAGCTTTTGGCGAACCACTCGACCGCAAAGGCTGCCGTGTATGCCGCGTTGAGCACCGTGTCGATGATGTACAGCCATGCGAGGCCGAGGCATCCCAGCGCCGATTGCCGTCGGATGTGCGGGAAGAGGACGACGAGGAGGACCAGGACGATGAGGGAGTAGATGTACATGGACAGTTGGAGGAGGGAAAGCGAGTAGCCCGTCAGGATCGCCAGTAGGCCGTAGAACCCCGTGAGTTTGTTGATGATGAGTGCAAGTGTGATCGCCTCCGTTCCGGTCTGTAGGCTGATGAGGCCAAGGAAAGTCTGCGCAGAGTCAGGGGGCGTAGGTCAGCGATTTGCCTTGTTGATGAGGGCAGGGATTTCATGGTAGCCAAATGCCATACCTTTGGACGAGGCAGCCTGAGCTGCCATCCGCGAAAAGTCATATTTGTGGTTGTTGGAGGAATTCAGAGAGAAAGGAGGCGCGGGCGATGTTCACGGTTTGTATTGCCGAGGGGGGTAGAAACCCAAATGTCCTTCGTCCAAAGAATCTCCAACTCCCGAACGATCCGCAGGGTCCAGATCCAGAATGAGTCCAGTACGGAGTACGTACCTAAAGTGATGACATAAGAACCAACTCCGCAGCTAGACGGGTCAGCCCCACTTATGGTCTACAGTGGGAGGCAATAAGTATTTGAACACTCCCAAGTATTTGAGGCTAGATAGTAAGCCTATATGCCCTCAGCCTGACATTTTGTGGGTCGATGGTACATAGGCGTGTTCAAATACTTTGTGCCAGGGGCTGTAATGTTGATGAGCAGCCCCTTGACTGAACACGACGTAACCCACGATGAGCTGCTGGTGGGTAGTACGAAGGAGCCATTCATGAGTCGTAGCTTTGCAGGCACGGCAAAACAACCCAGCCACAAGGTTCGCGAAATGAGATTCATTGTTAGAAGCACGGACCCGAGCGTCGTATCATTTTCCAGTCTGAACGGCTCCTTGGATTCTCCTTTACTTTAGACAATCCCATTTTTTATTCGCTGCAACCCAAGATATGACAACTTCAGTTAATACGATAGTTTAACAGAATTATTAGGAATACTCTAACGATTGTCGTTGGGCATAAACTGCCCGTTAGTATACAAATTCAACCAGGTGCGGGCCCTCATTGTACGCTATGCTTTGTAAAGATGGGAATCTTTCCCCTCTGCTCCCAGTGGCCCGGCTCCCGTGATTCCAGTGGTTCCCGTCGGTCAGTCATCACGGCATTCCATGTCATTAAACAGTGACAGGGCGTGACGGTCGATGCGATGCTGTCCTTGCACCGCCCTCTCAATTCTCACTGTTCTTGATTATCCTGTATCCCTCTTGTTCTTCGTGCGGTGTCTAGTTAGATGCTGCATTCTAACACGCGCAGTTCTCCTGCTGAGGCTGGCTGCTGTTGGTCTTGACATCGATCACTGTGAGGGGTGGTGGTGTCAGTTTAAAAAGCTGGCGCAAGAACGAGTTCTGGGGGCCACCGGGTACATACTCTGGCTGGATGCCTGGGCAGCAGCGTCGGTCCCTTCCATGCCAGGTAGTGCCTGAGCTATCCTCTTGAAGAGCGTCTTGACGTTGTGGCCCAACTTGGCGCTCGTCTCCACGAACATGAGGTTGTTCTTCTTCGCCTCTTCCTCGCCCTGCTGCGTCGTGACCTCTCTCTTCTCGTTCAGATCTGTCTTGTTGCCCACGAGGACAATGATGACGTCGTTACCCCGCTCGGCCCGCACATCGTCAATCCATTTCTTGGTGTTTTGGAACGATTTCGCATCTGCAGAACGGTTTGGTATAAGTGACTTGTTTCCTTCCCAGTTGGGGCCTCGACCTCGTTTCACGATGTGTGACGTACTAGAAATATCGTAGACAACGACTGCTACGCTAGAGTCGCGGATATACGAAGGGATCAGACTCCGGAACCGCTCCTGGCCGGCAGTGTCCCAAAGTTGTAGTCTCACGGTACGGTCCTCGAGGTACATAGTCTAGTCGACGGATGGTTAGCGACAACCACCTCCTCGAGCTCGTAGAGTCCGTGATCTGCCATGCCTTGGAAAGAAAGTCAATGCCGATTGTCGCTTGGTACATGTTGTCGAACGAGTCGTACATAAACCGAGTGATGAGGGATGTCTTGCCAACTACAAAGCCAAAACCATGTTAGTCGAACAAGTCCGCCGCGCGTAGACATGAAGAATGCAATGTTGCAATTTACCGCTCTGCTCGCCCAAGAAGACAAGTCTATAAACGAGTTTCGATTAATCTTTATGATCCTCCAACCACTAATTCCATGAACCGGACTTCGACATACTTGAACTTCTTGAGCGGGTTGTTATACGACGGGGATGCCATGGTTCTTGTCGACAGGTTGTCGCACACTGATCGACAAGAAAACAGCTGAACTGATAAGGCCTAGGTCAAGCCGGAAAAGAGGCGATCTTGGTTGGCTAGAAACTTTAGATAGGTAGTGGTAGTTGGTAGCTAAGCTGACTGGCTTTTGAAGATGGTCCAGCGGGACGTTGAATCTTCGAAGGCAGTCTTGGCGTTCAAGGAGACTCATGTGGCGCTGTCTTCTTGGGTGATTACATAATCTATCACGTGTAGATAACAATCGCCATCCCCACTTCACCACTGAAAAATTCTGGATATCACACCAAGACCCCTGATAACCCAGATGTTAGCTCTACAACCATGAACGAGATTCCCGCCCAAGACCCTTTTTACACTTAAGAAGAGAATATTTTAAGTCTACTTGCAGAATGGCGGTTCTCAACCCGCTTTCAGGGGATGGAGAAGCTCCCCAACAGTACAAGCAGCCCTCGAGGAAAGGCAAGAAGGCATGGAGGAAGAACGTCGATGTCAGCGATATCCAGAAAGGCCTGGATGCTTTGAATGAAGAAATTATTCGGGGGTAGGACTTCACTCGCAGACGCCACAGCCCCAAGAATCATGTTTTTTTTCTGACGACCTGTTATCTAGAGGTGTTATCGCCGAAAAAGCATCCGCCGATCTCTTCACCATCGACACAGTAGGCGACGCGAGTGTCACCAAGAAGCGCACCACCAAAGCCCTCCGCTCCGACGAGATCATCGCTCAACGCTCTGCCGTCTCGGCTGTCCCACTCCGAAAACGGCCGGCCAAGACATCAGACGGGCTTCTTCCCGTAAAACGCCAGCGCAAAGATTGGGTGTCTCACGCCGAACTCGCCCGCCTCCGCAAGGTCGCCGACGGCGAACACGACTCTCCCATCACCGTCAAGGACGCCAGCTACGACATTTGGGCCACCCCTGCTCCCGACGCAGCTCCCGTGGTGAAGGCGGCCGTGCCCGAGGAGCACAACTTCATCCCCGCCGAGGTGAAGCCGAAACCACCCAAGACTCTGCGCCATAAGCCCATCTCTCTGGCCGCGAGCGGTAAATCCGTCCCCGCGGTGGCCAAGCCCACGGGAAGCTACAGCTACAATCCACTATTCGACGACTACGCCGCCCGTCTGCAAGCGGAATCCGACAAAGCCGTGGAGGAGGAGCAGAAGCGCCTGGCGCACGAGGAAGCCGACCGCCTCAAGGCCGAGGCCACAGCACGGTCCGCTGCGGAGGCAGATGCGGCCGAAGCGCGCGCCGAGATGTCCGAGTGGGACGAAGATTCGGCGTGGGAAGGATTCGAGACGGAAGCCGACGACGACGAGGAAGGGAACGGTAAGGTCTCCGCGCGGAAGATCGCGAAGCGGAAGACCACGGTTCAGCGGAATCGGACCAAGCGCCGCAAGGCGGATGAGGGACGGCTGAAGCACATGGCTGCGATGAAGAAGCGCGACGAACAAGTCAAGCGGATCCGAGAGATCGCCGCCGAGGTGGCGGAGCGCGAGGCCCATCGCGCTGCCCTCGTGCAGGCCAAGTCGGCCGCTGGGAGCGACGAGAGCGAGGAGGATGTCGGAGCGAGCGAGGTACAGCTGCGTCGTAAGAAGCTGGGCCGCGCCAAGCTGCCCGAGGGCGATCTGGAGCTGGTCCTCCCCGATGAGCTGGAGGATTCGCTGCGTCGGTTGCGACCCGAGGGAAATCTTCTCAAAGACCGGTACCGGAGTCTCCTGGTCCGTGGTCGCTTGGAACACAGGCGGCGCCTCCCCTTCAAGAAAATGGCCAACGTCAGGTGGACCGAAAAGTGGTCATTCAAGGACTTCAGGATATAAATGGAGTAAAAAGACGATCTATTCACTCTCGCTTACGCTTGGCTTGCACTTATGCGATGTTGCCGCATGCCTACATAATGAAAAGGGACAGACAACGACACGAATCCCAGACCACGGGGATGCTATTATATGTTCATGATCATAAACGACCTTTCCTGGTGTTCTTCAGATTTACTCTCTTAAACTTCTAAAATCAATGCGTGCCAGGTAGCAGCACATTGCAGCGCCGCTTCGAATCCGTGGAAGCTGTGCCGAGTTAAAAGCTCACCATGTCTGCAGATTTTCAAGTCAGTGGCTTAATCGGTGGAGGACGTTGACGGCGATCTTGGTTTGTATGTAAGATAGACTCACCTCTTCCGAACATACCCCGCTTCATCCAGTCCATGGCAAGCAGGATGCGTGTACGCAAGCTCACGCTCTGCGCGAAGTAGACAGACCGCCAGGCATACACGGCCCAGAGACCGCCGGCCACATTCCAACCCTGGCCGAGGTCGAAGACAGCCGAGTTGCCGATGTATGCCAAGCTACCGAGGTGATGATACTCGAAGGCCTTATAGACGACGGAGTCGATGTCGCCGTCACGCACATGGTTGAGATGCAACGCATCTACGGCGCGTGCCATCCTGTTGAACTTGTGTGCGAGGTATTGGCCCTGCTGGTGCGCTCGCTGGGCGGTGGCGGGTAGGGAGGTGAGCTTGGAGTCGATCTGTTTCAGGAGCTCGCGCAGCTCGCCGAAGTCGAGGGTACCGGACTGGTCCTTGTCGAACTGGGCGAACAGCTTGTCGAGGCGGCGCAGATGGGTGACGGCTTGCGGGAACCTCTTTCTCACGTCCTTCGCCACGGCCCGCCAGTCGCTGAAGTGGAGCTCGAGCGTTTCCGGATCTTTGCCATGCTTCCAGGCGAGGCCGCGGAGGAAGGTGACAATGTGGTCCGCCACGTTGTTCTGCACCGTCGCGCAGTCGCCGATGGCGTAGACGTCACCCAGCGGAGCTCCATTGAGACGGAGGTGGGTGTCGGTCTCGAGGGCATGGCGGTTCGTCTGGTTCGGGCCCAGCTTCTTCGCAAGCCGCTTACAGAATTCGGTCTGTGCGACTCCAGTCGACCACAGGCAGAAGCCCATCGGGAGCTCCTTTGTGACTATAGAACCATCATCCTGTTTCTGGGTGAAGATGATCTTGTCGGGTAAAACCTCTTGGACACGCGAGTTGGTGTGCAGGTCGACCTGATCACAACGGAACCGCTCCTCGGCGTACCTGGACACGGCTTCGTCGTAGGTGTTGAGGATGTGGCTGCGACTCTGGATTAGGTGCACCGATATCTGATTCCGCAGCAGCCGTGGGAAATGGAGCGTCAAGTCCTCGTTGAGCAAGTCGTACAGCTCGGCGGCGAACTCGACACCCGTGGGACCACCGCCGCTAATGACGAAGGAGAGCAGTCGCTTCCGCTCCTCGTCTGACGTGGTGGGTAGGGAAGCTCGCTCCAAGTTGCGAACTATGGAATTGCGTATCAATCGGGCATCATTGATATCCTTCAGGAAGTGAGCGTTTTCCAGACCCTTGACGCCGTGCGGATTGGTCACGGACCCGACGGCGATGACCAGCTTGTCGTAGGGAACGTAAAATCTGACCTCCTCGCCTTCCGGGGTGACCTGGGACACTTCAACTAGTTTGTGGGAAAACTCGACGTCCTCGGCTTTCGCTCGAATGAAATGGCCGTGGACACGCCCGAGGATTCGACGCATAGGCTCGACGAGAGACCTCAGCTCCAAGGTCCCGACGGTAGCTGAGGGGAGCATCGGCGTGAAAAGGAAATAGTTCTTGGGCGAAATGACGGTGACATGGTAATCGTCCGGATTCAATTCCTTGAGCAAGGCCACGCTACCCCAGCCACCACCCAAGATCACCAGTTTTGGCTTGTCACGCTGTCGTATCTTCTCCTCGCTGTCCGAATCGTCAATCAATACATCGGCAATTGGCAGGTTCTTCGACCCTCCTCTTCGCGGAAATAGAGCCAAGTGGGCTACTTCGACGTCTTGCTGGGTGGGATGCTCCTTGTATGTAGAAGCATCGTAGATGAAGAACCCAGCTATAACCAGGCTCACGAAGACGACCGATCCGCCACACCAAGCCGCTGCTTTATATGTATAAGTTAGAAGCTTTGACCGTGCCCTCGGAAGAGGGCTCCCAGTCCCAGATGCGAGGCGGGCGTTGATCTTAGCGACCCCATGTGGCTCGAAGAATGAGGGTTTTAAGGTCCGCGGTCGCACGGTAGTGGGTGTTTGTTGTGGAGGTAAACTTGTGTATACTCGGCGCAGCGTCCTGGAGCTGAAAGGTCCCCCAGAGACTCGACATTGCTTCGTTGCCCTGAGGGCGCGCATTGGGACTGCTGAGGTCGGGAGGGGCATTTTTTCTTTTCTTGGTTTCTTTTTGAAACTGCTATCGCGAGGAGATATGATGCGAGAAAGGCGCAAGCATGTCTAGTGAGCGAGGGGTATCGAGCAGAAGCAATTATGAAGTATCAAAATGTGACTCTCCTCCTCTTCCTCTTGAGTGCGACGGAGATTTTGGTGATTCACAGGTGGGATCGGAGGAAGGTGAGAAAAGTTAAGGTACCTTGCTTTCCTACGAGTGGCTGTTTCAACGTGTTTGTTAGCTTAAGGTGCAAGGAGCCGCTTATGCTGAATCCAACGGCTTCTCTCATGATGATGTATCTGGGTAGCTCTTGGAAGTCAAACTCCCCCAACGACGTCATTACGACAGGGACCACGTCTTGGCCCCGCTTAACACTGTGAACACTGTGACGATAACGGAGACGATACACTACACTTAGGAGCAATACACAGTGAGTTATATAATAACAATTACTGTGTCTAACACTGTATAGCGTTTGTACCTACCACGGAATATCTACATCTTACGGGCAACAGGGAATCCACCTCAGTTCGTCTCGAGTTTACCTACCTTGGTATGATACAATCCTTCTAGTTTCAAGAAATAGCAATTGTATTTACTGGGGAAGTTATGACTACAGTATCGACATGGCCAAGTTGAGCAAGATCAACAGCTTCACGCTACAGATACATACTCAAATCAACCACTCCACTGTCCCATACTATGCCTCTTCGAGGCCTTGCTCTCTCTACTCGTCAAGTCAAATCCAATAAACGATAAACGCCCGCGTATGAGTCTTCTGTATATAGGTAGGTAGATAGGTCTTACGGAATATCACGCTCTAGCACGCTGTAGCAGATGCAGGCTCGTGGGACTTCGTGGCGGGTACCATATCCTGAAAGCCATCAACAACGAAAGTACCTCTTCTCCACCCAGCGGCTTTCCGTGTCAGCAAGCATGTTGCACAGCACGACGGAGATGCCGGGGAAGACCTGCGTGAGACGGTGCACTCCCAGCTTGCCTGCGTTATAGCACGCCAGGACGATCTTCTCCTGAGCGACGCCGTGGTCGACGAGGACCTGCACCGCCATCAGTGCAGCCCCTCCGCTCGCCATCTGCGTGTCGATGAGCAGCACGCTCTCGCTCTTCTCGATGTTCTGGGGCAGTTTGAGGTAGTGCAGTTCGGGCTCTCCGGTCCGGACGTTGGACTGGATCAACACGCGTCCCGTGCGACAGTCGGGGATCAGTCTATGCAGTGCCGTTTCGAACGCTGCACCGCCCCGGAGGGCGAGAACGGCTGTCACCTCGCCTTGCGCCTTGAGCCCGTCGTATCGGTAGCCCTGAGGTGTCTCGACAGTGTGTTCCTTGTAGCTGACATTGTTAAGCGCTCTTTTACCCCCCCCACGGCCTCGTTAGCATGCTCCTTTTCATCCACACTGGGACCGGGATGGGGGGCAGACTGAACTGTTCAAGCAACAGACTCGCAAGTCGGTCGAAGTAGAAGATGAAATCTTCAGCTTCGGTATCCATGTCCTGGAGGATTGTGCTCATTCCCTTTAGCTGGGGAGTCTGATGGAGTATGACGACTCTGTTCGAGAGAGGGTGATTCGCGGCTTCAATCTCCAGCTGGGTCAACGCTGCCCTATGATGCGTCGACTTCTCCACGAGCTTTCCCTCGATGTACTGGACGACCATTGCTACCTTGGGGTCAGCATTATCATTATCACAATCCAGACTCCGTATTGACTGGGACACAAGAGGAACCTACTCATGGCGACATGATTTTCAATGCCTCGAGGGACAATGACATCTGAACCTCGTCAATAACCACAAACCCCTCCGTAGGTACCAACTTGTGATATAGCCAGGTGGGCGTGCTTACCAGCTACCTTCCGCTGCGGCTCTACATACTGCGGCTGGTATGAGCGAACAAGAACAGATCTCGAGAAATACTTGTCCTTACCTTCTCGAAGTTGGGTTTGACGAAGGCAAACCACTGTTTCATGATGCCCTCTATGTCTCGAGCTCGCTCCTTGACATCGCGCAGCACTATACGGACCCTCATTCATGAGCATGGACGTCATTGAGCGTTGCAAGGATCAACACTTTTGGGAAAGGCAAGGGGAAGATCATACCCCGTCTAGACAGGCATGTGTCTGCATCGGCATCACAAAAGATCTGATGAGGGGGCAGCCTGTCAGCGTATATCCATTTGGGCCCCAGATAGCTCGATAACTGCGCCATGTTCCCACCTTCATGTCCAAGAGTTCCAGGATGCGCGGGTCGTACAGAGCGAAAATGCCCTCTAGAATCAACACGTGGGGAGAGTAGATGGTTGTGGTCTGCTCAGTGCGCTGATGTTTGGAGAACGAGTAGATGGGGATATCGGCCTTCTTGCTGCTGAGGGTGAGTCTCTGTTTTGCATTCTGCATGGCAACGTGACTGGGAATCAGGACGCTGCATGGTCCCGAGAATACTCACCCAGCCTTGAGGTCTCGGAGACATTGAAGCAAAACGTCAAAGTCGATGGCCTGGGGGTTCTGCATTAAGCCACGTGATCCCACTGAACATGAGGCTAAGAACTAACTTGGGGGGAATCAAAATCGAACTCATTGGCGAATGCTTTTTTGGATTGTTCTGCATTGAGTGGTTTGTAGAACGAGTCCTAAAAGGGATAGAAGGTAAGCCTACGAAGGAGGGACCTTTGGTGGAATTGCTTCTCTTCCTGATCGTATCCGACACACCGAAGGGACATACTGACCATGGACAAGATGACAACCCAAGGCAAGTTCAATTTCTTGCAGATGGCATGGGACAGAGTGGATTTTCCCGAGCCCGAGCTACCGGCCACCCCGATGATACTCAAGTCGGCCCATGGCGGTGAGTAGTGCAGTCGTTTCTGTATAGTGATAGACTCTTCGGCGGCCATCTTCGGTTCGGAGATGTTGTCTGGGCGAGGTGTCCCCATTATCCTGGCAAAGAAGGATGATATATACCTTGCTTCTCCCCGTTCGTATATATATATATATTAAATCCGCCCAGCCGCTACAGAGGGGTGTCTCTATCCGGTAAGCAAGCCGGGCCGCGAGAGTAAACAGGATATACTTCGCGGGGACTCGAGTCCTTCATGTGCTCAGTCTCTTGAGGCCTTTGAGGGGATTCGGTGTTGTGGAAGATAAGGGGGCTTGATTGGTTGGCTTGTGATAAGCATGACCTGGGCGGCATGGACAAGAACCCCAGCTTCATGCCAGGTGGATCTGACCTAATAAGGTACCCACCTACCTTATCAGTAAAGGACTTTGTAAATGGCTTCTTCATCTTCATACGAAGTATTGCTGGTAGTTCCCACAGCCATGTCTAATGTTGCCTTGATCTCTCGTCGCCTGCCGTCCGAGTTATAAGCCTCAGGCGGTTTGGTCCCTTGAAGGTGAGTTTATGTGACTCTAGCTGTGTCCCCTACCTTAGGTACCTTAAGACTTGAAAAACTACTTGAATATGATATCAGGCTGTTGGAAAGTGTGTTTTCTGCGCTGCGCTGATTTTCCAGATTTATACGAAGTACAAACATGAGCATCACAGGTCAAGGACCGGTAGGGACTACCTAGTCTATTCGCACCGACTCCACCATAAGTGCGTGTGACGCTGCCGAGGGTGCCCTTTTTGGGCGCCAGCGGCTACAGGTTTTCGCCCCCGCCTGGTTGGCCGTCGCTAATTGCAGACGCCGCCCCCAACAGACCACCACTTTGGGAGGAGCCGTCCGGGGTCGCCTCTTACTCGACTGCGTCATGGAGAGAGTCGAGGAGGCTCTTCGGACCACGCCCGACGGCCGACCACAAGCCCGTGCGATATGCTTCGGACGGCGCGATGCGGACAACGCCAAATCTTCCACGATGGTGCCTCGGCGCGCGCGAGATAAGGATGGGTGGCCAGGGATGATTAGGCGATGGCTATATCTGGGTCGCGCCCCAGTCTGCTCAGGAAAGCCCACACGTTCAGCCCCGCTGTCAAGTGGAGGGCATGGTCTTTGTCGTCTTCCTGCCGAGGCAGATCCGTACCGGCGGTTGGAGATGGGGAGCTGGGCACCTGACAGAGCTTCCGTGGCCGATCTGCGACTCTCCTGGCTGAGGAGTGGTCTACCGTTGTTGGGTATTACCTAGGCAGTACAGCATGCGCCGAGTCCCAGCATACGATGCCAATGCCATCGCAGTCCAGGCACAACAGGAAGCCCTCGTATTCCTTGCCAGAGCCATCCAGGAGATAGACAGCACCGGGGTCTTGAGGTCGTTCCTCACTCTGGCCATGAGGACCTGGATCTCCGTCTAATGCTATCCAAGCACACGGGAAAAGATGCCGGGTGTGTACGTGTCGATGAGTTGCTGCTCCTGGATGCTCGAGTGCCTGCCGATCTCCTTGAGCGTCAGGTCTTTCGGCCAGCTGCCAAAGGGGGGGGGGGGGTCTAATAGGCAAATTAGCCAGATAGGCAAGTAGGTCTGGGAGTCAAGAAGGTCTCAGATGCAAGTAGATCTGAAACTCGAGTAAACTAGGAAGCTAGTAGGTCTGTTTGGCATGATGGGTAATGCATTGGGCCAGGCATTCAGGTGGATAGATGAAGCAATTGTAACTCGCAACGTGAGTCACAAAATTAGGTTCAACTCGAGGATTTACCCTCCAGCCTCTGCGCTGCCCTGGAAGTCAAGGTTTCAATAATCTAGCCATAGCGCCGAAAAAGTAAGGTAAGCCACTGTCCGCCCTGCGCGCCTCAGGTCCCTATGGCTGCCTCATCAACACGCACGCAAACTTTAATCCCACCGGCCACCAAGATTATAAATTCGGACCACCCACTCGCACAATCGCCATCACTCTACTTTACCATCACTAAGCTGCACTGTCAACCCCTTACCGCCATACAAGTCACGGACATCCATCCCTCCATCCCAAAGAAGCCAGTACACAATGTCGGCCGTCCCGGAAAACATTCGCATTCAAGGGGACGCCCCAGCGTGGCACGACCGCCTTCAGAAGTTCCGGGAGATGTGCACTGAGCAAGTGGGCGGTTTCCGCCGCCAGGACCTGGCCTATGTCGCGCTCAGTGTCTGTGCACCTCGTCAGCGCATACCACAGAGTGCAAAAGGCTTCGACTACATGAACACGGAAACCGACCTGGAGAAGAGCGTCAGACAGCGCGTCATTCACAAGCTCTACGACCGCCTCCTCAAGGAGTATAGTCAGAAGAACACGGTCAGCGACGAGCAATTCTCTTACATCACCAGTGCCCTGTCCTGGGCACTGCTCCAAATCACCAACATCAAAGAAATGCTCAAGCTGGAGAGAACTCTCGACTCGGCGGAAACTGTCCCAGAGTATTTCGAGGACATCAAGGCCATAGTGGAGGCATGGGATCTCCACTTCAAGATATGTAAGTTGCCAGGTCCCCACAGCATGTCGGACCTAACACCTGCGCATAGTCTTCACGCAGCCCCTGTCGGGCGACCAGAAGCGTCTTGGAGAAGGAGGGCCACCAGTGTCTAAGACACCCAGGTCCAGAAAAGTGAAAGAACTCGTAAGTGATGAAGATACGTTCCGGCTTGCCAAGAGACCAACACTCTTCAATAGTGCATTGCTCGCGACCGGGTCTGTGTTTTGACCGGGGCTCGAGAGCCCCATGTGGCGCACATCTACCCATTCGGTGCCGCAAGCGCCCGGCAAACCAAGTCGGCCCTCAAGGACACTCTCGCTCGGCTGTGGGGCGCGGACAGAGAAACAGCTATCTCCGAGACGCTTTTTCCGGACGGCACAACCAAGGGCATTGACGTCATTGGCAATGTCATATGCCTTTCGCCAAACATGCATGCTGCCTGGTCTCGGTACGATTTCGCTCTGTTCCCCCTACGCTCAACCGATGAAAAGGAGGAGGGCCCGTGGAGTATACAGGTTGTTTTCCACTGGTTGAAGCGCCGTCAGGTTCAGAAGATGTCGGAGATGGCCGGCGACATGAGGACATCCGCTCGGGAGGTCCTACTAAGGACCTCCCGCGGAGTCATGGAGCGAGAGCCCCGAGACATCGACTTACGTACGAACGCCCCCATCCTCGATGGGCAAATTTTCACCATCAACGCAAACAAAAAGGATCATCTGCCCGACTACGACATCCTCATGCTCCAGTGGGACATTGCGCGTATGGCATCGCTATGCGGAGCTGCCGAGCCAGAAGACGACTCCGATTCTGACTCACCCTACTACTACGACGAGGAGGAGGTCATGTCTGGTGTCGAGGCCGAAGTCGAGGTGACCAGCGAGGAGACGACGGATGTTCAACAGTAGGACAAGGACACCAGCATTTCCCACCCAAAGACGGTCGCGCAAAGTCCCCATACTCCGACCAAAGGCATCCTGGGCTTTACCATGCGCAGCCGCAGCAATACATTGCTCGAGAACCTATCGCTGTCCAGACATGGAAAGCGGCCAGCTGAACCACGTATTGGGGAAAGCCCCACGAAAAAGTTCCAAAGTGGTCACAGGCGGATTGCTTCGAGATAGTCACGGTGGAAGTGTCCGGAAGGTTGATAGAGGCAAATGTTTCAGATCCACCAGGGGCCATAGTGGGAAGGGGCGTTCTCTGCAGAGTCTGTGTGGCTGGCAGGCGCAGCAAGACATACCTGTCCCCGTGGTTACTTTGTTGAAGGAAGGACGGGCATGGAGACAGTTTGGCAGTTGCGTGAACATTGTTAGAGTTGTGCTAATTAACACAAGGGCAACGTCATAGCCGTACAATAAGGTCACAATTCCATTGTTCCGGTGATAATAGCTGGTGAAATATTTAACTCGGAAGCTGAATGAGCTTACTGCCTTGATGAAGTGACTGCCTCAGTGGTTTCTTGTTGCCCACCCGGCTGAGTGTCCTTTTTGTTACACTTTTTTCCGAGGCTCGTGCCAATGCGACACGATACAGTTGTGCGTTGTACGTTTACATTAGGGGCAATCAGAAAGCTGCTCCCTCGGCAGCGTCACACGCTTTCCATAGTATATAAGGTAAAGGTAGTATTAGCTATAAGTACCTTACCGAGATATTTCGCAGAGAGATAAACACTTGGCTTCAGCGATAGGGTATCTCCGGACACTGGACGGTCCGGGTTTTGTAATTAATCCGAACTCCGTAATACCACCTTACGGACACAATTCTGAAGGTAAATCCGTACCCATACTTAGGACCCACAGTCGTCACAGGTACGTACCTTTTGCGAAGTCTGATTTTGGCCCCAAACCTACAAAAGCCAGCGTCCTTGCTGATTCTTTCCTTCCAAGCTCCTCACTTGTCAAGCTCCTCCAAACTCTTCCTCAACCTTGTTCTTACTAATTATTTAATGTTCTTCTTCTGCTCTCTACAAACCTCCCTCGGTCTCTACACTTTCTAATCTCACGTCCATCTGTCCATCTGTTTTGTGCTTCCCGAAGACGCATGTCAGGATTTCCTGATCCTGACGACTTGGCCTCTGTTGCGACCTGGAACCGAGCTGCCGCGCGCCTCCTCCGTCAAACCTTGGAAAGAATCATGGTATGTTGACCGCTATGCCGTGTGCCTACTTGCCGCATAGGCCGTGCCCGCAGCTGCTAATACAAGAGATTCCACAGGCGTCGTCAGCATCAACAACCACACCTGCGAAGCATGTGACGCAAACCTTCGCAGACAGGGTGGCCAATGTCAAGGTCCCCAAGAGGTACGCCCGCTTTCATCTCTTGTTTTCTCAGCTGCTTTTCCTTTTCTTGCCCATATCATATGATGAACAACTATCACAATGGGAATCTCTCCTAGAATTCCGTGCGGAGAAAGTCGATATCAAATTAGTTCCTGATGCACCCAATGCACTTCTTTGTCATCTTTGCAACGCTCGGCAGGCCTGGTTTTGGTTTCCGAACTAACATCTCTGCTGGTTCAGCGACATCCATGCGCTGATTCTAGACTACCTGACAATGGAAGGCTACTCACAGACTGCTGCCCATTTCAGCAAGGAAGCCAACCTCATGCCGTATCCATCACAGGGGTCTATCAAACTTCGTCAGCACATACGGAATTACATACACAAGGGAAATGTTATGCCCGCTATCGAGGCATTGAACGACTTTGATCATGAGGTAAGCGGTGTCTTCAGCCTGTTATGTTTTCCTTCCATCCGCTTTGCTATGATTAGACGTCGAGTTGTACATGCACCACTCATATGGTCTTCGGATCGTTGATGAGAACCAACCACCTTTTTATGAGCATAAATCTTTCTACTCGGGATTTTTTTTTGTGCGGTTTCCTGCCTTTTTGGGCTTTGGCGGCTCGATCTAACATTGAATGCCAGATACTTGACCGAGACGCGGCGCTCCATTTTGCTTTACTGCGCCTTCAGCTGGTCGAGTTGATCCGGAAGTGTACGGCGACACCAGAAGGCGATATCATCCCGGCGCTGGAGTTCGCAACCACATATCTTGCGCCCCGGGCACCGACTAATCCACAGTTCCTGAGGGACCTAGAGGATACGATGGGTCTTTTAATCTTCCCCCATAATGATGATCTCGATCCTTCCCATGTCGCGCTTCTTCATCCTCATCTGAGACGAGATGTGGCGGAAATGGTGAACGCGGCCATTCTGAGCCGCCAGTCGCAACGAAAAGAAGCGGCCATTCGGCAACTTTCCCGCATGAGGGTGTGGGCCGAAGCCAGTGCGCGGGAGGCAAAGAAGCCAATCCCGGAGAGGATCGAGATCCGCCCGGATGGCTCACAACCCAGTGTGGATCCCATGCTCCTGTCGTAGGAAGCGAGAGCTGGCGCTGCGGCGTCTTATACGAGACGATGGGTGGATGGGTTATGGATCGACGAATTATGACGGGTTTACGAGTATCGATGACCCTTTTCTTTTTCTTTTTTTTCCCCGTCTTTTATTCGGTTGGGCCTTCAGCGATACGGGTTTCACGATAACGGATACGGACGGAATTGGGTGCTTCTGGAACCGATTGCGAAGCGGCGTTCATACTTCATATTGGCCTCTACGGAGGGCGTGTAATGATATTTTTACTGTTATGATTTGTCTCGCATGAGACATGTAACGGGACGGGAAAGTCTTGGCGAAAGAGTTTACACGAAACCACAATTCACATGCTTATAGCAGTGCTTCCTGGACAGAACTTATTACATTGACACGGGAAGAGTCTCTCTAGAGTTAGAAGGCCTTGTACTCATCAGACACGGCTTGGTTTCGGTCACCATTTAATTAACATTGCACTCGCAAACAGAAGTTGGTCAGGCAACGTTACTGAAGTTCCTCGCAATCTTATGTACACCAGAGGATCTTCCTTCTCCCCTCTTCCCTCTTCCTAACCCTACAACTACAAATGCCTCCTGGTGCTCTTCCAACCTTCTACTTGGTTCGAATGTGCTTCAGCTTCTTCGGAGAATACAGGAAATTGTTGGCGTACGCCTTGGCGGTGAACTTCCGGCTCTGGGGTTCCTGCACGAAGTACTCGTACCCTTGTTTCTCGGCGAAACGGATAGCGTCCTCCTTGGTCCTGAAGTTGATCCTGGTGCCCTGCACGAAATCGGCCGAGGACTGCCAGCCCATTAACGGGTTCTCCCACCGATGGCCCTTGGGGAGGATGTCCCAGTCCATACGCCAATGGTGGCCCTTCCACTCGCCGGACTGGGTGGCGGGTTTGGCTTCTTGGTAAATGCTAAAGAGAAGAAAGAAGAGAAAGTCGAATCAGCTGGCTGAGAATGACGCGGAGAGAGCAGCCACCGGATAAAATGCGAGTCGTGGAAGAAATCGGGCTCATTTCTGTACATACCGGACTGTGCGGGCCTGAAGCTCTATGGGCGCGCCGGAAACCACGGCAGCCTGGAGGTAGGGAGTATCTTCGCTGCCATCCTGAATGTGCTTGGGGACGGGGGTGAAAGTCCTGTGTCCAACGCGTAAGCCTTTCGTTTCTTTTTCTTTTTCTTCTTCTTCTTCTTTTTCCTCCTTTTCGTAATTCCTCAACCCGCCGCAAAAACTCACGAGGTCGCCTTGTCGTTAGGAGTGGTGTAGTCTGGCCGGTTCTGGTCGGTGGTGGGCAGAGCGGGAGTGGCTGATGTTGCGACGGATCGGCGTGCGGTCAATGGCAGCGAGGCCCGCGGGATAGCCGATCCGGCGGTGCGCAGCAGCCTCGAGGCGTTCTGGGGTCGGAGGGCGGCCATTGTGGATGGGATATGGCCTTGACTTGACGACTGTCGTTTTTTGTGACGGTTATGGAACAATGGGTTCTCGAATGGATTGATTGCTCGTCGTTGAACGAGGGCAACTCCCGGGTCGGGAATTGGTAGGTTGTGATTGGTTGTCGCATAAACTTTTTCCCGCTACTGTGTGGTGTGTGGGTTTTCGTGCCCATTCCAGTCCCGCGGCAAATCGATGTCTCCGAACTTTGGATCATCAACCTACCTACGTCGTCACAGTAGTCAATTCAATTGCCAATTGAGTGCCTGCAACCCTTGTCGATTGGAACCTCCCCCCCTTGGTTTCTACTTGGAACGACCGACATCATGAGCTACGTTGCGCGCCGTGGTCTCTCGACCCTCATCCCGCCCAAGGTATATCCGCTCTTCCGAATCGAGGAATCTTGCAACACCGTGCTAACTTGAATCGAAATCAGGTCGCCTCTCCCAAGGTACGATATTCCCTCGTCCAAACCGAATAGACCTTCGAATTCGACTTTTTTTCTTCTTCTTCTTCTTCCATCTTTGGCCGTTCTTCGCGCGGCTTCCGAGTTGATAGGACACTGGGGAATGGCTTGGACGTCGACGAGGGCCGGAAAGATTTTTTCTTCTTCTCGGGATCAACGACATAACGGCTGACGCATGATTGTTCACGACTCTAGGCTCTTGGTGCGAACCCCAACGCCGCCCGCATGGCCAACGTTGGCAAGTTCTACGAGAGGCTCCCCCGTGGACCTGCCCCCGAGCCCGAGGCCAAGGGCCTCCTCGGATGGTACGGCAAGAAGTACTTCAACGGCAAGAATGCGTCGGGCATGCGTACGTAAATTCGCGAATTTGTGGAGAGGGGGCAGGGAAAACCAAAATGGGACTGTCCATGCTGACGAACAGATAGCCATCGTTCACGCCATTGCGCTCGTTCTTGGCATCGGCTACCTCCAGAGCTACTACTTCCACCTCCGTACGTTGTTTGTTCTGCTGTGTGTTTGAGCCGAGTTGTTGCTGACATATTTTCTATCTCTATCCATAGGCCACGCCAAGAACAATGCTCACTAAGAAGGAGTACGGAAGGACAATGATAGCTTCATTCGCCTAGTATAGATCGACAGGCGTGTACATATAGACGTTGTTCCAACGGACCCCTTAACTGAGAGATTCCCTTTGTGTTTCACGTTTCGAGGCGTCCCCAGAGATGATGCGAAGTCGTTTGATCCGAGCGTGCGGTATAAATTTACAGAAACAGATACGCCGCGGAGCTTGTCGAAGCTTGACCCATGCATATTTCGCTACTGTAAGTAAGGTATGCTATTCAAGTGACCCGACCTGGGGTGTCATCAGCAGTTGTGGTTATCCGGTGAGCCCTTCACAACCTCAGCATAATAGTAGTTGAAACATATACACGTGTAGTGCGGGAACATGGGAAGGTGGGATGGAATGGAGTGGACAATGATTCTTCTGTTGCTATTGAACAACTTGTACTGTATCCCTACCCCATGATGGATGCATTGCACCCGGTGTATTACAATGTAATCGCACTGTCCAGTACCCAAAGTTCGGTGTCAGCCTGTCTCGAGGCCGGCTGGGCCTTGACTGTTTGTTCCGTCATGCTAGGTCTGACAGTGTACCTTAAAATTTAGGTATCCAAGTCAACGTGCTGGTACGGTCATACCTCTCGCGCAACTGTACTCCGCACTCAATACGAAGTACACGTGTAATACCTAAACCGAATAGGTACCTACACGTACTCTGAATGCGGGCCTTGGGCGCTAAACCCAACTAGGACCCAAGAGGCCTGGACTTGCAGCTTTCGCTTTCGGAAAATCAACTTGCAACAACCAGCCGCAAGCTTCCTTCCCACAGAACGTCTCCTCGTCGACCTACCTAAACCTACCTCCCCTCATCTCCCCATTTACGTTGCCCATATTTTCTTACGTTTAATTCTTCTTTGTTTCCCTGCCGTTGCATATTGCACAGGCACACGTTGCATCTAATCAGCCGTCTTCCTGGCAGGGGGAAAGACGCTGCCCCCGGAGACTCTATCTCTCTTTTGCGATCGATCGTTCCGACCCAACGACCTCCCGCTTTGCGACTCCTGTCATCGACCGGCCACTCGTCACCCATCACCCATCACCCGTCACCTGATTTAATTTCTTCCATTTCTTTGGAGCGTTCGGCGACGATTGCCTCGAGATTGCCCCCACCACTCTTCAACCAAAGTGCTTCAGTACTTCACTTCCGGCCGCCTCTAACGAATCGGCCTCGCCACGACGATGGCAACAGAGGCTCCTACGGATCCCTCTGTCGATGCTTCTACCCATGACGCGAACCTCGTGAGTGCTGACTGCATGACCTTCCTGTCCACGCTTCCCTTACGGTCTGCTCTTCTTGCCTCGTGTCTCTTGGAGCCCAATCCAGCCAAGCTCAAGGCAGACATCAAACAAGGACAGATTCGGTTTTCTCTTTTTCTTTTTCTCTTTTCTTTTTATTTTCTTTCTTTTTTTACTTTGTTTCTTTTCTTGGGGACCGCACTTCCTTCGCCATCTCCATCTCGGCCATTCCGCATGTCGGATTGCTAATATACCTTCTAGTCTAATCAGTCTGGCAATGCTGACTCCGCCTCCCAACATGTCACCCTCAATCGTCCAAGCGTAAATGGGAGCCCCGCTCCCGACGAAATCGAGAATAAACATATTACCAGCGTTGAGGATCAAGCCCACTCGGCCGAAGTCAGTGTGAGCGGAGGATCCGACACAGAAGCATCACGGGGCGATTCTACCAGCAAATCCAAAGATGGCGACAAATCTCAACCTCGTTCTTCGACGACCCTCAAAAAGCACACCACCTTCAAAGCCGTCTCGGTTAACAAGACTTTTCTTGCTGCCAAGGCGGCCGCAAGTAGTTCGACGTCCAAGGCCAACGACAAGGGTACTACCCCGTCTGCTGTGAATGCCGCCTCGTCAGGCACCGCAGCCCTGTCTGGTTCCCGCCCAAGACTGGTGGCCAAGACGGGCGGCGGTTCAGGAACAGGGCCTAAATTTTCCTCTGTGATGAACGGTGGCAAGACATCAACTGGACCTGACGCGAATGCTGTCTGGAACAAGAATCGCCGTGAGTCGCCTGGTTTTCCTTCACGAACGAACTCTTCTTCGTCACCATAACCGATACCCCCCTGACTGGGGGTTTGCCTTTCATCATACTGACTCATGTTCCGCAGCCGTTCCTGTCCCTGATCCCAGAAAACTTACCGACGAGGAGCTGCAGAAATACGGTATTCATATGGCAAACCGACTCGGACCGGAGAGCACACAGGGACAGAACAACTGGGCAGACATTGACGATGATGACGATGACTGGGCGCCTGATACTATCACTTGGACCGACGGTACCAAGGTTACCCTCCCCCAACCTTCCGAAGGAACCACGGCCCCCTCTCCTGATCGCCAGCCGACCCCGCCCAAGGAAAAGCCGCTTCCTCCCGACAACAAGCCCAGGTCACCCGCTGAGCCCGATGCCGTCACCGCTTCTCCGACCATGAAACCCGGTCTTCTCGCTTCAGGAAAAGGCTTAATTCTTAAGGGGGCCTCGGCCGAGAAGGCCACCTTGGTCGCCAAACCTCCTGCGCCGACTACCCAGGCCAAAAGTCCCTGGGGGAAGCTCCCCCCCGTCGACAGAACACCGCCCGTCGTTGCGGAGCCGCCTCCTTTCCAGTCTCAGCCTCGCGTACATCCCAGGGATCAGCATGGTCATGCTGTCCCGGGCCGCCCCGAGCCACAGCCACAGCCACACGGTGCCCCTCGAGAGATAGCACCGGACGACTTTAGCAGGTCGGCGTGGCGCGATGGACCTGGAGCTGGCAACAGAGAGCTTTACAACTCGCACTCTGGTCGATATGAACCGGCACCTGATCGTCGACCTTCCTGGCGGGCCGATCAGCATCCCAAACAACCCGCTCTCCTACAACGCCCCCAGCTCGACCAGCCTGAGCCGTCTCCTGCCTTTCAGACGAGTAGAACAACTGCCCAGGACGGTCACTATGGCCGACGCCGCGGCTCGTCTTCCGTTAGCGCAAGCAATCCTGCTTATCCGCAAAGGCCCTTTTTCAAGGGACATGACCAAAATATCCCCGCCGATGACCTACCCCCGCCCGGAGCCCGTAGCGGCTCCCTCACGGCGTCGATTGAGAGCCCGGCCTCGCCTCGTGGCTTCTCCCCCTCTGGTCTTCACAGTGGACCGCGGATGCACCAACCTAGCCAAACCTGGCGACCTCATGTTTCCCCTGCCACATCACACGCCACGCTTCACACCGCCGTCCCTTCCGCAGTCGTCAGCCAGCCGGAGAGGACCGCCGAGGACGAATTCGAATATCAGAAGAAAGTCATGCGCGAAAAGCGAGAGCTGGCAATGCAGCGACGCCGCGAGCAGGAAGCTCGAGAGGAGGCCGAGAGACGCGAGCGGATCAAGGCCAAGCTCGAGAAGTTGGGCCCTCCGCCCGAGCGCAAGTCGACGAAGGAATCAACGTCCCAAGAAGAGAAGCCTACGCCGGCCCCGCACATTCAACAACGCCCCACTCGGATCGAGACGAGCTCTGCGTCGCATTCCAAGGATTCGGCGGTGAGCCCCGGCCGTTCTTCCGCCCATCTCTCTGCAGCGCAGGAGTTCCCTTCCGCCGACAAACCCCTCGCCGAGAAGTTGCTCGAAAAGTCCCCGAGCGGACCGGGCGCTGCCGGAAATTCTACAGTTCCGTCACACATTCTTGGTCGTCAAGACGTCAGATCCGCGGCGGACACCAATACCGATACGCTTCCGACGCACTTTCGCGGGCGACAGGATGCGCGGTCGAACAGTTCCTGGAATTCATCGCAGACGTCTCAGCCAGATCATTTCGCTACTGCTACTTGGGGTGTTCCGGCCCCGCAACCTTCAGGAAGCGTCTGGGCTCCAAACAACACTCGCGGCCTGGGCAACGGCACCTTCAACGCAAACCTTGGACGTGCGCCGGCCATTGGTTCACCGCCACAAATCGATCCGTCCCACTCCAGAAAGGGACCCGCGCCTATAGCCCCACCTAGCACTCAGCAGAGGGCGCATGAACCCGGCGTACAGCCCGAGCCGAATGCCGCCACACGAAGCCGGTGGACCGCTGCGATCGCTGACAACGACAGGGCGGTCCGGAGCGACCTGATTCTGCGTCAAGCCGAGCAGGAAAGACAGCTTTCCGAGCGCGGACTCACCTTCGCCGACACGATCCCCGACGTCACGGATACCTGGCGGCCTGCGACGAAGCTTCCTGCCTTGCAGCCCTCTCGGGCAGATGTTTCCCAAGCCGATCGTCCTTCGACTAGCGCTGGCGGACTGGGTGGCTCTGTGCTTCACCCTGCTTCGTCCGCATCGCAACCCCGACCGTCCCGATTCTTCCCTCACCCTCCAAAGGACGTGCGGAATGAACCGACTTATGACCTTGGGCCAAGCCGACCAAAATCGCCCTCACCACCTCCCCCGGATGCAGCTGGTCACCCGGCGTTCGATGGTGATGCCCTACATCCGCACGTTTCGCTCCCTCCCCCGCAGCCCATTGTCAGGCTGCCCCCCGCTCCGGCGGCCACATTGGCCTCTGTATCCAAAGCGGGCTCTTCGTTCTCCTGGGCGAACCCGGCCCCGTTCAAAGAGACTGCCGGTGCTACTGCTACTGCGACCGCGACTGCGACTGCGACTGCCACGGTCACCACTACCACCTCCTCACATCGTGCACGCGGCGGCTCACATGCTGAACGGGATAACGCCCACGCTCCCTCTGGCGAAGCGGATGGCTCCCAGTCCACCACGGCTGGCGCTTGGGACGAGAGGTTCCGAAATCTCTTCTCTGACCGGAAAGCCCCCACGGGGCGTAAAGTCGTAACCCCGGCCAAGGCATCGGTCGTGGACCCATCGAGCAGGAGTGCTCTGGACGAGGCCGGCCACCGTTACCCCGCCATGGTTTGCCTCCCTCAGGATGCCGACGTGACCCGTGGGCATATATCTGCCCGGAAGGAGTTCAGGGACGATCTGACGCGTTTCACGAGCAAACCATTGTCGGAAGAATGCTTCGAGGAGCAGGAAATGGGTTCACTGCCCCTCGTCCGCGTGCCCCGCGATGTGTCTGACGCTGCGTGGCATCCGGCGCCGCTGCCCGATGGAGATGACGTTCGGCGGTTCGAAATCGGGGACACCACGTCCGCAGAGCAGCTACGGATCCCACACGATTTCGCGGCAGCTGCTCGGGGCGGGCCCGAGTATCGCATTCGGTTTCCTGGCATGAGCACTTGGAAATCCGTCCCGGCCCCTGCTTTGCGCTCACGGAGCAACCCCCGCCGGGGCCCCGGTAGAGGATCCCGCACATCGGTTGGCTCTCGGGCCGGCAAGGGACGAGACTCCAGCTCCCAAGCCGGGGATCAGCCTTCCCAAGGTCCCTCCGGGGGTCGTGGAGGCCGAGGCGGATATCGAGGGAGATCGTCGGATTGGACTCGCCGGACGCCTCCTGCACATGGCTCCCATTAGTCGTCGGACCTGTTCAGGTGGGAACCCGGAGCGATACACTCGGCCTTTATTCTGCGACGGAATATGTCTGCTCAACCGTGAAAAAGTATGGCCGATGCATCCCTGCCTACGTTATACAACCATTTACACAGCTACAGCACGGTGGGGTTGTCTTGGCGGAAATGCCCAACCTGCTCTCGGTTATCGGCTCAGAGCGGCGTGTACGATTGTTTGTTTCCTGGGAGACGGATACCTTCCCGTGGGAGGTTTTCCTGGAGGAGACTGTTTCCTATATCTCAACGTGGCTTGCACTTGAGTCTTGATCGGTCTGGTTGTCCCCCATTAACAACAGCCCGAACACCCAAGGGCTGGGGGGGGGGGGACGGGGAACTCGATTCGCCATGTGTGACCAGCACGAGATGCGATATTGGGCACCGAAACCGGCCCACAGCGACCGAACTATGTTCATATTTTCTATATTTTTTCCATTTTTATTCTTGTTCTCCTCCGTGGCACTTTAGCCCGATGTTATTTTTGGCGTGGTGTTGCTTGCACCTCTGCAACGCCCCTATCCTCTTCCGAAGGGCATGGAGGTGTTGGGAGGGTCGTCGGGGGTCTTTATGGGGCCACGTACATATTCGACGGTGTATCGAGATCTCTCTCCCGCTGGCATGGGGACTTGGTGCGGGAAAAAGGGTCTGTTCACGAATTTTGCGGTGGCACATGGACGAGGGACGTGTCATGGCGGCGTACGCGGATTATTCTTATTCCCCCTCTGGACTCGGGACGACTGGATGAGCAGCGGCTGCAACGGCCGAATATCGTCGGTGTTGCCGGCGCGGCACCGCTTTGGTGGTAGTTGGGGAGGTTCAGGGAGGACGAAGGAAGCACTGCGCACGTAATCGCAATACCCGTAGCAGCGTGGACCGTACGACGTAGCAGACAGATACTGAGCCCGAATTTACAGTAAATGATGAATACCCGTGCCGTTACGTCTAACTTAAACCCTCATCAGGATTTCTCCAAGGGTTATGAGTGTGAAGACTCGTGGCGCATACAGCGCATACAGCGCATATCCCGCTGGGAGGAGGAATAACAGCAGCTTTCAAGTCTGGTGGTCTGTCTATTCTTTCATTTTCGTATGCATGCATCACCATCTCTCGTTGACCCTCCTGGTTGATCATGATGCGACTAAACTCCTAAAACTCCGTCCGCCTATGTTATAATACCCCAAAGACTCCTTCATCATGACAGCTCGTGTGGCGTGTATGAAAACTGGCACGAAACCGTTGGATATATGTACACATGCATATCCGTCCATACATTTGCCGCACAGACAAGACAAACAAAAAAAGGGCGGAAGAAGGCGCCTCCACTGAGCAGTTGCAGGTAGATGGATAGATAGGTGGGGAGGGATTAGAACTCTTCGACGGCGCAGTTCGGGTGTAGGATGTAAACGATCTTATCGACAGACGACGACGTGCCTTCTCCTGCGTTGTCTTCCCCGTCGGCGTCCTCGGTCGAAGAGCTTCGGATGGCCATGAGGATGTGTTCCTGTGCAAAGAAAACAAGACTTGTTAGCTGTCGTTGCGCGGTGTCACTTGGTTCTGGGACGACGTGCTGCCGTACAACCAAGAAGAAGAAGAAGAAAGAAAAAAAAAAAGAAAAAAGAAAAAAAGAAAAAAAGCGGGTTCGAAACATACCTTGACCATCCTTTTCAGTACCAACTTGGCAAGACCCTGCTCGCGGTGGTAGTCCTCCTCGCTCTCCAGCTCGTCCTCCTTCTGCTCGAGATACCATTGCACCAGAGTCTCGCCGTCGATGCCCTCGCCAGTGGACGCCTCGTCCTCGTTGACGCGCTGCACGAACATGTTGACCATGCTGATGTACTTGTCGTATGTGATGGTCTGCTTCTTCTTCTCCGCCGGCTGGGACTGCGACTGCTGCCGCGCCGCGTTGCCGCCACTGTCGGCCATCTCCTCGTCGCCCTCCGCGTCCGCGTCCGCCGCCTGGCCGGACGCCTCCCGCGCGGCCCTGCGCAGCGTCACGCCATCCTCCACAGGGGCTTCCTCCTCGTCTTCTTCGTCGCGGAACTCGACGTCGTCGTGCTCGACGGAGATGATGCTCTGGCGGAGGAGGTTGTACGCCTCGATGACCATGGTGGAGGAGATGCCCTCGACGCAGTTGGCCTTGGCGATGGCCTCAGACAGGCGGATCAGGCTCTCGAGCTGGCGCACGGTGATGCGGTAGCTGTTCTTGCCGACGCCGCCCTGGGCGTCGTCGGCGCGCAGCTCCTTGTACTTCTGCACCAGCGCCTCGCGCGCCTCGTCGGTGAACTCGGGGCGGAAGGTGCGCGCGAACCGGATGTAGCGCTGCAGCTGCTCGGTGCTGAACTCGGGCTCGACGGCCGCGTCGCGCAGCTGGTGGACGCCGACGATGTGCTCGGCCAGGTGGCGGTCGACCGACTCGGAGCACTCGTCGAGGATGACGAAGAAGAGGTCGAAGCGGGACATGATGGGGGCGCTCATGTTGATGTTGGAGCGCAGCGTCGTCTTGCGGTTGTAACGGCCTCCGACGGGGTTGGCGGCGGCGAGGATGGACGTCCTGGCGTTCAAGGTCGCCTGGATGCCGGCCTTGGCGATGGAGATGGTTTGCTGTTCCATGGCTTCGTGGATGGCGACCTGGTCGACGATGTCCATCTTGTCGAATTCGTCGATGGCACAGATGCCGTTATCCGCTAGCATGAGCGCACCGGCTTCGATGGTGAACTCGCCGGTTTCCTCGTCCTTGATGACGGCGGCGGTGAGACCGGCGGCCGAAGACGCCTTGCCGCTCGTGTACACGGCTCGAGGCGCGAAAGAGCAGATGTACTTGAGGAACTGGGATTTGGAGGTCGACGGGTCACCGACGATGCAAATGTTAAGGTCACCACGGAGCTCCATTCCCTCGGCCGTCGTTTTATGCACGCCAGACATGAGTTGGAGCAGGAGGCCCTTCTTGACGACCTCGTGGCCGTAGACCATGGGGGCCAATGACTGGACGAGCCGTGAGTAAATGTGGTCGCTGTGGACCATGTCACGTAGCTCCTCGATTTCTGCGGGATTCATCGAGGCGAGCACGGCAGCTTGGGCCTCTTCGACGGTGTCGGTCGAGTCGGTCGAGTTGCCCTGGGTCAGCGAGTTGATGATATCGGCCATTTGTCCGGAAGAAGACTGGCCCGGCGAGGACGTGTCAGGGATGACCATGCAGGCGAGGAAAGCCAGGCGGTAGGTCAGGTCTCGGACACCTAGGCTCTTGAGACCCGTCACGCCGGAGCCGCCGGCGTCGGCGCCGCGGGCGGCGTTCCTGTCGTCGCGCACGGCCGTCGGCCTCAGACCGGGTATGCCCAGCTGGCTGACGTCGGGGACGACGATCAGGGCGCCGGTGAAGATGCACTTTTCGCCGGCCTTGGCCCGGTCGACAATCTCGCCGCGCAGGATGACGTCCATGGTGCGCGGCATGCTGCCGGTGGGGATCTCGGAGCTGTTCTCCTGGATGCGGACCTTCTGCCAGTCCACAAACGTACTCTGGCGGATGTCCAGCTGCCAGGCCTGGCGGTTCGAGCAGGTGCCGTTGGGGCACTGGGTAGGCTCGGTGTAGCGGAAGGTCTGCTCGACGTTGGGCACGACGGTGCGGCATGCCTCGCAGACGAAGGTGGCCACGGACAGCTCGGGGCGGACCTCGGAGGTTCGGGTGACGGTGCCGGAGATGGATAGCAGCTGTCCGATGTTGGCGGCGCGCAGGCTCCGGACGCGAGAGACCAGCGGCAGGTTGTAGAAGGCGATGGAGAAGAGCTTGTCCGTCTGCTGGTTACTCGTCTTGGAGCCCATCTCGGACTGGCTGGCCGAACCGGCATGGCTGGCGGCCGAGGTAGTGAGGTTGCTTGAAGTGGTGGGTTGGCGGTGCTCGCGGAAGTACTGGGGCTCGTGCTTGGCGATCATATTGTGGAGGGCTGCGGTGAGGAAAGGCAAGAAGCGATAGTAGCCGCGCATCACACCGTCGGCCAGCTCGCCGTTCTGCCAACTGGCGAGGTGCTTAAAGTCGACGTAAAAGGTCGAGAGCTGGTACGTTCTCATGCCATGGATCTGGGCAACGTAGTACTTATCGGTGGTGACGGCGCTGGGGGTGGGGGCACCACCAGATGAGGCTGGTTCGTCGACGAATCTGTATGCGCATTTGTTTAGTTTTCGTCAAGTGTCAGGACTCAGAAGAGCCCAGATCAGGCAAGAGAAAGAGAGAGAAAAAAATAATAAAAATATCCTTGTCATACCCCTCGATGAATGCTTCAAAGTGTTCCTGCACCATGAGACCAATCTTATCCTCTACTTTTGGGACGCTCGCAGGATCCTGTATCCTGGAGCTCCGGGGAACCTGGTCATCGGCGAAGCCTTCCGCCTCGTCGTCACTGATGGCAGTCGTACCCTCAGAGGGCGGTGCACGCGGGCGGGCACCGGCGGAGGAGCTCGGATGAAGGAATCTCCTGGGGGTTGTCGCCCTGTCGGACATGAGGTAGCCGGCGTCGCTGGAGGCAGCCATGATGCCTGGTTGGAGGGGGGGGCTCGTCGACAGGGCTTGTTTGGTGTATTTATATCTTGGTCGTATTATATCTCAGACGATGAGAGAATATGATGATGCCAGTGGGTTGGGTAACTGATCGTGAGAATTGTCGAGGGCAAGGAAGTCGGTGTGGCGGCTGAAAAGTTGCAAGGTGGGGGATGAAGGAATAAAACGGTAAATTGATTTTCAGCCTTCAACGTTCAGCCTCAGGGGAAAGACGCGTGCGGGGTTCGTGCCCCCGACGCGTTTTAGCGCGACAAGTCTTTAATTGATTGCAGCCGTTCCGCTAACCGAGTTTGGCTTAGGTCAGTATGCACTTCGTACAGAGTACCAGTACGAAGTACCTACAATGTCACCGAGACCTGACCGAGACGTAAGGAGTCCGACGAGGACAAAAATCCAGCCGCATAGGAAAGAGGATGCCTTTCTCTCTCTTATCATTTCTCCTCTCCCCTGACTAGTAGGAGTGTATCCTCTCGGCTACTTGCACCCACTCTTCTATGCCTCTCACATGCGGATCCGTCTCCGCGTTCGCCGTCGATTCGTGTCCCCATACTACCACTCGGTCAAACTCGGCTGTGATTCGCATAACTCCCTGCTTCTCCTTTTCTGCCTCTTCCTTCTGCTCATCGCCATCCATCTCTTCAAAGTGGTGCCATGCCTCTCTTTCCGCTGGTTGTTCCTCGGGCTGTTTCTCTACCACCACGCCTCGATATCCCTCTGGTAACCTCACGGTCCGGCCTTGTAGTTTTCTTCCGCGAAAATACGCTGTCTGATTGTCGCCTAAATTACTCCATATGAGTTTACTAGTTTCCAATATTGGTCCCGGGCGCGAGAAAAGGAAGGCGTTTACCTTCCGGGGCAGTAGGAGATGACGATGAGCCTGAGCTTTTTGGTGGTGTAGTTGTGGGCTTCCAGAAGGAGTCTGTTGAGCCCACGGGTCCCTCGTGGTGGATGCGGCAAGGGAGCAGATTGGCGACGGCCTTGGGCGCTTCCCTTTCGCCTGACTGGATTGAAAACATGGTTTGGGACATGGTGGGAACTTTTCGAGTATTCGGACTGCGAGGCGATGGATGGTTTCGGCGATGTTGCTGTGTCTACGTACTGCGTAGGTACATGGATGGAGAGAGGATGGCACGTTATCTCGAGACGAGTAGGAACGCGACCCAATTGACATGTGTGGTGGGGCGATAAGGCGTTCTGCGTGCTTATCGTGCACAGACGGAGCGTTCGTGGACAAGATCTAGGGTTCTTTCTCTTCACCTTTTTTGTACAGAGTATTAGGTCAAGGAGAGAGGTGAGGGTGTGAGACCTGTGTTGGAATCTATAGTATCCATTCGCTGTCATGCCATCTATAGAACATCTCTAGTCGGCGTCCACTTGACATGCACGTCTCGGAATCATATATACATTGGCCTCAAGGTGGAAAAGAAAAAGAAGAAACATGAATAGTCAAGGTCCACCCACATGAGATCAGACCGCAATTCAGGGTATCCCAAAGATCCGCAACTCTCCTCTCCAGACGTCCGAGTTCCGTTTCCCCCCCCGCTATTTCTTCTTCTTCTTGGTCTTCTTGGCCCTGGGCTTCGCCGTCCCCGTAGTCATCGGAAACCGGTTCGCATGGTCCACATCAAACGCAGGTTTATGCCGCCTGAAGAGCGCCATGGCGACCTTGGCGTCCTCCACACTCGAGTGCGCGCCGCTCTGGATCTCCACCCCGAGGATCTCCTTCGCCAGCCTCGCCAGCGCCGGCTTCCGCCCGTTGCCGTACTGCCGGAACCCGGGGAACTTGGAGGTGTCGCGTATGTCGCGGACGGAGTGGCTCAGCTTCAGCGCGTCGAGGTCGTGCTTGACGTCGTGCCCGATCAGGATCCTGTCGCGCAGCAGCTCGGCGACCTGGGCCTGGACCTCGTGGAAGTCCCGCGCGGACCGCATGTGCTTCGGCGTCAGGCCCGTGATGGCCGTGCGCCAGTCCGCCACGCGCTCCCGCGGCTTGACGTACGAGTCGTACACCTGGCGGCCGTGGAAGTCCACGACGCTGACGCGCGCCAGCGCGGACTCGTAGCCGCCTTCGCCGACGCCGACCATTTCGCAGTCGCCTTCGCCAACGCCGACCATTTCGCAGTCGATGGCGATGTACTTGCCCACCTCGAGCCCCTCGGTGAGCCCCGCGTTCACTTTCTCCTTCTCCGACGTGAGGAGCGAGTTGTTCCGCAGGCCCAGGCCGTACGCCTCGGCTAGGGACTCGGGGGATATGTCGTTCTCGGCTGCCCATGATGCGAGGGACGGTGACGGGCCGGTGTCGATCTTGGAACTCTGGCCTGCACCCATCCGGGCTGAGAGGTTAGGAATTCGGGCTCTCGCTTTGGCGTTGCCGACAGGCCGCCCCGGCAGCTGGGGCGCAGGAGCCGCGAGAGACTTTGACTTTTGTCTCTTAGCTGGCGGTGAGGATTTGGTTGTCGTTTGCGTAGCTTTTCGTTTCCGGGCTGTTGGGTTCGTGGTTGAGCTGGTAGTGGATTCTGCTTGGATCTGCGCCTGAAGCTTCTTCCAATTTGATGATAGCTCAGTTGCCATGGTTTCTCGTATCATGAAGATGGTTTCCTTTTAAGATCGTGCTCAGACAATTAATTGCTCACAAAGAGTCAGAACAATTTCTGACTTTTTATATGTAAGTTGGCCTCCCATCCGGCTGATATATTCCAAAGTCTTCAAGTAGGTGAAGTCTCTGAATTCGACAAAGTACAGTACCTTACGCTCAAAAAAAAGGGACCTTGGTGAGCTGAGTCTGTATATGCCGTTATCGGGGAGCTTTATGAGGAACAGAAATTCATGTAAAAGCTTTAATTAACTAAACGAGCGGATGAACATTCTTATCAGGTTTATCGGACACACCGCTTTCTTACCTTCCATGTAAGTGGGGCTCGGGTGGCGTTTTCTGCCGATACTACTTGCGACTTGCGAATCACTTGCGCCAGGAGCGTCACCATCACTTTTCCATCCCTTCTTCGACAAAATAGACAGACTCCATCACCCCCATCAACTTCCATCGAAATTCCATCATGGCGCAAAACCCCCCAAAGGTCGAGGCCACTGTTGGCTCCGAAGAGGCACGACAAAAAGGAAAGGCCACTCCAGACACGATCAAGTATGGCTGTTGCCCACCCTCACCTCAAGCCACCCCCCGTTTCGCATCGAATGTAGCACGCTAACTTGGCCTTCCAGGATAGGATGCATTGCGATGGTGACAAAGGACGGCTTTCCGCGCCGGGCCGAAATTCTCAGCATCAAAGAAACGAGGAGCGGCCGGCAATTCTACTGCAACTTCGACAACTTCAACAAGCGCCTCGACGAGTGGGTGCCGGTATCCCGGATCGACTTCGACCAGGACGTGGAGTGGCCGAATCCCGACAAGGACAAGCCCAAGGACGGAAAGGGGAAGAAAGGATCCACGGCGCCGTCCAAGAAGTCGCAGCCGAAGAAGTCCCAGAAGCGGCCGAGCAAGAGGGAGCAGTCGGTGACATCAGCGTCCGAGGTCACCACGCCGCACCCGTTTTCCGACACGGTCGAGTCGAACCAAAAGTTCACGCCCGCCGCCGAGGAGAGCCAGGCGCAGACGCCCGCGAATGGCGAGGTCACGTCGACGACGACGACGAGGACGACGCCGGCGGCGGCGGCGGCGGGGGGCGGCGGGGACGAGATGGACGTCGACGGCGAAGAAGTGCTACGGGCGGGAGCGGCGATTGCGGCGCCCAAGCGCGCCGAGACGAACGGGTTCAGCCGCGAGGCGGAGATTGAGAAGCTGAGGACACACGGCAGCATGACGCAGAACCCGGCCGAGATCTCGCGGATCCGGAACATCTCCAAGGTGCAGTTCGGGAAACACGACCTCTTCCCCTGGTACTTCTCGCCGTACCCGGAGGCCTTCGGCATGGAAGACGTCATGTACATCTGCGAGTTTTGCCTGGGGTACTACGGCGACTTCAAGTCCTTCTCGCGGCACCGGACGAAGTGCACGCTGCAGCACCCGCCGGGCAACGAGATTTACCGGGACGAGTCGGTCTCGTTTTTCGAAATCGACGGGCGGAGGCAGCGGACGTGGTGTCGGAACCTGTGTCTCCTGTCCAAGATGTTCCTCGACCACAAGACGCTCTACTACGACGTCGACCCGTTCCTGTTCTACGTGATGACGGTCCGAGACGACAAGGGCTTCCACCTCGTGGGGTACTTCTCCAAGGAAAAGGAGAGCGCGGACGGCTACAACGTCGCCTGCATCCTTACGCTGCCGCAGTACCAGCGCAAGGGCTACGGGCGGCTGCTGATCCAGTTCTCGTACGAGCTGTCCAGGATCGAGGGCAAGCTGGGGTCGCCGGAGAAGCCGCTGTCGGACTTGGGCCTCCTGAGCTATCGGCAGTACTGGGGCGAGAACATTATCGATCTCCTTGTGGGGTTCAACGAGCGGGACGACCGGGTGACGATCGAGCACATCTCCACGGCGCTCGCCATGACCCCGCAGGATGTGGAGCACACGCTGGGGGCGCTGAGGATGCAGATCTACCACAGGGGCGAGCACAAGATTGTGATCCCGGAGAAGTTGATCCTGCAGTGGGAGAAGCAGAAGACGAAGAAGAGGCGCGTGATCGACCCGTCGCGTATCCAATGGAAGCCACCGGTGTTTACCGCTTCGAGTAGGACATGGGGGTGGTAAAAAAAAAATAGTGTCGATATAGGACCTTTGGAAGACACGGGAGTTGCTGTGTGTGTCTTGTAGCACCAGGAGTTTAAGCAAATGATACCCCCTTTTTTTTTTATTTTTTATTTTTTTTTTTTAATCACGATTACTCCCTTCTTCCCCTCAGGACGACAGTCGCACTCTCCAAAGTACAGCTTACTTTGCATTTTCAGGGGCACCAGCAAGGCAAGAACACGCATTCCTCGGAAGCCTCCCCTCCTTCACATCCCTCACGACTCTCGCCAGCCTCTCCACCCCCTCGAGGACATTCTCGACATCCTCCCACGAGAAACAGATCCTCACCTCCCTCCCAAACCGGGCAGACGCTTCATCACCGTACACCTCAAACATCTCCCCCGCGCCGATAATCAGGTCCTCGGCCTCTCGGGCCCGCCGGGCCACCACCGGCGCCTCCACGCCGTCAGGCAAGGTCAACCAGATGAAATACCCCCCGTAGACATGCTCGCCAAGCAAGCTCGACGGCCGCGTCCGAACACCGAGCGGCACGAGCAGCGCCTCCACAGCAGCAGCGACGCGGGCGTGCCTGTGACGCAGGGCGGGGACGACGACGTCGCGGAGGCGGTTCTCCAGGGTGCCGGACCGCAGCATCTCCCACAAGGTCACGGCGGCGAAGTGGCTCGGGGCGCCGCCGCTCCGGGTGGCGCCCGTCTGGGCGAGGCCGCGGGCGAAGGCGGGGGAGGCGTCGACCCAGCCGGTGCGGACGGCGGGGGCGACGATCTTGGAGAAGGAGGCGTTGGAGATGGCGTGGCCGAAGCCGTGGGGGTCGGGGACTACTGCGTCGTCTTCCCCTTGGCGGCGGGGGAGGCGGGCGTCGATGTCGCTGAGGCGCGGGAGGCGGAGGTTGGGGTCGGTGGGGGGGAAGGGGAGCGGGGGCTGGGTGGGGTCGAGGGGCCATTGGAGGAAGTCGTAGACGTCGTCGGCGAGGAGGAGGGCGTCGTGGCGGCGGGCGAGGCGGACGAGGGCTTCGCGGCGGGGTAGGGGCATGGTTTTCCCCGAGGGGTTGGCGCAGGTGGGCACGAGGTAGATGATGTGGCGGTACAGTTTGCGGTGTTTTGCTCTCTTGACGTGGGAGGGATGCTGGAGTGTCGGGTCGGTGTGTCAGATGTGTTCGCTGTAGAAAGGGGGAGAAAATGAAATGAGAATAAAAATAAAAACAAAAATAAAAACAAAACAAAACAAAACCACCCACCGTAGGACCGCTCTCCCACTCCTCGTCAAACCGGCTCAACCGCTCCTCCAAGGCCTCGACATCCACCCCATGCTCATCCTCCGGCGCGGCCTTCATCCTGTCCCCGAACCCGGCGTCTTCAAATATGGGGCAGGCGAGGAAGTAGCACGGCGCAGCCATCCACACGGCGCGCGTGACGGCCGGGTCCGTGAAGCTGGCGAGGATGTTCGCGATGCTCTGGCTCGCCCCGCCGGTGATGCAGATGCGTTCCGGGTCGGAAAGGCCGCCGTAGAAACGGGCTAGCCAGGCGGCCAGGGCGTCGCGTAGAGGTGGGAAGCCCGGGTCCGGGGCATACTGCAGGCCCGGCACGGAGACGGCCGGATCGGAGAAGGCGCGGGCGGTGGCGGCCTTGAGGGCTTCGGAGGGGAGGACGGAGGGGGGAGGCCAGCCCCGGAGGAGGTTGATTTGTTTCTTGGGGGTTGGCATTTCGCCCATGTTTGGAGAGCTGGAGCAGGCGTTTGCGTTTCTTTGTGTTAGGAGTGGGTGGGAAGGCGGTAGGTCGGGCTGTGGCCGTAAGAAATTCGGGAACTATTCGAATTGCAGCGGTGGAATTGGTGGAATTGGAAAGCATTTGATCATGGGCGATGTGAGTGTTGAGTGTTGGGAATAACATGAATGGAGTGATGATATAAGACAAGCTTTTGTAACTTGTATAAGAGACTTTTGTGACTTATAAGTGACCTTTTTCCTAGGTACCTTGGAGTTAGTCCACCACCACCCATCGTCATGATCTGCGACTTCAAGGCTTCACTTCAAGACTGGACCAATTATTCCCAGTACTACGAACACACTATCCTACGTCGGCGGCTTTTTTCTTTTCTTTTCTCTTTTCTCCTTTTTTTCCATTTCTTTCCATTTCTTCTTCTTCTTCCATGATACATGGTTGAAAAACCAGCTTCTTTTATCCATGCATCGCTGTCGTGAGAACGCTATTCGGGTATCCGTATTGCCAACGGAGGCCTCCTTCTTCTTTCTTCTCCTCCTCCCCCCTTCCCCTCGTCTTCTCTTGATCCTCTCCATTACATCTCGTAAGGGGTTGGTTCCGTAAAGATGAGATGCGGCTTTCGCTTGGCCATGTCCAAGATGGTTGCGGCAAATACTCCATTCGCCCATGCAAACCAACTCCCTGTCGGAGGCGTCAGTGTTAGCATGTGCTTCACAAAAAGCTAGCGTCAACTGGCCCACCCAAACTCACTGGTATAGGACGTCAAGTGGTTGACATTCACACTCTCATGCACCAAGCCCAGCTTGGCCGAGTTCAGGACCAGGTCGATGCATTCCTTGATCTCGTCGTCGTCATCCGAGGTCTGCGCTTGAATCAACAAACTCATCGGCCATGCGTTGAGGAGACCAACGTGAGGGCCTTCCCAATAAAGGGAGACAAACAAGTTAGCGCGAACAGGGCCCCAGTGATGCAAAATGCCAAGGGAATGGCCGCAACGTACCTCCAATGCCCCGGAATTCCCGTCCTGTCAGGTAATACGGGTTGCCCTCCTTCTCGAGGAGCATCCTCCTCGTGTTCTGGTACACCTCATTGCCGGCATCGACGAACCCCATCAGCGGCAGGGCCAACAGGGAAGGGTAGTTGGCATCGTCCATCAGGACGGACGACCCGTAGCCGTCCACCTCGTACGCGAACACGTCGCCGTACTTGCGGTGCTTCACCACGCCGTGCTCCCAGATGCCGTCCGAGATGGTCCTGCTCCACGCCCTCAGCTTGTCCGCCAGCCCTGCTGCCTTCCCGGCGCCGTCCAGCACGGCCGCCGTCCGGTTCAGCTCGACCGCCATCATGGCGTTGGCGGGCACGAAGAAGCCGAGGATGGTGGCGTCGTCGCTGGGCCGGAACGCCGACCGGACCAACCCCGTGCCCCAGTTGAGCGGGTTCCCCACGCCGTCCAGGTTGAGCGTCTCCGTGCCCGTCCGCGCCGGCCGCTGGAAGGTGTACTCGTTGCGCACGAAGCGGCCCGAGCCCGAGCCCGGGTCCGGGTCGAACGTCGACTGCGACTGCTGTTCCAGCACGCCCAGCAGCGTGTCGAGCGCCTTGAGCCACCGCGCGTGCAAAAACTCGGTCGACCCGCCCGTGTGCGCGTGCAGGTCGTTGGCCAGCGCGAGGAAGTGCGCGAGCGAGTCCAGCTCGTACTTGCACTCGAAGACGAACGACGGCTCGTAGGCCGGGTGCACGCTGTCGTCCTGCCCGTTGTGGCTCACCGGCAGGTTGCTGATCGGCGGGGGCTGGAAGGCGTTGCAGTAGGGCGACTGGATCACGTACTCGGACTGCGTGTTGATGGCGCCGAGGATCAGCTTGTAGATGGCCGGGTCCTTCTTGGCCAGCGGCTGGATCGGCGACAGCTGGTTCGTCGAGTCGCGCAGCCATTCGGCCGTGATGTCGCCCGTGACGATGAACGACTGCGGGCCTTGCCACATGCCCTCGTCCTCGTCCTCGTCCCCGCCGTAGATGCTGCGGAATGGAAACCCTGCCGCCGCCCCGGCCCCGGCCCCGGCCCCTGCGTCGGTGCCGTCGGTGTGGAATTTGATGGTGGTATCGGTTGTCGAGGGGAAGGTGTTCTCGAATAGCCTGGCGAGGTCGGGATCCTTCATGCGCGACGTGACGTCCCGAATCACTCTCTCGATCTCGTCGGAGCGGAATGTGCGGCACACGGCGTCAGGTCGTTGGAAAGGCAGCGCGAGAGGTCCTTCGCTTAGAGGAGGGCTGTACGGAGGCAGAGACGTCCGGTCGTCAGCAAAATTTGTAAGGGGAGGGAATGGAATGCATGGAAGAGGGTTGAGGTGGATGGCGCACTCACTGCGGGTGCTTGGAGTATTCGGCATAGTTGGGGCAGGCGTCCGCGTTCATGCCTGCGCCTGATGGCTCCGGCTGCTGTGCTGAAGCGTATGAGACCCAGATACCGGCCAGCGGAAGTAGCAATAATTGAAGGGAATGGTGAATAGCCATTCTGCCAGGAGAGACGGGGGGGAGGTAGGGGAGGTAGGGGAACGGCCAGTTACGGGACGAAGAGAAAGAGAGTAAAAGCAAGGTAAAAATGTTGCGACATGAAGACAATGCCAACGAGGAGGATCTGGTTAGCTCATTTACTCATTTAAGCACTGCGCAAGATATATAGAAGGATGAAGAATCGGGGGCGTTCGTTCGAGTGAAGAGTCAGATAGATGGTGAAGCGAGGAATGCGAGAAGGCGAAGCTCGGACTACGGAGTGCGAGTGCAACTGTCACGTTCGGCCTCGGTGTGCGGGGTGGGGAGCTTGAGCAGCTGAAGTACCAGGGTACGTCCACTAAAATACAGTCATTACAGTAAGGTAGTGTCAAGTAAGGTACCTTACGCAGTGCCCTGCATGACGGGATGCCGCCGCCATCGCGGCAATTGGCGGCTTACGGTGATGACATGGCAACAGGCAATACTGAATATAATGACGGAAAATATCGTATGGATATTGGACTCGGTAAGATGGAATCAAATCCTCAGCACTACTTCGTAATTACTGGGAGGACCACGAGTGCAAGCCATCTCTGTCTCTCGTGCTCCGTCCTCCGTCCTCCGTCTTCTCATTTCTTGGAGAAAAAAGACATGATGCTCCCCTGTGACCTTGCCCCAGCCTTCTTCCCCTTGGAGCTTTGACTCCCCGCCGGACTCGACGTCGAAGAGATCTTGGCCTTGGATGATGTCGGGGCTGGCGCTGGCGCTGGCGCTGACGCTGGCGTCGACGGCGTTTCGTCTTCCGAGAATGACTCCCAGCCGGGTTCCTGGATCGTGACTAGTAAAAGAGATATCATGTTAGCCATACCTGATACTGAAGCTTGCCGTACCATCTCGTGCGCGCAGACTTAGCTTACCCAGATACCCCTGACTATCCACGGTCTGCTTCTTCTTCATGACCCGACGCCTGCCGCGCCGCCGACCATCTCCAGAGGCCGAAATGATCTCCGTCGGCTCCGCTTCCCGCTTCTTCGACTTGGTCTTGGCCTCGGGCTCAGCCTCCGCTTCGGCTTCGGCTTCGGCTTCGACTTCGGGTTCCGGCGCCTCTTCAATCGGCGCGTCCTCTCCCATCTCTTCGTCTTCCTCCTTCTGCTCAGACTCCTCACCGTCGCTCTCCTCCATCATGAGCCGCAGCTCGTCTTCCCGCTGCTTCTTAGCCCTCGCAGCCGTGTCGTCCGCGACCTTCTTCGGCGCCGGGACGGCCTCGGAATCGTCCTCGCCGTCGTCCGACAAGACGGGGGTCGTCTGCTCCTCGGGTTTCGGCGTCGAGGATGCCGAGGCCGATTTGGAAGAGGCTTTGGCTACCGCCTTGGAGAAAGCGGACATGATACCGCCTGACGACGAGGAAGCGCCTCGCTTCAAGGTAGGCGGGGCAGCTTTCCTGGTCTTTGCTGGCGGTTTCTCTTCTTTGACGGCGGTGTCTTTCGGTTCTTCCTTGACCTTTGCGGCGGCCTCGGTCGGTTTCTCGGTCGTTTTCTCGGTCGTTTTCTCGGTCGGTTTCTTGGGCCCACTGCTGCTACTCGCCGGCGTGATGGCGGCTTTCTTCTCGACGGGGTTCGCAGAAGAAACAGGCGCCGCTTGGGGTCGCTTCCCGTGACGGTCTCGCTTCCTCATGTGGGCGTTGAACATGGAACCATACTGTTTACTCCGTTCCGCCGAATCCTCATGCGAATAGTCCAATACCTCTCGTGTGACATCCGACAGAAGTTGAACTTGCTACTTCTTGAGTTAGGCTGGGCACTCTAAAAGAAAAGAAGAAGAAAGAAAGAAAAAATTGAATCAAGAACAGCGCCTCGTGCACCTCACCTTTAGGGGATGAGCCGATAAACTGTAGACCTGAAACGATGTGACATGTTGGTAGGTAGACAGGACCTCTTTCAAATCTATTTATTAGCGTACACTTTCCTGAAATTGTTCTCATGCGTGGAGGGAAGATGGAGCACAACCGCTCACCTGACAATCGGTCTTGAGAAGCCAGGCTCAGAGTCTGTGTGAATACCTCTTCATCCGTATTGCCTTCGCGAGACGAACCGGACATTTCGACATCCCCATCGTCTTGCATCTCCGGCTTCTTCGTGCCATAGACGAGATATGTCGCGTGAACCTTGCCGTGGGTCATCGCATTCTGCCACCTGTGGAAGTCATAGAGCATTCTACTTGTCGGTTAATCGGCTGGGCTCTCGGGGAGTTGAGGGGGGAAGGGAAAACCATATTGACGAAACGTACGCCTTGGCAACATTGACATGCACCTTTAGCGCTCGACTGAGGGTGCGATAAGTGACCATCTTGTCCTCCGTGAAGAGGCGCTCGGCCAGATATTTCTTGTAGTCCTCCATCGTTGCGACCCGGAAAATCAACATGTAAGTCCTCTTCAGCGGCACGGAAACATGTAAAGCTTTGAGTGGGTGGTCGTGATCTGCTCAGGACAGGACAGGGGACTTGTTGCGGCGACGCGTCCCCAGAGTTACAAGGGTACCGGAACGCGTCATCACGTGACCCTGTTTAATTGATCCGGAGCAATTTGACAGGGCGACCCCTGTACCAGCATCGTGACGCCCGACGCGACGACCCGACTGGAAGAAACTCGAAACGTGTGGCTTATTTCTTTTGGTTTGTCTTGTGGCCGTTTTCGCGTGTTTCGACGTTACACTTCAACTGCCAACTAATTACCTTATACCTTAGCTACCCATACATACAATCATACAATTGCTCCCCCGTCTTGGACCTCACCCTTATTCCTCGTCGCGATGGCGACCGAATTCATCGACGTCCCCGACTCGACCGACTGGCTCTCAACGCCCCTATCCGGTCTCGCCGTCGTCGAAGCATCCCTTCGCTGCCAAGTCTGCAAAGACTTCTACCGGACGCCCATGCTGACCTCGTGCTGCCACACCTTCTGCTCTCTCTGCATCCGCCATGCCCTCGCCAACGACGGCCGCTGCCCGCTCTGCCGCTCCGCCGACCAGGAGTCGAAGCTGCGCAACAACTGGTCCATGGACGAGGTGGTCGAGTCTTTCGCCAAGACACGCAAAGCTATTCTCGACTTTGCGCGGGCCCGTCCGTCACCGGATGGGAAATCGTCTCCGAAGCGGAAAATGGCCGATCGGGAGGGCGATGTTGTTGTCGTCGTTGAAGAGCCTGCGACCAAGAGGCGGAGGCTGCGGAGCTCTGCCAGGCTAAGCAGCGCCAAGGCTAGGGATACCCTGGAGGCTGTGCCGTCGTCGGTGGAAGAAATACTTATTCGCGATTCGGATGATGAGGTCGAGGGCGAGGAGGATGAGGATGAGGATGAACAGGACGATGCCTATGGTACGCGACCAAGTGCCAAAAATAACCCCCCCCTTCCCCCCCCCTTCTAACCCTTCCTAGAACCAGAACCCGACGACGGCCTTGTCCCCTGCCCCATATGCCAAGCCCGCATGAAGCAATGGCAAGTCTTCAAACACCTCGACACCTGCACGGGACCACCCGACCGTACCTCCTCCACCAGCAGAAGCAGACCCAACGGCCAAATGAGCAGCCATAACAACACCCACATCTCCGCCGCCCTCCTCTCCACACGCCAACCACCACCACCAACCAAACGGCCCGAGCGCCTCCCGGCCCTGAACTACTCGATCCTCAAAGATCAAGCGCTGCGCAAGAAGATGGCCGAGCTGGGCCTCTCCACCACGGGGTCCCGCCAGCTCCTCGAGCGGCGCCACAAGGAATGGATCACCCTCTGGAACGCCAACTGCGACTCGTCGCGCCCCAAGCGCCGTGCCGAGCTCCTGCACGACCTCGACGTCTGGGAGCGCACCCAGGGCGGCAAGGCGGCGGCGGCGGCGGCGACGTTTGGCGGCAACGGCGGCGCGAGGGCCGTGGCGGTGAGGGACAAGGACTTTGACGCCGCGGCGTGGGCGAGCAAGCACGATACCAGCTTTCGGGACTTGGTCGCCAATGCGAGGAGGAGTAGGGACGCGGTGGACGTGAAGCAGGACAGGGAGGAAGAAAAGAACAAGGGCCGCGAAAAGGAAGAAGAAGAAGAAAAAGAAAAAGAAGAAGAAAAAGCTGGACAGAAAGTTGTTGCCATGGTTGCGGGCGATGCTAGCGAACCTAGTCCGTCAGGGGAGCGAAAAGAGGCCTCTCTAAGTGGTCCAAAGACTGAGGGCGTCTGGCCACCGTCAACGCCACCACCGCCATCAACGCCGTCGCCCAAACCCAACGTTCCCTTGCAGGGTGGCGCTCAAAAGACATTGCCTCCTCTAACAGGAGAAACGAGCAGTCGGGAAATGCAGAATCAGACAGGGGCATAGGGCACGACAACTTGAGGTTGGAAATTCAGGCTCACAGCATTATTTCATTCATGGCATGGCATGCGTGCGTGCGTGCGGGGGACAACCAGTCCAATTTCAGTGGGATGTTGGCTACAAACGGGTTTTGGGGTTAGGCTAGAAGTTCTAGTTGGATGACGGCATAGCATTTGCCCATGTATGAAGCCCTTGTTGGATATATATATATAAAGGGAGAAAGAGCAAATATACCCCCCATGCGCCTTCTATTCCCGTGGCACTTAGTTGGGGAGGGCAGAAAGCATCGTCAATATTATTCTGCCGCCCGAATTCAAGCCTGTTGTGGCTTCTCTTCCAGAGCCATCTCCATCAACCGTTCTGCCGCCTCGGTCGTAGGCGTGACCGGCCGGAGCTTCTGTCTCTCGCTCTCCCTCTCCCTCTCTTTTCCCGCGGTATCGACCGGCACAATACCAGCCTCGTCCAACCTCTTCTGCATCTCCTCGGCCTCCCGCTCCTGCTCGGCAAGTTCCATCGCGCGCAGCTCGGCATCGACCTCGGCCTCATCCACAGCCTCCACGCTACTCGCGGCCTCCTCCTCGAGGATCCTAGCCACCTCGTCCGTCTCGGCAACCTGCTCCCTCAGCGCCTCGACGGCGCCCTCGACGCGCGCCACGCCGCCGACCTCCCGGTTCAGCGCCGCCAGGGCCCCGGCGCTGGACTCCATCACCCGCACCATCTGCGCCTGGTCCCGCGCCTGCTCCAGCTTGCCCGCCACGTCCTCGAGCTGGCCCAGCGCCGCGCCGCGCCGTTTCAGCGCCTCCTCGGCCGCCCGTTTCCGGCGGAGCAGCCCCAACGCCGTGGCGTGGCTGCTGCCCCGTCCCGCCGCGACGGCCGCCTTGGCTTCGGCCGTCAGCTCGTCGACGCGTGCGCCGAGGAGCGCCGTCTGGTGCCGTAGGTCGGCCATGAGGGTTCGCAGTTCCGCGACGGCCTCGTCCTCTGCCGTGATGGTTGGTTCTTCGGTCGCGTCCGCCCCGCCGCGGATGCGGACCGTGCGCCCGTCGCTGGCAATGAGCCCCTTATCCCTCTCTAAAAACCGGAGGAGCACGTCCGTGTCTGTCCCCGATAGCGATGGGGGGGCCAGCACCGAGTGCTGCTGCTGCTGGGCAAGCATCTCGCGGGCAAAGTCGCGGCGGTTGAATGTTCGTTCGAAGCGCGAGTCGCTTCTTCGTGCGGCGATGTTCTCCGCTATGGCTACCGCCGCCTTTTCTACGTTGGCGAGAATGACGAAGTGGCCCTTTGGTATGGTGTCCTCCCGCGTCGTCGAGGGCGCGCCAAAACCGAGCTGACGGACCGCCCAGGCGGCGGCACGCCAGGGTACGTTGCTCCAACCCCCACCCGTGTGATATATGCTTCCTTGCCTGCCGAGGAAATCTTGCAAGGGGAACAGAGCGCCGTTGTCGACGGAGTCACGGATGACGGTGCCGAGGGCTAGCGGGCGGCCGAACTGGCGAGATTCCAACTTTGCGGGGAGTTTTGGGTCGCAATCGAGGACTAGGCGCTGTGAGGATGATGGGGAGGACGACGAGGCTGCGGTGGGGAGGGCGGAGATCTGGCCATCCCAAGCAAGACGGGCGAGAGCCGAGTGCCAGGCCGTGACATTAGCCGAGTAGCCATCTGGGTTGAGGACTTTCTGGGTGCGAAAGTCGGAGTAGAGGGCGGGAAGGCGAGCTCGGCGGAACGAAGGGTCGTTCTGGGCGAGATAATCGGCAAGCTCGCCCATGATAGAGAGTGGGACAGTATATTAATTGTGCAGAGAGGCTTTCGACTGCCCTCCCTCGTCCTTCTTTGAGGTCCCAAGAACGAAGAAAACTCGGTATAATATGGAGGAAAGATGGATCGTCGATCGAGTGAGGAAGTCTGAATTTGTTCGGTCGAAGCGGTCTAGATTGAAAGTCTTCCTCTAGGGTAAAGAAACGAACGTGTCTGCAGACGACTATGCTACTGTTTGAGTGCGAGTTGAGGCTCGTGTATATGGAGGAGAGAGACCAGTGCCTGCCTTTGTGAAGAGTCGAGTGTTTTTCTTTGCAGGCGAGCAGGCAGCTTCCAGCTTAGACCAGGCAGCTCACGGCGGGTGATGAGTTGATATCAGGCTCTTATCAGCGCGTCAAAGAGACCAAGATACCCCTGTACCCCCTGTAAGTTACTTCCCGTACTCCCCTGTACGCTGCCCCAATAAGATGACCTCACCGTGCAGACCCACCCCCACTGAGGTATCTTACATACCTATGGTAAGGCACCTACATGCAGTACGTACCACTGTACGTGTACATAGATACACAGCTTAGGTAAGGTACAGGTAGGTACCTATAGGCCTTCCAACGGGCGAGCCCCTTAAACAAGGAGACGAAGCCAGCAACAGGCTGCTGCTTGCTAGGTGCTGTCTTCTCAGTTTCCCACCGAGAAAAGAGGAAAACATCAACACAGCCCAAGGTGAAGACCTGTCACTGGCTACAGGCGGCATATTAGTTATGTATGGTTTATACATGTGGTGGTTCTTCTCCGGACCGTCCTTCTGTTGATTAAGATCCCCATCTTCTACTTACACACGTACACTCCCAACCGTCCCTGTATCACCAACAGCCTCATCCAAAATCATCCTGTGCTGAATTCGGCTTCTCTCCCGCCTCCTTGTCTCCCGGTATAGTGGGCCTTTCATGTAGGGGAGCCGTCTCGAGGCTCGCTGCGGCTGCGACAACACCGCTCATCCTCCTCGTCCGAACCGTCGCCGCCTCACCCCCATCCAGGGCCTCGCTCTCCTCATCCACCTCCGACTCCTCGTCCTCGTCAGCCTCCGATGTGCTCCCCTGCAGGCCGTCTCCGTTGCCGTTGCCGTTGCCGTTGCCGTTGCCGTTGCCGTTCCGCGGCGGTTCTACACCTTCGTCCACTTGCTGCTGTAGTCCCCGTGTGAACTCGGCCGCCAGAGCGAACCCCACCACGCCGTCCTCATACCCCAAATCCGAGTACAGCCGCTGCGCCTCGTTAAGACACCGCTGCGCCTGGATGAATTTCGACTGCTTGACCCACGCCTCCGCCCCGAGCACCGCCCAGAACCCGGCCTTGCGCGCCCGTGACCCCCACGCCAGGGTGCTGCCGCCCCCCAGCCCGACGACCTTGGACGCGTAGCAGATGGCCAGCCGCTCCTTCAGCAACGCGTCCGCAATCGGCCCCGGTATCCTCGACTCCAGGAGCCGGGACGCCCACTTGGCCGCGTTGTCAATACTGCGCCCGCCTTGGAGACGCAGCAGCTCGAACCCCAGCGTGAGGGACCGGAGCGCCCCCAGGGGCGCGCCGCACCGCGTGTGGTACGAGTAGAACGCCGATTCGAGCATTTGGTCCAGCGCCTCGGCCCGCGATTTGGACGCCGCGTTCTGCGCCACCATGAGCAGGCTGACCGCCGCCATCTCGTTGGTCGCCGCGTGGTACTTCCACGCCTTGGCGTCGCCAAAGTCGGACCGCAGGAGGTCGTACGTCGACTGCGCCAGCTTCCAGTCGCGCAGCATGAAGGCGTAGTCGGCCAGCTTGCGCATGATGGCCTCCGAGCTGTCGGCCGGGTAGTACCCCAGGCTCTCGAAGCCGTGGTTGGCGCCCGCCGCGCCGCCGCCGCCGCCGCCGCCGCCGACCAGGGACGACCGCGAGCTGGCCCCGAAGCCGCCCCACTTCCGCGACAGGTTCATGAACCGCCCGGCGAGACCGCGCCGCCGGGACGCTACCTGGTCATTCCAGATCGACACGTGCCGCTCCATCGTGGGGATGATGGACTGCGTCACCATCTCGCGCACAAACGTGCGGATGGCCGTGGCGTCCGATTCGAAGATGTGCCTTGTGGGGTCCTCGAAATCCTCGTCGTCTTCGCTCTTGTGGAGATCCGCCAGCTCCTCTTCGGCCGTCATCCAGTCGCTCCTGGGAAGCGGTATGCTGTCGTCGTCTGTCTCTGCGCTCTGGCTGCTCCGCAGGCGGAGGAGATGGCAGTGCAGTCCCAAATGCCGCTTCATCTGTTCGAACAGGGAGAGAGATCTCGTGATGTCGTCGCGCTCCTCGTCGTGCACCAGCACGTAGAACCGGAGATACTCGCCATCCACCCAGTCGGGCAGCTTCTTGTCGCCCTGCCGGGTCTCGTTGTAGAGCATGCGTAGTTCCTCTATCGGCGACTTGCTGCGCGAGCTGATGGCGATGACGCACGCCACCGGGTGGGAAAACGTCTCGTGCGGCGAGACGGGGATCCCAGACAAGAGCCGACGGAGGTAGAGCGAGTAGTACGGAGAAGTGGCATCGATATCCAAGCCCCGTCTCGTGAAGAGCTGTCCCTGGTGCATATTAAACACGGAGTGCTCTGCATATAGGAGATGACGGTCTACGACCGACTCGACGGCTTCCAGCCTTTGCTTCTCCTTGGCCGCATTTTCGGACAGCCCATCAGCGGTTGCGGTTGTGGTTGCAGCAGCACTGGGAATCGAATCAGGTCCCTGAAGATTCTCCCCCAAACGTACAAACCGGATGGCGAAATCCTCCCACGTCCGACTCGACCCATTGCCGTCTCGAATGGTCACCTTACCCTGCACTTTCTCCCCAAACGGACGAAGAAGCTCCCACAGCCCATTCCGGAAGCCTTTCTCCCTGGCAAACTCGGCCGTGTCTTCCGAGGTGTAGATGGCGACGTGCGGGACGTACGCCTTGACCAGCAGGTTGAGAGGGTCGCCGGGGTTATCGGCAGCACTCTCAAGGAGCGACTTGGTGCCGGTTCCTCCTCCGCCGAGTACGGACCCCGTAAGGCTCCTGGCCGGAGAGCCGCGTCCCGAGGGTGATATGGACCTCGAACCGGGGGGTGTCTGCGTCGATGCGAAGAGGGGGGCGGCGGACGGGTTCCGTCTTCGGTACGGCAACGTGACTTCGGACTGCGAGAGCGGTCGGCCTTCCGGGACGGACACCTTGGAGGGCCTCACGGCGGGGTGTGCCGCTGGCAAGGTCTGCAGCGAGGCGGAGGGCGAAGCATCTCGAGATGGGGACTGCATGAAGAGGAGGAGTTGGTGGCGCGTGGCCCGATTTTGACCATGCACCCTAGGGGGGGCGAGGGCACAGCAGCCAGTCACTGGGGCTTTTTTTCAAGGAGCAGAGAGTGCCGAGACGAGCTGTTCAGCCAGTATTGGCTAGGTCGAAACTAGGTAGGGTTGTATCACGAACTGTATGTAACTTATGCTTCTCTGACGGTCGGCTTGTGTATCTGGTGGTTGCTCATCGGGTGCTGAGGTGCTGGTGCTGATGCGAGATTCGGAGGGCAGAGAATGAAAGAGCCAAAACCCAGAAGATTCGAGAAAACCTTCAGCTTTGCATGGGAAGGAGGCCGATCAAACACCCGAGCCAGGTAGTGGGCATGCTTTGTTGGCTTGGGTAAAGGCAGACGGAGAAAGGAGAGAGGGACGGTCGACCATGATCATGTTTGAGGTTCAACCTACCAGTTGTACTCCGTATACGCAACGAGTAGCCTTCGTAGTCTGACTTACATAAGCATTTTTCTTCGGATATCTTCATGTTTTATCGCCAAGAAACCGTCGTCCGTGGCAAGCCGGATACAGGGATATACAGCTCTACAGCTCTTTTTAATGCATACGACAGACCACAGTCCTGGGAGCTTCCTGGTCCTGTCGTCACTTCAGAACGGCAGAACGACAGCTTCGGCGACCAACTTCATTCTTATCCTTTCTGATCGACTTTTTTATCACACCTAGACACGCCAACACTGCCTACATAGCACAAGCAACCTTCGCAATGCCGTCCGACCTCTCATCATTCCTAGCCACGCGCTACCTTGTAGCAGACCCCAAACCATCCAAGAAGCGAAAACGCAAGCAAGCAACCGACGGCCTCATCATCGCCGACGACGACGACTCCTGGGCCAACCCCTCTTCCTCCAGACAAGACAACGACGACTCCACACTCGATGGCTCCGTCACAGTCTCCGGCACGAGCGCCGACTTTCGTCGCAGCAAAAAATCCAACTGGAAATCTCTCAACGGCCAATCGACCACCACCGCCACCACCACCACCACCACCACAAGAACACCAGCTACAGACAGCGACGCAGCAGCAGCAAACGCAATCCTAGCCTCCGCCGCCGCCGAATCCTCCGCCGCGCACGACGCCGACGACGAACTCCCCACCATAGCCCACGACGGCGGCGGCGACCCCTCCGTCGTCAAAATGAGCGACGGCACCCACGCAGGCCTGCAGTCCGCCGCCTCCGTCGCCGCCCAGCTGCGCAAGCGCCGCGAAGCCGAAGAAGCCGAGTTCACCGCCCTGCGCAAGAAAAAAACCAGCAAGAAAAACGAAGGAAAGGAGGAAGAAGAGGAAGAAGAAGAGACTGTCTACCGCGACGCCACGGGCCGTCGTGTCGACGTCGCCATGAAACGCGCCGAGGCGAGGCGGATGGCTGCCGAGCAGGAGGAGCGCGACCGCGAGAGGCAGGCCAAGACGACGGCGCGTGGTGACGTCCAGGCTGCCGAGGCGCGGGCGAGGAGGGAGGCGCTCGAGGAGGCCAAGACTATGACCTTCGCCCGGACGGCGGACGATGAGGAGATGAACCGCGAGATGAAGGACAGGCAGAGGTGGAATGACCCCATGGCGCAGTTTATGGATACCGCTGACAGTGGTGGTGGCGCTGGCGATGGCGGGGGAAAGAGCAAGAAAGGGAAGGGCAGGAGGCCGGTGTATACTGGCGCCGCGCCGCCGAACCGCTATGGGATTCGGCCCGGGTACCGGTGGGATGGCGTTGACAGGAGTAACGGCTTCGAAGGGGAGCGCTTCAAGGCCATTAACCGGAGGGAGAGGAACAAGGGCCTGGACTACGCATGGCAGATGGACGAGTAAAGGGACGGGAGCTAAAGCGTTGCTACCAAAACCGGGCCGCTTTGTATTTATGATTATATAGCCTAAGGTATCATGGCAAAGAGAACCCCAAAAAAGAAAGACCCCCCCCCGATTGATCTTGGATCTTTACTCCCTGCGGCGGATGAGCCGGTCTTGGCCCATAACACCATGCTGCTTGACAAGTTGGATCCAATCCGCCCTGGACGTCTGACTGGGACCAGCGCCAATACGGCCGTGAAAGATCCTCTGAAGCTCTCCTGCCGTTATGCCTCCGGGCAGCGGCGGAAGCGCCTGAATCAGTTCCCAAGCCTCGATCGGGCCGGCATTGGTGGGCGACCCAGCACGAGATCCTGACGCTGGCGGCGAGGCAGCTGTTCGTGGGTGGCCAGGTTAGCATTTTGGCTAGTTAATTTTCCACCATAGATGGGGAAGAAGGAGCAAACAAAGGTACACAGGGAGAACATACCAGAGGTGGCAGGGGCCGGACTTCCGGCGCGAGAACCGGTCGGGGTGGCCTTGGGTCCGCCGCTCACAAGCTTGAGCTTCTTCTTCTTCTGCTGCTGGCCGTCCGACATTTCTCCGCCCGTCGCTTCCCCGTCACTCGTCGACGTCAGGCCCGATCTCGGCTTCTGACCCGCGGCCGCCCCGGGAGGCAAGGGGGTGCCGGAACGGCTGGGCTGCACAGAGGTGCCCGTGGCTTTCTTCTGCTTCTTCTTCCGCGACGGCTCGGTTTCGCTCGACTCGGACAAGTCGGGAGAGCCAGGCCGCTTCAACGACTTGCCCTTCTTCAACGCTTCCGTCTGCTTGTGCTTGCCCGAGGGCGTCAGGCTCCCCTTGGGAGCGCCGGGAGTCGACACGCCCTTGTCCTTTGCAGCCTTGGTCTCCTGTTTGGAGCTAGTGGGGGGCTCCTGGCTTCCTCCTGGTTTCTCGTCGTCCTTCTTGACCTCGTCACCCTGTTTATCGGTTTTGTCGCCTTTTTCTTTCTCGTCGTCGGAGTCGTCTTCACTCTTTTTTTTTTCCCCCGGCTGTTAGCATGGCAGTTCCTAAGGTGGGGAAGAAAAAGAAAGAAGAAAAAAAGAAGAAGAAAGAGAAATCTCATATGATGGCCCTTACCGAAGAAGTCTCAAACGGATCGTAGCCACTGTCGGAATCACTTTTGTAGATGGTCTCCTTCTCGCGCTTGATCAGGGCCTTGGTCATCTCCTTGCCCTCTCTCCGCCTGGCCTCTTCCTCGAGGCGCGACTCCAGCTCCTCCTTGTCGACCTTGCCCTCGTCGGCGTCGCCGAAGAGGTTGGCGCCGAGCTGCTCGCGGCGGATGCGGTCGACGGCGTGCTTCTGGTCCTCGTCCTGGTCGGCCTCGAAGCCCGGGTTCTCGTCGTCGTCCTGGAACTCGTCGCCTTCGTAGTCGAGCTGGTCGTGGTCGAACAGCTCCTCGCGCGAGACGCCGCGGAAGGTGGTGCTCTCGGTCTTGACGCGCGCGGGGCCGCGGAAGTACTGCCTGGTGTCCTCCATCTCCTTCTGCTGCCTCTCCTTCTCCTTGTCCTGCATGTACCAGCGCGACACGCCGGCCTGCTTCTTCATCAGGGCCTCGGCTTCCTCCAGCTTCATGGTGGTGAAGTTGGGTTTGGCCGTAAACTTGTACCATTTCTCGAGGGGCACCATGGCGAACTTGCCGTCGTTGGTGGCCACGAGGCACACGGTGGTTTCCGACAGGGGGGCAACGTAGGAGCCGACCCACACGTTCTTGCCATCGGCATCCTCGAGGTGCCAGGGCAGCGACTCCTCGTAGCGCAGCTCCCGCTGCTTCCGCTCCTGTTCGGTTCGCGGGGCGCGGTGGAACTGGACGCTGCGCTCCTCCGGCTTGGGCTGCTTCGCCTTGGGGGCGGCGTTGGGGTCTTTGATGGCCGGGGCACTCTTGGCGGCTTCCATGGCTCTCCAGGCTTCTTTTTCGGCCTTGATCTTCGCAATCCTCTCGACTTCCTTCTCGTCTTCGGGGGCCGGCTCCGGGTCGGGTGGAAGCTCGGCCTCCTTGGGCTCCCGGCCGGGGGCAGGCTGGCGAGGATCTCGGCGCTGCAAGGTGACGGGTCGCGTGAAGTCGTCTTTATTGGTGGGATCGACGGGCTTCTTCTCGGGGCCCATCTTGGAGGTGGAGAATCGCATGGCGTGGTAGCGAAGGCCCTCGCTCAAGTTGCGCTTGGAGGTGACAATCTTCCACTCGCGGCCGCCGGGGGGTAGGGGCTCCGACCAGCCACCATTAGCAGCTGTCTTGGAGCGGTGTCCTGCGATGCTGGACAGGAGGGACGTGGTCGGGTCGACGGAGGTCGCGGCGCTCGATGTAGCCGTGGCCGTGGCCGTGGCCGTGGCCGCAGCAGCAGCGCGGCCAGGCGGTTGAGGAGGGCGAGCAGCACCAGATGCACCTGGTACGGGTTTAACATTCGGGCGGGTCGCATTGTTGTTGTTCTTTGGTTGGGGCCTCTTGCGAGCGACCAGAGGATCGGCGGTTCGGGGACGTCGCCTAATGGGAGGAGGTCGAGGCGGAGCGGCAGGGTTTGTACTGGAGGTCGGGTTAGGGTTCGGGGCCTGCCCGTTTGGCGGGCCGGATGGTGGCGCGCTCATGGTGTTTCGTAGTAAAGTTGGAAGACGTCTTTGGGAGAATGCGCGTCAAGGGGATAAGATGAAATGAGGTGTCGTTGTGGGCAGGAGACGCAGCGACGAAGAAGATGAATAGACCTCGGAAGCCGCCAAGCGAAGGGGGGGAAAAAAGCGAAAAAGGAAAAAAAATTGGGTATGTCAGAGAACCGGGCGTAGAGAGGTAGGGATAATGGAAAATAAAGAGGAAGACAGGCAGGGCATCAAGCGAGGCCCTGGATATCAACCTTCTGATGTGTGAAAGGATATTATCGTAGGCGTTGCATGACACGAGAAGGAAACGGGAAACCACTTTGGGGTTGCTGTTGCTGCTGTTTGCTGCGTTTTGCGCTTCCAATGGCCTGACGTATCCGCGTTGCGACGACGAAAAAGCGAATAGGCAATTGTTACGTTACTGGTGCTGTTACTGTTGCTGCTGGGGGAGAGAGAGAGAGATGATATAACAGAGGAGGTAATAATTTAATAATTACCGAGTAGGAGAGAGAAGTAGGAGTTGCACAACGGGCAGATGGGCGAGGGGAATTGGGGAAGGCGTATCTTTTGGGCTACCTACCTTAGGTAAACCTTGGCTCCCTTGACAAAAAAGCCCACACTGTGTACTCTTGTTATCCAGCACACTGCACAAAGGATGATACGGTATAATTAAGGTACGTACTTAATTAAGTAGGGACACCCATTGCCCAGTGTCATTATCAGGCTGTCTCATACGGTCCATTGACTCCAACCCTCATTCATTAGTAATCACTTAATCTGGACCTCAAATGCTCAAATCAACATGACCAAATCAGCATCACGTCATTGCTTCAAGTGCCCGAAAACAGTTAATAAAACAGAATCAAACACGGACACGATCCTATCAGTCTAGGTACCTTACCTAAGGTAGGTAGCAGAGCATCACATACAACGTATACAGCCAAACCCTGGATACAAAGCCATTTTTTTTTTGGGAAGGCCATGCATTGCTTCCAAGGTCTTTTCCTCTTACTAGGTACCAAGACATCTTGCAGCGACGGCTTTCAGGCTCCTAGGTAGTCATAGGGAACAGCTTGGAATCACGTGGCTCTGTAAGGCGCGTTGTACAGATACATATGTACGAGTACAGTATGGTCCTTCCTCTATACGGAGTATCTACTCCTCACAGAGTATCTATGCTTACTTTATGCCCATACGGGTACTAATGTCTATGTACTCCGTGTAAACTTGGACGGCCTTCCTTCCTCATCTGGAGGTATTCTAAAAGCGGACCTAAATTCAGACCTCAACACCATCGTCTACGAAGCACGAGGCAGAGGCAGAGGCAGAGGCAATCATCGCATCGTACAACGTATTGATCAACTCAAATACATGCATGCATATGCATACGCATACTCCCCACTCCATTCCTATTATGTTGAACCCTAGTTTTCAACCTTGTCCCGCTTCCATTACCTTCCTTGAAAATCGTACAAAGAAAAAGCCTTTCTAACGGCTTCGGCATCCAGCCTCACCTCTTTTCGCTGCATCACAACCCACCATCACTACCAACACTATTTCCTTCTCTCTACAGATCCCAACAGTCCGAAGAAAGGGTAAACATTGCCGGAACAAGTTCTTGAAAGCCAAAGCGCGCCATGAGATCTGCTTAGAGAAGAGGCCTGCTTTCATCTTCAACTTCATTTTCACCTCCATTCTCCTCCGCCTTGACCTCGTTCCGCGTCTCATTCATTCGTCATGACCGGCAGACACACCGACCCTTACGGCCGAGGTCATGGTCTTGGTCATGGTCATCCTCGGCCTCCCCCTGGAATTCCAGCTCCGACGCCTGATTTGGAGTATAGACTACGAAATCTCATCATTTCCAACGCGGCACCTGCCGAGGCATCTACCCAATCTACCCAGTCTACCCATTCGTTCGCCGACCAGTCCCCTGCACCCGTATCTCTCCCTATCCCTTTCAGCGTGCCAGCAGCAACTTCTGGGGCCGTCCCATCTCCAGCATACCAAGGTCAGGGAACCCTTCCGGCTCCAGCTTCTCCTGGCGACGTCTTGGGACCTCAATCAGCACATACACCCTCGAAGGCGTCCAGAAAGCGCCCCAACCAAGCTCAGCGCCGCCAGATGAGCTCGCAGCTGCTCATCCCCATCGATCATCGGCCTACGCAACCCTGGACTAGTCGACGTCCGGGGAGTCACGGCGGCCACGGCGGTCACGGTAGTCACGGGAGCTATGGGAGTCACCCGCAAAGCCGAGGTCAAGGTCAAGCTCTTCTCTCTCAGAGTCCGAGAGCCCCGTATTCTCATCCCACGGCTCACTCTGATCACTCGGCCCCGGCAAACTCTTGGATCAACTCAGGTCGTCATCAACAGCAGCATCATCAATACGATCAAGCCCAGAGGCAGGGTGCTCCCCAAGCACCACATCACCCTCATCCCATGAACCGCCATCCCACGAACCGCCATCCCATGAACCCCCATCCTATTCCGAGTATGCCGCCGGGACTGTCTGGGGACATGCCTGCTTCGTCTTTCCCCCGCCGCAGCCATCACGCCAACGTATACGAACCTCACAATGTCAACACTCGTCCCGAGCAGCTCGAGGCCCAATCAGCCTTCCTAGAGCACCTCTGCCATACCATTCTCAGAGACGCCGAAATCGACCGAGACGACATCATTGAAAAGGAGGCTTTTCGCTTCAGGATCGAGGATATCTGCCGCAAAGCCATTGCCGAGCACGAAGAGCAAACCCACCGCAAACTCGGCTTCCCACATGCTTCCGTAAGCCTCAAGTGCTTCGGCAGCCTCTCCTCCGGATTTGCCACCAAGGCCTCAGACATGGACCTTGGTCTCCTATCCCCCTGCTCCCAACCGCAGCCTGACGACCCCGCCTCGGAAATTCCTCGCCTCATCGAGAAAGCCTTCCTCACCCATGGCCTTGGAGCGCGCCTCCTGACTCGTACCCGTGTTCCTATCATCAAGGTATGCGAGAAGCCCAATGAAGGCCTCTTGCGCGACTTGCTCGAAGCCAGAGAAACCTGGGAGGCGGGCATCGACCCTAGCCTGGACGACCACGACGGAGACCAGCTCGAACTGGAAGCCTCGACCGAAACCCAGAGAGGAGGCGACGAACCCCCGGCTTCGACCGTGGCGACCGTGGCGACCATGGCGGCGAACAGTTCCTCGGCTACGGCGGAGGAGGAGGCGGAGACCAGTATCATCACCTCATCACTAGAGGGTTCCGCGTCTTTCAAGCTCCGCCAGTCCGAAGGTCAATCCCTTGCCGCATACCACATCACCGCCAAACGCGTTCTGCGGCGTTTGCAAGGACGGGACCTTACATTGTCCAACTACCGAGAATTCTCCAGAGACGAGTTCGAACTCCTGAACAGAGTCTGCGCCGCTTTTATCCAAGGGCTTCGCGACCCCGTCCTCAAGGCAAGACTACAAACATACCCGTCCATCAGCTCTCTTGCTTTGCGGCCGTCCGCAAGTGACGCTGGCCACGATGGCCGCCACTCCCTTCTCGGTGTATTCTCACAAGCCGAGGGCGAAAAGCTTGTTATGCTGTGGGAGAACCGCGGGACCCTTGAAAAGAACTCGGACCAGGAGAAAATGGCCGAAGGAACCGTCAAGAGCTGGAAGCTGACCCAGAGCCGAGACACCTTCGCCATTGATCCCCTCCTATTCACAAAGCAGGTCCAGATACATCTGGAGAAACTCAAGAAGATCAACTCGATCCAGCTACTCACACTCCAACAAGATCAGGGCGAATCGGCCAGCGAGTACTATCACCGCGCAGCGCGAATCGTTGCCGGACTAAAGCCGTCGGACTTTCTCGACTCGGGGAGCTTCCGCGAGCTGGTCGTTCATCATTACGTGACGGGCATCTGGTCCCACGAACTTCGAAGTGATATCGATGGCTTTGTCAAGAACTACGACGAGCCTCCCGCCCTCGACACTGTCGGTCGTCGCCACAAGAGCCTCCAGTTGGCCATGGAGCTAGAGAAGGCCATCGAGAAAGACCTCTACGGGGAGCCGCCCCTGGTTGAGCATATCCAACGCTACATCTCCCTTCTCCGCAGCCCCATGGAGCTCAGATCATCCCCCGACGGACGTGTCGGCTACGTTGTTCCCATAGCAGATTGGTCCCTCCTCGACTTGATCCAAAACATCCCCGACCCGTCCAAGATGGCGCCTAACCAGCCACGCGACCGCTATCGTGACAAACTCGAGTTTCCCGAGACGGGTGCCGGTGTCCAATGTGATATCAATTTCTCCGCCCATCTCGCCCTGCATAACACCCTCCTCCTCCGGTGCTACTCGCATACGGACCCTCGCGTGCGCCCGCTCGTCCTCTTCGTCAAGCACTGGGCCAAGATGCGCGGCGTCAACACTCCTTACCGCGGTACCCTCAGCAGCTACGGCTACGTCCTCATGATGCTCCACTATCTCGTCAACGTCGTCCAGCCTTTTGTCTGCCCCAACCTCCAGCAGCTCGGTCCGCCCCCTCCCCCGTCCTCGTTGCGGGACGACGACCCCGACCACCCGGCCCGTGCCGACGAGACCCTCTGGTGCCGCGGCCACTACGTCGGCTTCTGGCGCGACGAAGCCGAGATCCAGCGCCTCGCGAGCCTCGGCCAGCTCAACGGCAACCGCGACTCCGTGGGGAAGCTCCTCCGCGGCTTCTTCGAGTACTACGCCCAGACGGGCCACATGACCACGTACCCGGGCGTCCGCGGTTTCGACTGGGGCCGCGACGTCCTCAGCCTGCGCACCCCGGGCGGCCTGCTCTCGAAGCAGGCCAAGGGCTGGACGGGCGCCAAGACCGTGGTAGAGATTCGTAATAACGGCGAAAGCCCTGCCGCCGCCACGTCTACCGCGGCTGGGCCCTTGCAGTCTGCCTCGGCCTCGGCCCCGACGGCGGCCGGACCCCACGGCCACCCGAACCAGCACCCCGCGGGCGTCGACGTCAAGGAGATCCGCCTCCGGTATCTCTTCGCCATTGAAGACCCCTTCGAGCTGGACCACAACGTCGCCCGTACGGTGACGCACAACGGCATCGTCTCCATCCGGGACGAGTTCCGCCGCGCTTGGCGCATCATCAAGGCGGCCGGCAACCCGGAGGCGGTGGCGCAGGGCCGGGTCAGCAACCCTGGAGAGCTCCTCCAGGACGTCAACGAAGTCCAGATGAAGGATGACCGTGCCAATTTCCTCAGGCTGCTGTCGGATATCCACGGGTTAGACGGGACGCCTGTTGGGGCTGTCTGAAAGGATGTCTTGGAGGTCCGGTGGGAGACTGTTAGTTAGGTGTTCTTTTTTTTTCCTTTTTTTTTTTCTATTTCGTTGACTGTACCTACATCGAGTTGGGATGCAGGTGCGCATTGTTCTGAATATTTTGCCTCTTTATGGTTAGGAGAAAAGGTCTTGGATGGGATGACTACGGTACCCGCACGAGAGATGAGAGACGAGAGATGCAACACAATATTGGCAGGGGTTTCGCAAATTCTGTATTATTATCTGGATTTTTGTAGACTCATGCACCTCACTTCCTCTTCGCCGAACGAAGGTGTCAGGCATGTCTTGAATGGAACAGAGAGAGAGAGAGAATAGCACGGGGATCAGAAAGAGTAATGTTCGAAAAGTTCTCTTGCCCCTCACACATCCGCCCCCAGAGAGGGCAGCGGTCGACAAGACCTATGTGAGGGGCCTTCTTTGATCGACGTTTGATATTCCAGCATTCCGTTCAGTTCTCATTCTGGGATGAATCGAGCACCGGCTGTCAGAAGACAGCAATACTGGGGTTTGAGCGTCTTGGGCAAAATCGCTCGACAAGACGGGAAAGGTAAGGGTGAGAGCCAGAAAAAAAAGAAGAAAAAGAAAGAAAAAGAAAGAAAAAAAAGAAGAAAACCCGAAATGACCCAAAGGCTTAACCGATGGTGGTTGGTATCTCGAGATCATTATTCATGTCTATGATTCCTTGCCTTTTTCTTGTTCCGTTAGGAAACCCCTGTGGCCAGTTCACACCTACCGACTTGCATCCTGGTTCCTGGTTTACCTTGAGTGTAAAAGACATTGTGCCGCCCTGCGCCTCGCTAAGATGAATACTGTCAAAGATAAAAAGTCGTTTGGGATAATCGCCCAACAATGTCCTGGTTTCATTCCGTAACCTCGAAAAGACAAGCGAGGTCAAAAGAGAGAGAGAGAGAAAAAAGAAAAGAAAAAAAACTGCTCGTTTCCTCGTCGTTTTGTCAAGAAATACTTGTTCAATCCACAATATGCTGGTAAAGCGGCGAGATGGACTCGCCATAGTGGTTGCGACGGATGGCCTCGGCGAGCAGGAAAGACAGGTCGAGGATGACGAGCTTGGTGATGTTTTTGACCTGCTCCTCGCGGATGGGGAAGCTGTTGGTGACGACGATGGTGTCGATGCACTCGCAATTCTGCATCTGCTCCAGGCAGTCCCCGCCAAAGACGCCGTGGGTGGCAATGCAGTACACCTTCTTGGCACGGCCCTTCTTGACGACCGTCTCGGCCGCAGCGATCCACGAGCCGGGCTTATCGATCATGTCGTCGACAATCAAGACGGTCCGGCGCTTCACGTCGCCGACTAGCGTGATGGTATGCTCGATCTTGGGATCTTTGAGGATGGCCTCCTCGTCGTCTGTCTCCCCACTCGCGTCACCCGAACCACCCAGTGCGTGGGGCGCAGGGGCGGGGGCGAAGAAGGACGATGCATGAGACATGGTCATTGGGTCTGAGTCCTCTCGGACGCTTCCGTCCGCTGTTGATGTGGAAGGGGACGGGAAGTCGTCGTCGACGATGTGGCCTCGGATGAGACGGCCCTGGGTCACCTCGTGGGCTCGGCCATCGTCATACTCGCTATCCTCTGCCCCGTCTGGGCCATTCCGCTGTTGGGTTGGAGTTATAGACCGATCATCTGAACGAATTTGGTCAGGCGCACGTATACCCAACCCGACGGTACGTTGTGGCGAGCCTTGGGTGTTTGCGCGGACTCTGGACCGTATGGGCATGGTGGTTGCTGGTGGCGGGTCGTCCACTTGCTGATCGGCTTGCTCTTGCTCATCTTTTGGGGCTGGGGCGGTCTGATTTTGGGTAAATGTCTCGAGCGCAGGCTGTCTCTGAAAAGAATCATAAGGGCTGATGATGACACTGCTGCACATGTTTCCACGCTTCTTCTCGGTTGTAACCATGCCAAAATTGAGCTTCAAGGCGTCGGCAAGGGAGGTTACCCGTTTCGTTCCGCCTGCGTTCTTGGACACGACCACGGCCTCTCGCCAATTGGGGACGTTGTGCCGAATCCACCGTGCGATGAGGGGCTCGGCGTGCAGGTTGTCAACCGGGCACTTGAAGAAGCCTTGCATCTGGGAGGCATGGAGATCAACGGTTATGACGTGCTTAACGCCGGCCATGATCAAGAGATTGGCGAGCATCCTGGCGGTGATGGCACCACGTTGAGACTTTTTCTTCGACTGCCGGCTGTAGGGGAAGTATGGGAGGACGGCTGGTAGGTTGAAAAAGACGCAGCTAGTCAGAATACAACCCCAGACGTACAAAATTCCGTCGAGCCGAAGTCAACTTGAGAGAAAGCGCGGAAACAGCTTACCGGTAATCTTGTTGGCGGAGCCTCCCTTGCAGGCCGAGATCATGATCAGGAGCTCCATGATGGTATCGTTGACCTTGGGGCTTCCCGACTGAACGATGAAGACATCCTTTTCCCGGATGCTAGTCAGGATCCGCACGCTCGTCTCGCCCTTCGTGGCCAGTCAGTCTCAACGAGCTGTCGTGACGCATGATCAGACGAGGCAGCTCCTGCCAGAAGATAAACAAATCAAAAGACCTCCCCTCCCCCTCCCCTTTCCTCTCATGCGAGCTTGGCAAGGACAGGAAAAATAAGGCATCCGGCTCAAGATATGCGGCGGCTTACATTGGAGAATTGGGAGAGCTCGGCGTTGCCAGGACGTGTGCCGAGGTTCTCACAAAGCTGGGCAGTGAGTGCCGGGCATGAGCTGCCGGAAAAGATCAGCGTGCCGCGCATCGTTGGGCAGACAGTGAGAGGCGTATAGAATAGGAGATTGATAGAATAAGAGATTGGAAGAATTGGCCAGCAAAGGGGATCAAAAGTTGCTGGGGCTGAGAGCTGTGACCTGAGCTGGGCTCCAGCAGCCAGCAAAGTGAACGAAAAAAGACGGGAGAGAAAGAATTTGACGAACCACTGAACGTTGAACGAAGTTCCGACATGGTGTACAAAGTGGGGTAGAGTAAGAATTGCGTCATATTGACACTGTCTGCCCGAGATGACTGTCACCAATTCCATAATCTGATAGGCTGGACGGATAACCGTTACCCTACAAAGAGAGGGCACCGTCCGAAAAAAGAAACACTGTGTATTTAATCGGGTCCGAGCCCGTGCACCATGCACTTAAGAGATTGAGAGACGATATGTCCCGTGTTGTGCGACCTTACGTAAGACACCTCTCCCGACACAAGCGCCCCTATCCCCTCCAGCCTCTAGCCCCTGAGCTACGTTCTTCACATAGTCAAAAGCACAACTTATGCTATCTTGTTTTCCCTGATGAAGATGGGGATTCTGACGAAATCCATGATCAACCTCCTATCTAAATTCTCACATCAAGTCGTTGCAATCTCATAAGGGGCATACGACACTCAACTCCCAACCTGCTTTCATCATGGGCATTCCTCGTCTTCTTTCTCATCTCGAGCCCTACGGAGTCGAGGAACAACTCGGCAACGTCGACATCATAGTCGACGGGCCTTCTCTTGCATATCATATCTATCGTCTCGGTTCGAGTTCAACCCTCACTGCTCGGAATGGACGTCAGGGACCGTCTTACAGTCTACTAGGGGACACGGCCATCGCCTGGTTAAACCGGCTCCAAGAGGGAGGCTTCAAGGTGTAGCATATTTCTTTCCAAGGCTCTATAGTCTAGCCTTATGGTTGCATACTCATTCCCTAACGTTCCTTCAGAGTAGCCATCTACTTCGACGGCTTTTTACCCCTGGCCAAGAGACCTACCCGTCTTGAAAGACTCCTCCAATCATCCCTCCAACTCCAGCGTCTTCATGCCACCAATCTAGTCTTCTCAGACCATGGCCCATCTGTAGAAAGTCCAACCTTACCAGCGCTCTTTCCCACTCACGGGCCACGCAGAGACGTCTCTCACACGCCCCCGTTCTTAGTCCCTGCGATCCTCGAGCGTCTGAAAAGTGCTGAGCGGTACGCTTCCCTCGTCCATCTCGTACCTGGGGAAGCAGATGAGTATTGCGCCGAGCACGCCCTCGCTCACGGAGGCACCATTTTAACCTCGGACTCCGATCTCCTCATCCACGACTTGGGTTCTGGCTCCGTCGTCTTTCTGGGCGACATTCACCCCAGGACGAAAGACGCTGAAGACCCCCGCCCCCAGGGGCTCGTAGTGTCGAGGTATTATCCTCGAGAGATTGCATCGAGACTGCGACTCCCCCAGCCTCTGGAGCAAGGCTTGATCCGGCTGGGATACGAGCTATCCAAAGACTGCCATGCTTCCTTGTCGCAGCTCCTCGAAGCCTGCCAGAAGCCTTTGTCGAGGGTAGACAACGACCAGTTCCAGGTCTTTTCGCAGCCCTACAAATCATTAAGTGTCGAGTCACGTCACGCTGCAGACATCTTCTCAGCCTCCGCAGCATCGAACCTCGACCCCCGCATATCAGAACTCGTCCTCCAATCCACAAGCTACCAGCGCCTCCTATTTACGACCTCTCCCGGAGGTTTCGCCACCCAGCCTCAGGGGCAGGCGCAAGAACCGCTCATCTTCCTACCGCTGCTCCTCGACTGCCCCGTCCGCACCAGCGCATGGGATAGCAGCCTCGCCGTGCGGCAGCTGGCCTACAGTCTCTTCCACCTCGCCTACCCCGGCTGGCCCGGTTCCGTTCGCGAGTACAGACGCATCCAGTCCACGGCGAACAAGGGTAAAAGCCTCCGGCTCCTCTCGGAAGCATGCACTCTTGAAGCCGCAGCCGAGTTGTCCTCGGTCCTGTCTCACATGGCCGACGCGTTCGATGACGAACCAGACCTGCTCTGGTTCACCTTCGCCTTGCACCAGGACATGAGTTGCAGCCACGTCCAGGGAGAAGATCCCACGACCTTTTCCGCAATTCGTGACATCTTGCTTCCCACTGCCTCCTCGGCAGTCTCACGGGGAACAACCACAACGACAACGACAACACCAACAACAACAGCCCAGGGTAACTGGATAACCCTGCACCTCACCGCGCAATGCCAAGCGGCCCTCTACTCCCTCCGCATCCTCGCCCAGATCCTCCCCCTCGTCCTGCAAGCCGCCGCTCCGCCAGCGGAACCGCTCGCAGCCACCTTGCACTCCCTGCAGCGCCTCCTCGCCCGCCTGCCGTCCCTGTCGGAATACCCCGCTGCATCAGGAACGCTGGCCCTCGTCACCGACCTGCGCGACCATCCGGACCGGCATCTCCCCCGCGTGGCGTCCGTGCTGGGCCTCCAGCCGTCAGATATAATCCCGCGGACCAGGAACGAGGAGAAACGCCATAAAAAGCAGCAGTCGAGGAAGAGACGTAAGGAGCAGGAAGAGGCGGCGAGGCAGGAGGACCGGATTGGTTCCGCCTCTAAGAAAGTGTACACAAATCCGTTTGACGTGCTGGGGGACCAGTAAGCGAGAGGAATGCGATGCAGAGTACGGTTGGACAGCGCTCGTCGCTGGTCCCTTGCTAGCCACCCTGAGCCGCTGCTTGTATAGAATCCCTTTTCAAGTATTCCTATCACTTCGAACGCCGTCCTTGTTACAGGGGCTATTCCATCTCAGGAGGGGAATGCCCAATTCCAACCAGTCGGATGTTAAAAGAGTCCAACAAACCCAGACGCTTCTTTTGCGTCAGTCCCGGCATGGTAACTCCCCCCAAGTTTCCTCCCGTATCGTATCCTTGGTCATTGAATCCCAATCCCCCAAAAAATAGCAGACCATCCAGATATACTCCAGTCCCGCCTTTACCACCTTGAAAGATTACCTTGCCAAAGAAAGCACCACCACGTAGACTCGTTAAATGCCACTCCAATGCCTGCTTTACCCAGGGTGGATATTCCTATCCAAGGTCCGACCTCTCGAGAGCTCGCGTCTAATACCCCTATGACCCGATCTCGGTGTCAAGACGCCATCGGCCCTCAGTTTCGCCTTGGCTTCCTTCCTGAGCCGTACAGCCGTCCGCACATCGACCCTCTCCCAGCCATGCTCCTGGCTCGCGACGGAGGCAGCGTCGTAGACGCCCCCGATCGCCGAAAGCCGCCGAACGCTGCCCTTCCTCGCAAGCGGTACATCTACAGGCACTGAAGGTTCATAAACCGAACTGCCACTGTCGGAAAACGTCGCGTCTTCGTCGCGCTCGTATGAGCTGTACGTGTGGCCCTTGCGCTCGATCTCTTCGTCTTCGGAATAATCATGGCAAGTGCTCGTCCCCGTCCCCGTCCACGACAGGCCACGATCGACTCCCCTGAACGTCCCGGCCATTGCAGCGCTGCGAGCGCGTCGCGGCACGGGGGGAGGAGTGGAAGAAGACCGCATCTGCTGCGAGTGCCGGGGTCCCTGATCATCACGGCTCCGGCTCTTGGTCGGAACGGTAGGGATGGCATCGAAGAGTCCCGGAAGCTGAAGACCCCCCATCCCGTACCATGTGTCGCGGAACAACAGGGGCCCTTCGCATTCGCCCCGCGCCCTGCCTCCTCCCGTGACAGAATCGGAGTTCACATCGCTCTCCGAGTCGAGGTAGCCGTCGATGTGGAAGGTGATCGAATTGCCAAACATAGGGGCATCCTCGGCGGCATCGACGTCGGCGACATTCAAGCGAGAGAATGGCTTTCTGGAGAGGGCGTTCACCTCGTGTGCGGTGGGCTCGAGAGCCGTGCGGTACGAGCTCCTGTCGTCTTCCGTCCTGCTGGCGCTGCTACTTCGTGACTGGCGACTGTAGCTCGTCTTTTCCGACAGGACGGGCATCATATCGATCGATGTGTCGGGCGTGTGGTGGGACTGGGGCCGTAGGAAGGGAGAGCTGATGCTCGACACGGTCGGCGTGTTGGACGGTGATACCGACCACTGATGCCGGCTGCTGGAGCGAATAGGGATCTCCATTTCTTCGTAGGTTTCGTCCAGTGCGCTGCGGCCATAGATGGAGCCTGCCAGACTCTTAGTCTTCTCAAATGGTTCTTCCCAGCCATAGCTCTGCAAATGGCCATGGCGCATTGTGTCTGTTGTCGCTAGGTGGATCAGCATGGGGTCTTGATCAGCAGCGAAACGTATGTGAAAGAGGAAGAGAGAGGGAGAAAAAAAAGAAAGAAAGAAAGAAAAGAAAAGAAGAAGAAAAGGGCGAAAAAAGCAAGCGGTTAATACGAACAAGATGCAGACGCCAGTGGGAATACTCGCCCCGTGTCAAGATGATGGCGGATTGCGGATGCGGCTAAGGGAGGGCCGCCGGGCATGTCGAGGCGTAGACTCCTCGGACGAGACAATCTCCGCGATGATGGTCTGTTTGCGGAGGATATCGTCGGCATTCCGTCGGGGTGTAGGTGTTGATCGGAAACGGCCGAGGAGGTCTTGTGCGCCGAAGATTTCACGCATAGCTCCTCGTTAAGGGAGCCTTCTGATGTCCTCAGACTCAGGGGAAGCGAGTAGTTCGTCCTGGCAAGTAAGACCGAGTCCCGTGCAAAAGATGGCAACGGTGGCGGCAGCTGGGGGCTAAAAGTCGGAGCGGGGTGATTGCGTATGTCCAAGTCAGCGTCGGCGTAGACGTAGACGTAGGCGTCGGCGTCGGCATGAGCATACGTGTCACTGTCGGCACGGGCGTCCGTAGATAACGATCCGTAACTGGTGGTCGTGCGTGGCGATCCCTTCGCCTCGGACATGGCGGATGCAACTTGATTCGGCCTGTGCATGGTCTCCGGCCTCGCGGTCTGCTTCCCCGGTAGGCGAGATGAGCTGGTGGCGTATGAGTATGAGTATGGGCTGCATGGGCCCAGCGACTGTCTCCGTCCGAGCCCGGCTGGCCCCGTCTCAGACAAACGGCGACGTATCCGCTCGCCGCAACTGGCAAGGAACTCCTGATCTGCAGCTGTCACGGGGTTCTGCGTCAAGGGGTTCAGTACGGACATGGGGTGGCCGCTCCGAGTGACTGGATGGAAGAGGTGTTTGCTGGCTCCTAAGGTACCTGCAGCTGGCTTTTGCGAGTGGGACAACGGCGACGCGGTGGAAGGCCGTTGGGCGGCGGTTGTGTACATTTCAGCATAAAAGGCTTGCACCTGAGGTGAGGTGAGGTCGACTCCATTCTCTCCAAGATTGCGGTCAGCGACATCCTCGCTGTAGTCCCTCGCACCGGCGGCCCTGACTCTGCAATGGAAGTTGAGGGGTCTGAGCTCGGACTGGGCATCGAGAAGATCCACAAAGCCATGTCCCGAGCTCACACTAGGCGTTGACGCTTTAGAGGTATTGGCGACAGAAACAGCGGACGAATGGAGGCGCAAGTGAGGCATCGAAGGGATCTGGCGGACGGATTCGGGGATAGAATATGTGGTCGAATACGTGGTCGACGCAATGGAGCCCGTTTCGGGGCTTGCCTTCCGGGCGGGCACCGGTTGTGACAGGAAAGATTCCCTCCTACTCCTTGCACGGCGGAGTTCCCTTCGCGTGTCTCCAGGGCTGGGGCCGGCTTCATGAGGAGCGGTTTGAGGGCGTTCGACGCTGAGCTCACGGAACAGGGGAACGAAGGGTGCGGGAGCTGAGTTCTCGGAGGCGTCGTCGAGGGCGAGACTCCTCTGGCTAGACTTGAGATGAGACTTCTTCAGAGTGCCAAGGCCATTGCCAGCCACGGGGTACGTCCCTAGATGAAGAGATTTATAGGTAAGAAAGGGAAGCCGGGCATCGATGGCGTAGTGAAGCTCCTGACGAGGTGTGGCGATATGGTTTTGTTTCTTACCTTTGACGGGGGCCAGCGAGGGCGCCGTCGTATTGTAGGGTCGGGACTCGGTGTTGGTAAGGGAACCCCCCAGTGATTCATCGGGCGTCCTGCGAGGGGAAAGAAAGCTCAAGAGCCCCATGATGATCTGGGACGGGGACGGCACCCAGCCATGCGGCGGCCCCTGCAACTGGAGTAGTAAGTAGAAATTTCTTGGCAGGGAGTTGTCCTGACTCCTGATGAAACCTTACAACGCAGATATCATACAAGACACAGCCGGTGGGGAAGAAGCGGAACGGACACGAGACTTGAAAGCTCAAAGGGAGTGAGACGCAGACAGGTAGATGAACAGACGAGAGAAGGAAGAAAATGAACAAGAAGCTGGGTCATAGATTGTCTTTACCAGTGCAAGTAGACAAAGACAAAGGGAGGAAGAGGGAAGACAGGCGCTTATGTGGGGTCCAGTCGTTGCAACGTAGGTGGGTGCGTCTCGGGGCAACTCGATCAGCGAGAAGCCGACAGCGAGCAACGCCTTCCGGCAATGGCAAAGGCAAAGAAACTGAAAGTATGGGCTTCTGCAGGTACACGAGATACGGTAGGACGCACTAGTAGCAGTAGTGTCATGGAGGAGGAGGAAGAGGAGGAGGAGGAGGAGGGGGAGGGGGAGGGGGAGGGCCGTGTGGTAGCTGGTAGCAGATTACCGAACGCCCCCATGGAGTACATACGGATAAAACGGGATACGATGCCCATTCCCAGCCCGGCCCTGGATCTGGGTTAGTGTACCGACGGACTGGAGGCTATGTGCATTCGTAGGGCTTGGCTCAGCTCCGCTTGCAGGACGGAAGGGGTTGCGTTGGTTGCGTCTCCACTGATGAACATGATGAACGTGATCAAGGGGTCCGAAGCGAGAGTCCAGAGCGAGAAAAGAGGCAAAAGAGGGAGATGGCCGAATGAGGTCGAAGAACAGGAAAAGGGGGCACGGACTTCGACTTGTCAGAGGCTAAAGCTGTTGGCTCAACTAGGCGACCAGCCGAAGCACGGGACATGGGGGCAATTTAGATCTCTCTGTCCATCGAGTGGAATTGTTCGTTCATCCAGGCGAACGGCAGCCCGTTTGTCGTTGTCGTTGTTGTTGTTGTTGGTTCGAGAGACAAGTTGTACGAATAGAAGGTTGAGGAATGACTGGACTGAATAATATCTGTCGGTACGTACCGACTTGCTGCAGGACCAGGCTGCCTACACGTGTAGACCCCGGCCGGCAAATGGACTCTGGGCACAGTACATTGTACAAGTAAATTCCGATACGGAGTGGACATTCATACATTCTCCAGCTCATGTCTCCTGCGAAACACACCACCGCCGTGGTAACTACTTCTCTGTACGCAGAAGTCCGTGCGACAGAGTTGGCGATGCACCGAATACGAATGCATGATCGAGAGCCACTCAATCCAACCAACTCTATTGGATCGGAACCTTTTTTTCCTCTTGTTCATCTACACGTAAGTGTACTTCTCCTGCTGGTCGCCAAGACGTCTAGAGATGCAGATCATCAACATCATATCTATCCTCCGTACGATGCCTTTGACAAAGGCAGGACGGTTCCAGCCCATGTAGACACATAATAGACGCATATACGAGCGGAATCGCGCCGTGGCACAGCATGACGGGTAGTTGTGCAGTGGGGATAGACGTGAAACCGCTCGCTCGGCACCTCACATGGCAGCCAGGTTTCGGACGCACCGGTTTACAGCAATCAACCGCGTGGACGGCCCTAGGCTGCTCATGTTCTACACAATCCATCAACATGGGACATCCAGTCTTGAGCACACGAGGACATTAGATAGCCCTGCGTTGAAAAGCCTCGTTGTCTTAGAATCTTATATCCGTACTGAGAGAGACAAGGTGCTACAGCACAAGACAGATGGTGCTGCTTAGTTAACACTCATCTGCCTCACCGTTGACCCTAGCGACCGTTAATTTCGACTAGACGGTAATTATAAAGACACCAGCGTCGCAAATCCACACACCAACTAACTAATTAGTGATGTAGCTCCACATCAGCGCCCGCAGTTGAGGCGGAATCCCTCCCCATCGTGAAGTCCAAGAAGCAAGCCGGAGACGCTTCCGGGCATCGCTCGGTCCGAACTGGTGTAACGGTTAACATCTGTCGCTCTCAACCCACTAAATGGGGTAGATCCGACAAGCCCAGGGTTCGACTCCCTGGTTCGGAATTACGACCTTTTCTTTCTTTTTGTGTATCTTTTTTTTTTCTTTTTTTCTCTTTTTGTTCTTCAGTTTCTCGTTTCCACATACTACGAAAGTATCTCGACCCGTCACAGAAAAAGGTTGAGAAGAAAAGGGGGGAAAGAAAAAAAAAGGTTCAAAAGGCTGCCAGCTGCAAAATCCTGTTCCCATTTGCAATATTCGCCAGCTGGTACGCCTTGCTCCCCTGGGGAAATATGCCGCTAGCGGCCCAAAGGTCCAGCAGGCCTTGGACGGGCTCCAGGTCCTCCTTCCCCAGCATGTCGAGCGACGCAGCCGTCAAGAGAAAGTGCGAAAAGCAGCTGTTGAGCTGCTTCTCCAAGTTGAGATGGTAAAACGGCTCGACAAAGTGGTTGTGGTAGAGGTGCGCATACACGCGGAGCATCTGCAGGAAGATGGTGCGGCTGACGTTGGCGAATTCCTCGGGGAACCCGCTGCGCCTGCCGACCCAGTCTCCCGCGTCCTGCTCCCGGTCCAAGTCCAGGTCTTCCACCAAATTGTGACGGCCGCCATTGTCAGCCGCAGCAAGATCGGCTTGCGGGTGGGAGGCCGATTGATTGGCGGTGCCGGACGCGACGGGAGGACTCGGAGGACACGGCGCGCAGGAAACCCCGGCGGGATCGGTGGGGAAGAGTCTCTCGTCGTTTGCTTTGCTGCCGATCCAGCGCTGCATGAGAGCCATGTACTCGCAGGCCGGGAGCTCGACTGGCTGGTAGCGACTGTTGAGCCAGGTGTAAGAGTGGTTGCTAAGCGCCCCGTCTATCAGTCAGGCCCCCCAAGGACGCCATGGATTGATCATAGGCATTAGGGAAGTGGGACATACGGGCCAGCGGACATCTTAGGGCAGGATATAGCGTTGCAGATGCTCGTGCCATCCTCCTCTTTCTCGTGAATCACTCGAACAAAGTTCCATAAATTCCGGTAGTTTTCAACAACTAAACCTCAGTCAGAAAAAGAAGAAAAAATAAGAAGAGAGACGAAAGAAAAGAAAGAGAAAAAAAAAGAAAAAAGGACATTGTAGAGTCGATCAAGGTCCGGCTCTGGGGACAGGATGTGGCCGAACATGGAACCTACCTTGATGTGCGATCCACTCCCCTTGTTCCACGACCTTGGGTCGCGCACTCAATGTCATTAGGTTTCCTTTGACAATCTGTCTCGAGTATGACGGGTTGAGCCACATGGGCAAGGGCTCGGGGTTCGGACTCGCCATAGTTTCCGCAAAGCAGGCAGAATGGTCGGTCGTGAAAGGACGAAGAGCGGGGTAAAAAATAGAAATGAAAAATAAAAAATAAAAAAATAGAAGGGATCAGATAATAATGAAGAGCAAGCTCTGGGATGTGTGCAAACAACAAGGAAGGAGCTACGATCTAAAACAATGGCTGGCGGGGTTGCAAAACATGCCGCTAGGTGCACAGCGACGGTTGGTCAGGAAAGCGTCGGTTGTCTCCAACATGCCCCGTACCTTGGTCTCGGTGAGGGCAGGTGAGCTTAAGGTCTGCCAAGATAACAGACTCAATAGAAAAGATATCCGGCAGCAGATGCTTGACTGCAAGAAACGGACTCCCCATGACTTGATACTACCCACGGGATTCATAAAACCTGAGCACTTCCCGTCCTTCGTCCATTCCTGTTTCTGTTCTTTCGTGAATACCTTGACAGAACTCATCAGTCCAATAACTCGGTTTCTCACTCCCAAGTCACCCAAAGTGACTTGACAAGGTAGTCAGTCCAACTGACACGTGTATAATAAATATACTCTATCCACGCCACCAATCGCTACGATGATGCTCGTACGACATATGCCCGGTCGATGCACACTCACCCTTCGACACAACTTGCTCAATCCATAGCGCCCGCGAGTGCCACGGCGCTGAACCGCAAGTCGGCCCCTTCCCTCTCCAAGAACCTCAAGGGGCCCACGGCCAAGGCATTCTGACTGAGAACGTCTTCACCCTCCTCGAGTGTCCCGCGGCGCAGGGGTCCCTTGCGTCCGCCGTCCAGCTCCCACAACGTCCCGTCCGTGCCCTTGACGAAGCAGACGTAGTGCAAGTCCACGTCGTCCGTGGCCCGCGGTGCCGACGTGTCGCCTTGCGACGCCGCCTCGCGGTGCGCCGATGCGAGGGACTCGCTGCGTTCGAGGAGCTTCGCGCGCTCGGCTGGGCCAAGAGGCAGGGCTTCGGAGATGAGCGTGTCGAGGGCAGACGGCTTCTCTGTAAGGAAGGTTAAGATGTTGTCGTTGTGCCAGACCGGCGGGCATTCAGCTTTGAAGACATGAGGAGGATAAGGAGTACTACGAGTAGTAGTGGGGGTGGGGAGAGCCAGTGGACGCAGAGGGACGACTCACGAATATATTCGCGTGCTGGGCCGTTCGCAACCGCATGCAGGAGCCCCATCAGGCCGCAGGCATTGCGGATCGTCTGCCGAAACCAGACAACGGGCTCTGCGTCGCCCCGGCCCTGGTACTCTTCTGCCAGGGCGTCTTCGGCGAGACGATGGCTTTCATACGTCGCCGACACGGGGAAGACGAGGAGTAGGGCGAGAGCGGGTCGAGGGATAAAGGCGAGCAAGTCCGGGTCGGTCAAAGAGTAGACATCGTGGATTTGCAACGCTGAAGAGAGACCTAGCTTGTGGAGGAGGGTGGTCATAAGCTCTGGGTTGGCTTCCAGGGGAATGAAAGCCTGAGAGGTCCCGGGAGCCGGGTCTGGGTTGGGAACTGTCGACATGATGTCGTAGTGACTTTTGTATGTGTGAACAGGTTGTGAGTTGTAAGTCGGAAATCGAGATGATTCTGAAAAGTAGCCCTGAGATCCAAGAGCTTTTCCTCGCAATATTGCAGCGGTGGTGCAGGAAACTGGATTGTGGACCTCAAGCCGTCCCGGAAGCTGCTATGAGTGAGTGTAGTGTATGGTACGGTGTACCTGAAGCAGCTTGCCCCGCGGTGGGGTTTTAGTCCTATGGCCTCCCCCTGCCTGTTCGGTGACGACATAGCCGATAAGCTTGTCGATAAGCTTCGTACTCCGAAAAATCCCTTATCTTATCACCGCCAAAATTTCCAGGTTCCTTTCGTCAACGGCTTGGCGCGTCAAACCCGTCTTGAACGCTTCCGTGCTAAAAGCTCTCCCCCTTCAATCATCCTGCTCAACAAAAAAAATAAAAAATTTACACAGACTTGCTGCAGCTGCTTAGCGATATATTTTTCAGGATCCTTCGTTTCTTTCTCAATCCACGGGCTTGGAGACCCCCCCCAGCCATGAGGTTGCCAGCTTGGATTGAGCCACCATGAAGCTACTCCTGCGAGCTGTTGTCTGTCGCCCGGCAGCCTGTACAAGGCCTTCGTTTCGAAATGGCTTCGCGACAAGCTCCCCCGTGCTGTTTAGTGTGTGTTTCCCTCGCGCCTTGAGAGTCACTGGGTCTGTCTATCTGTATCTGTGCGGGTGCTAACGGAATGCCACTGACCAGGCCGGACAACCCCTGGCCAACTCGGGCCCCAGAAATGCGCGAAAGAAGAAATACGAAGTCTTCAAATCCATGGTCAACACGCAGTTCAACAAGGTTGTTGACGAGATGAGCTCCTCCGATATTAGACAAGGACTGAAGGGCTTCGGGATACGAAGCGGCCATGCCCTGGCGAACGAAGTCGTCCTGTTCCGCAAGACAATAGCCCAGGCCATGGCCATGGCGGAACGAGGCAACGATAACCGGAACACCAACCCCCTGTTTTGGGCCCTTCGAAATGCCTTTATCCGCGGCGACGTCAAGGGCTTGGCCTCCGAGATTCGATATTCCTTCCAGAGCTTCATGATTCGCGCCCGCCTCACGGGCGCAGTTGGCAAAAGCCAGAAGCAGCTTGCCGATTTCCGCTATCCGATGGAGTGGTTCCCTGCGACCAGGGCCATGCAGCGGACCATCCACCTCCACGTCGGGCCGACCAACTCCGGCAAGACCTATCACGCCTTGAAAGCGCTCGAATCCGCCAACTCGGGCATCTACGGAGGGCCGCTGCGTCTGCTGGCCCAGGAGATCTACGCCCGCTTTCAAGCCAAGGGGAAGCCCTGTGCCATGGTGACGGGAGAGGAGCAACGCATCCCCCAGGACGCCGATAACTACTTCATCAGCTGTACCGTGGAGATGACGCCCTTGAACCGGGTCGTCGAAGTGGCCGTCCTTGACGAAATCCAGATGATCGGAGATCCCGATCGCGGCTGGGCCTGGACCCAAGCCCTGCTCGGTGTCATGGCCAAAGAGGTCCACCTCTGCGGCGAGGAGCGCGCCGTCAATCTGATTCAATCCGTTTGCGCCGCCATTGGGGACAAGTGTATCGTGCATCGCTACAAGCGGCTCAGTCCCCTGGAGACCATGAACGAGAGTCTAAACAACGACCTGAAAAACCTGCGCAAGGGCGACGCCGTCATTGCTTTCAGCCGTGTCAACCTCCACGGTCTGAAGAAAGCCATCGAGGAGGAAACGGGTCGCCGCTGCGCCATTGTCTACGGTTCTTTGCCGCCCGAGACGAGAGCGCAACAGGCCGCTCTTTTCAACGACCCCGATAACGACTACGACTTTTTGGTTGCGAGCGACGCCGTCGGCATGGGCTTGAATCTGGAGATCAAACGCGTCGTTTTCGAAACGGTCACCAAGTTCGACGGGACCAACGTCCGTCGCCTGACCACGTCTGAAACGAAGCAGATCGGAGGGAGAGCGGGTCGGTTCAAGACGGCCCGGGAGGCGGCGCAGGGAGACGGCTCCGCCCTCGACGTCGGCAAGGATCCGGCGGACGGCAAGATGGGCTACGTCACTACCCTCGACCAATTGGATTTAGAAGCCGTCCGGGAGGCTTTCGAGTCGGGCATCGAACCGTTGGAGGCAGCCTACATCAGCCCACCGGCGTTCATCTTAGAACGCTTTTCCGAGTACCTGCCCCCCGATGTCCCGCTCTCCTTCATGTTGCTGCGGATCCGCGAGCTGGCGAGAGTTTCGCCCATGTTTCTCGTGGAAGTCTCCCCCGACGCCCTTGCCATGGCCGATGCCATCCAAAGCTACCCGCTTACCATCCACGAGCGCCTCGCCATGATGAACGCGCCCGTCCAACTGCGGGAACCGGGCATGCCCGCCCTCGTCCAGGCCATGGCCCGCTGCCTTGCGACCCGGAAGGGAGGCGCCTTGTGCGACCTGAAAGAGGTCGACCTCGAGATGCTGGACAAGACCCTGGACGACTACGGCGGGAACGGACGCGACTACCTCCGCCACGTCGAGTCGCTGCACCACGCCATCACGCTCTACCTGTGGATGAGCTACCGGTTCGCCAACGTGTTCGTCAGCCAGAAGCTGGCCTTCCACGTGAAGGACCTCGTGCAGGCCAAGATTGAGCAGTACCTCGACACCTCCGTCTCGTTCCGCACCGACAAGCACGAGATGCTGCGCGACGTCCGGCGTAGGGAGGCCCTCAAGCGCGAGAGGGAGCAGCAGCGCATTTTCGGCAAGAGCGCCACGGCTGCGGCGGAAGCCGTTGCCGAACAGGGTCCTGGACGATGGAACGAGCCGGGTCACGAAGAGCCGTTGGTGGAGGAGGCTCGGGAATACGAGGAGCTTGATGATGGCGGCTCGGGCTCACGATGATTCCGGAAAGCGGGCGGGAGGTTTAGGAGTCTATTCGCCGGTCCATAGACTTCATTTATTCATGTATAGTACTGTATAATATGTTACCGCAGATGTGTTCGAACGAAAGCCGTATAGAGGGCGTAGGAATGGAACTGGTTGGACAACCAACGACAGGGTTTGAATGGCCCTGAATGTACCATAGTTTTACAGCGGGATCTCGCAGTTCTCTTATCATAAACATAAGTAAGGGGAACACTCACACTCATCTCAACTCCGAATATTATGAGTAGTAGTAGCTGTCATCCAAAGACAAGAATCAGTCGCGAGGTCCGTGGAACGGATACGGCGTCCATCATTCTCGCTGTGTAACTGACGTGTACATGTATTTATGCATAATCTATTAAGTTACAATCGAGTGATTCTTTAAATGAAGTATGGGAGGTGGGGCAAACTTGCTTTACACTGTGCAGGGTACATGATCTGGATAAGGTAGTCGCAGTCGTCATTCTCGGGAAGCTCTGCAACCTGGACGAAGACTATACCAACTCGTGAATTACTTCGTACACTCCAGGGTCCAACTCTCAGCCAGACTCTCGTTAATTCTACCATAACACCGAAGCTTTTCTTGCATCTCTATACCCTACCGACTTGTTGCTCTTGACCTAGACACCTAGTTTATCCGTCTCTTTCCGCCCTCCGGTCATAATTGGCGTGGACGGAAGCAGTCCAAGTCACATTGTCGCCATGGCTTCCTCATCGACCCCGGCTACGCCGCTCCTATAGTATGGGCGAACACCAACATATATTGCTATATATTGCCATGTACTGCGTATATACCTTTGGCTAACAGAATCGTTTAGCTCATGCATCGCCCACAACAACACCATCCTCAGCGAATGCACCACATCCGCCTCGTCGCAAACCTCGTCCCTCGCCTCCCTCATCCTCCCGAAGATCGAGCACTCCACGAGCCAAAAGCTCACCTACACCCACGGCACCCACCACATCCACTACATCGCCGAGTCCCCCTCCGACCACCCAGACCACCCTGCCTCGGGCGCCGGGGGGCTGACCTTCCTCGTCATCGCGGACGCCAGCCTGGGCCGCCGCATCTCGTTCGGCTTCCTCTTCGAGATCCGCCGCCGCTTCCTCGAGCTACTGCCCCCCTCCGACACGTACTTTGCCGACCTCCCCAACTACGGGGCCGCCAGCTTCAACGGCGAGCTGCGGCGCCTCATGGTCGAATACGGCACCACGTCCGGCGGGCGCGACGACGCCATCGGCAATGTGCAACGCGAGATTGACGATGTCAGGGGGATCATGACCCGCAATATTGAGGGGCTCTTGGAGCGTGGCGAGCGCATTGACCTGCTTGTTGACAAGACCGACCGTCTCGGGGGTAGTGCCCGCGAGTTCCGCGTTCGGAGCCGGGGTCTCAAGCGCAAGATGTGGTGGAAGAATGTTAAGCTTATGGCATTGCTGGCCGTCATTGTTATTCTTATCGTTGCTGTTATGGTTATTGCGATCAGAGGTTGAGCCGGCTGAGCAGGGGCTTCTTCTCCGTTTTGTCCCCCTCCTCTCTTTTGGCCAGGGCCCCGAAGGTCTTGGGGCATGTTTTGTTACGATGCCGGAAGGTGTGTTCCAACATTTCCAGTTCGGGTTTGTTCTTTTATCTTCGTATTTATTCAGTCACTACTATGCGCCGACATTTTGATTTGGGGCACTCTGGTGGAGACTTGCTGGCGAACGGGCATACGGGACACAATAGCAACTGTATCTTCCAAGCTGATATCCATAATGGTGAGGGTTCGATTCTCGAATTCCCTGGTCGCTTATCTATCTACCTGGCCTCCTGGTAGATAGTCCTGACAGGGTGTTGTTCGGTATTCCAGTGCCCAATTTCAATTCCAAGATTTCACCCCACCAGCGATGAAGTAGACACAGCTCGTGCTGCCGAAATCCACTGGATGGCCTAACACCCGAGTCCAAGTACTAAATATCATCATTCAAGGTTATCACAAACATACGACCCAATAAATGATGTGGTGATACAAACACTCGTCTAAGAATTTGCGAGAGACTTTGAAACCCCAACCTCACCAATGCGTCATCCAGTCCTAGAAGAAGACTGCAGGAATGTGAGTAGAGTAGGTAGATGAGAAACGGGACACTTCAGCCTGGTAACATGAATAACAGACGTACGTATATATGCGCAGAAGTCCAGCGACGAATTTGCTTAAACAGTCCAGACCCAAACCAGGGAGGAATATTGTTCCCTAGGCGAAATCATTAGCAGCATTGAGACATGGCATGCTACGAGCACGCGCTCACCATTGCCCGTTCTCTCACTCCCGCGGCCTCAAAGACGACCTTTCTTTGCCATCGAGCGACAGATGTGCCGGAACTATAGCTTGGGACCAGCATCGTTCCCGACACGACCCGAGTCGCGATATACGTATCCGTGAGCCACAGGGTTAAACCCTGGTGCGGTGCCCATTTCGACATGCGGTCTTCTTAACCTCTCCGTGAAGAAGACGGGATGTCGTGTTGATGCGTTGTGAACATGCTGGTCCCAGGCGGTCTGGAGATGGGGCTGGGGGACGGAGAAGGTCGCAACTGGGGGTGAGTGTGGTGTTTCCATTGGCATCGTGACTAGGTAGCTTTGATGAGGTGATGGAAGGCAGGGTTGATCATGCATAAGTAGATGCTGGTATTGTAGGTAAAGTCCGGCAGAGTAGAGATAAAATATCCTGGTATGGAGTTGTGATGCACTTCGTTAATTAGTAGTAGACGGATACCTAAGTTATGCTCCCCCAAGTTGTAGTACGCCGTGGATTCGGCAGGGTGTCGTCATGTGCTTCCGGGCCTAGCCGGGTACGTACTCCGCCGGTACTTTCTGTCATTCTGACCTACGGTAGGTACTCGGTACTCAGTCGGGGCGGATAACTTGCACCTCCTACCTTATCCATTGAGCAAGGAAACACCACAATATACCTAAGGTACATTAGGGCAAAGTAATACACGTCCGCATATGATTCTATACATATTTTTGACTAACGGACCAGACAAGCAAAGCCGTTTTGTTCCCTGCCCATGACTACCCTGAGGTATCGGCCTTCCTGGCTTTCTTCTTCCCCTTTGACTTTTGAGTCTCCTTGCCCTTCTTGATTGCGTCAACCAGACCTTCAAACTCCTTGGTCTTCTCTGCCTCTGCCGCCTCCTTGGCCTTCTCTTCCTCCCGCTCTTTCTTCTCAGCCCGTTTCAGAGCCTGCTCCTTCTCGACCTTCTCGATAAGCGCATCGCTCTCTTCCCAGAGCTTCTTGGCCAGCTCCTCGTCGTGCACGTCTTTCCGCGCAAAGTCTACCTCCCTGCACTCCTTGATCATCCTCCCGCCGGCACCCCTACCCAGGTCCTGGTCCATGGCCGCGTACAAGATGGACTGCGCGCCCTTAAGGGGGCTCTTGAGAAAAAGCCAGGGCAGCGGGTAGGCGACGAGGTAGAGGAGAAGGCCCCAGAGCGAGCCGCGCGTCAGCCAGCGGCGCATCCCGGGTGAGCGCGCGTAGCCCGGATCGACGAAGACGACGCGGGCATTCATGGGCAGCCCGTCCGGCCGCTTGTAGGCGTCTAGGTGTTTCTGGAACGCCACGCCGAAGGTCATGAGCGCCAACTTGCTCCTCTTGTACGCCGCCCCGGGCGACCAGTTCTCGGCCTCCAGGGGTTGGGACAAGGGCCCCGCGCCGATGTAGGAGGAACAGGTGGTGAAGATGACGCGGACGTCCCGGTCGAAAGGCTGGGCGCGGAGAGCCGGGCTGAGTATGGCGAGCAAGTGGAAATTGGCCAGGTAGTTGACCATCCATGTCTCCTCGACTCCGTCCTCCGTCTTGGCCTGCGGTTGCCCGGGCGTTGTAAAGGTGGCGGCGGCCAGGATGATCATGTCCAGGCGGCGGGGCGGGGAGTTGTCGATCCACTTGGTCGCGAACTGCCGGATGCTGTGCAGCGACGTGAGGTTGACTTGCTCGGCGTAGATGAGGTTGTTCTTGGTGCGTTCGCGCAGGTCGTTGATGTGGTCGACTAGGAACGGATCCGATACGGGCGCCTGGGTGAGGAGGACAAGCTGGGCGCCGCGCCGGGCCAGCTCGAAGGCCACTCTTGAACCTATTCCCGACGTGCCGCCCGTCACCATGACCACCCTCCCGTACATGTCACGTTCCGCCAGACTCGAGGCGCCGTTGAACCATATTTTGGCGAGTGTGAGGACGGCGAGAGTCGTCAACGTTTTTATGAGAAGTCCGACGTTGTCACGGACCCATTGAGGCGGGCCGTTCTCGAGGACATGGAAGGCGATTTCGAGGGGCATGGCGAGAAGCAGCAAGGGGACGCGAACAAGGCTGAGTTATGGTCGACAAGAACTTATCATCCTGACGCTGGTAAGACGGATGAAAAGATGCCTACCCCGGGGGCAGGGCGATAATTGCGTCTTTCTGTGGTTGACGAATGAAGGTTGAGCTTCTCAGGGGGAGTTTGAAATGTTTCGATGGAGCAGCTACGAAGCAGCAATTACGAAGCAGGTGCTTGAGGTACTAGGTACGTAACTGGCATGGAGCTTGCAAGCCTAAACCCCCACAACGATTGCCTTGGCGCCTTGGCGTATTAAAGGTACGTATCTAACCCATCCTCGCCCTAGGTACACGTAATATCAGGTGGTACTTGGAGCAACCATTCAAACTCCAGGTCGCCACATGAAGATCGCCTTCACATATCAGGTCAATTCTCATCCACCTCACCTGTATGAGCAATACTCGAACATATTCGCCCTACACTATCGAACAAGGAATTTCTCATTCATGGAATCGGACTTCACATAAAACAAAGACACAAACGGGTCGTTTCTCGTTCCAGCCACGGCCACGCTGCAACGTACTTCGCACATAGTAGATGGCTGACGAGTACGGCGAGGATTACGATGTTCCCCTTCAGCATAAACGGCCTTTCGGGGCAGGCATTAGACGGAAAAAGGTCGAATTTGTCAGAGCATCAGACCACGACCTGAAAACCTTGCCAGACACGAGGCCGGCCTCGTCGGGAGCCTCGGTAGCGGATATGTACTTGAGTCTGGTCCTCCCAGAAGACAAGAATGGAGAGTCGAGGGAAGGGGCCCAGCAAAAGGGGCCGTCTGAGACGCCTGTATGCACAGTCTGCAAGTTACCCCTCGAGAAGGAGAGCACGGCGGGCAAGGAACGGGACTTGGGTATTAATGCCAGGCAAAGACACGAAGCGTCCATCGCGCATCAAGTCTGCCTTGAGCATTCTCACCCTCCGTCAGCGCTGGACAGATCGCGGATGGGCCTCAACTATCTCTCGTCGTACGGCTGGGATCCGGACGCGCGGAGGGGACTGGGGCCATCCGGACAGGGTATCCAGTTCCCGCTCAAACCAAAGCCCAAGGACGACACTCTAGGGCTGGGGCTGAAGGTGCCCAAAGACTTGAGGGGTAGGATCGAGAAAAAGAAGCAGCCCGAGCGGTTGGATGCGAAGAAGAGCAGGCAAGTGGCCGAGGCCGATAGGCAAAAGGGGGAGAAGCTGAGAGAGATGTTTTACGGTAATTATGATGTGGCTAAGTATCTCGGATCAGGTTCATGACAGTTTCGCTCGGGTAGACAGAGGCTTAAGGCTGGTTATGGACCATCCCATCGTTTGCCCTCGGTGATACTTTCGGTGGGACGGTGAAGAATTCCCTCATTCACGGCTTCTTTCTCAAAATACAAACAAATTTAAGTCTGGTGCTACTAGTAATACGCAGGGAGAGGGGGAAAAACAACGACCAAAACCGAAAGTCCGCGAGACCTTCCTCTCGAAAATCTCGAACCAACTTGCCATAGAGAGACACCTAAGACAGCGAATCAAAAATGAAAAATGAAAAGGACAAAAAAAGAAAAGAAAAACATACAACACCGGGTATTCGCTGGTCGTCACCGACCCAACTACTAATCCGGCCCTCACTGGCTTATCTAGGGGAGAGCGGACGGGATCCCGAGTTTTCCAGTGGGTATGGTCGTATGTACCAGGACTCTACAATAACTGTCTTATATACCCCGAAAAAGTAGAATATAGTATATAATTCAACAAAAAAGACATACAACACCGGGTATTCGCTGGTGGTCACCCACCCAACTACTAATCCGGCCCTCATTGGCTTATCTAGGGGAGAGCGGACGGGATCCCGAGTTTTCCAATGGGTATGGTCGTATGTGGTATGCCTGTCACTTGGGACATCTTAAATAGGGGACAGATCTCGTGATGTCGACGATGTCAATGCCCTGCGGTACCGTGCCTGGGGATGGTGCAACGGCAGGCACTTTTTACCCGTTTCTAAGGTACCAGAGTTACACCTCCGAGCCGTGAACTTCGTAGGTAATTACTGAGTAATTACCTACCTTATTCCGTACAGCCCCTGGCACAAAGTATTGGAACACGCCTATGTACCATCGACCCACAAAATGTCAGGCTGAGGGCATATAGGCTTACTAGGTATCTAGTCTCAAAAATAGGTACTTATAGGAGTGTTCAAATACTTATTGCCTCCCACTCTAGGTACCTTAACTATCATAGCTCGGTACCTTAGGTAAGGTACCTTGTGGATGATACTTGATACTTCGCACTTCGTTCCACACCCACCGTTGATTGCCGCATCTTGAAACCCCGCCAATACGTACCGGTAATGCTATATCACCTACCTCACCTTACCCCATAAAGAACCGTTTCTTGCTTCCTCCTGACCACCTACCTAATTGCCTTGCTCTTTGATCCTCCGAATCGTCATCTCCTCGCCCCCTCTTCGTCCAGCTTGCTATTCAGTTCTCCGAGACGGACGGATACCCACCATTTCCCGACAGCCTCGTCCTCCTAGGCTCGTTGCACATGAGGCGGCCCTCTTGCCATCATGGGCGTCTCTGTCATCCAGGAACAACATGACGGTGAGGGACGAGGTTACACTTCGGAGGAATCCAGGAGCTCGACTGACCACTGATGAGCATAGTCATTGTCAACACCATCAAGAATATCACCCAAGGCGACGTGAGATCCTGCCCACCCCGACACGCACCCCGACCCCTTGTGCCTCTCCTCTATGCTCGAGCTACAGAGCTAGAATGGCTGCCCCAACATTGACCGCTGACCGCTGACCGCTGACCGGAAATCCCGTCTTCTACAGTGGAAAGTCTTGGTTGTCGACGAGACCTCCAAGAAGATTATAGACAATGTCGCCAGCGAAGATGACATCCTCAACCTGAATGTGGCCAGTATGTGACCCGGGGCATCTTCTGTCCCTCGTGCCACCTTTGACAACCCCCTCCGCCCTCCGTCTTGGCCGTCTCTCGAGCCGTCTTCGACCACCTAGTTCGTCGCGATCATATGTCACCGCCCTGACGCTTGTGTCGGTAGATATCGAGTTCATCGAGAAGAGGAGGGACATGAACCCTGGCATGGACGCCATTTACTTCCTGTCCCCACAACCGCACATCATCGATTGTTTGATGTCCGACTTCGATCGCCGCCGCTACAGGAAAGCCTTTCTCGTCTGGGTCTCCATACTGGACCCGAAATTGCGCCACCGCATATACCAGTCGCCTGCGGCCCAGAACACCATCGCTAGCTTCGACACTCTGGCCGTTGACTTCTTCCCTCGTGAATCGCACCTCGTTACCTTCCGGGATCCCTGGAGCTTTCCGATACTCTATCACCCCGGCTGCAATGACCTGATTCGAGATCATATGCAGACATTGGCTCAAAGGGTTTGATCGCGCACCGTCCCGCCCTCCCCCACTAGCTTCTCAACTCGTCATTGCAGTTGCTCACCACGGAGAACAGATTACTGCCGTCTGTGTCACCCTCGGCGAGTATCCCAAGGTGCGCTACTACCGACCGAAAAACCCCATCCACGAGGCCGCCGTCATGTGCTCGCATCTGGCACGATTCGTTCAGGAGGAACTCGATACCTACGCGCAGTGGAACAAGGACTTCCCCCCGCAAACCTCCCGTCCCCAGGGCACACTCGTCATCACAGACAGGTCTATGGACCTGACGGCGCCCTTCGTCCACGAGTTTACCTACCAGGCCATGGCGCATGATCTTCTCCCCATCCGGGAGGGCGAAAAGATCATGTATCGTACCGTTATCGACAAGGGCGGTCCTGCAGAAGAAGAGGTGGACTATGAACTAACCGACAAGGACAAGGTGTGGGTGGAAAACAGACACCGACATATGAAGGACACTATCGAGAAGCTCATGACCGATTTCCGAAAATTCCTTGAGGCCCATCCTCATTTCGTCGACCAGCAAGGCGGCCAAAACAGCGTGAATAGCCTGAGAGAGATGATGGGCGGGCTGAAGGAGTTTGGCGAGATGAAGGCAGCCTATTCCCTGCATATGAGCATGGCGCAGGATGCGATGAATCTCTTCGAGCGCCATAAGCTGTCGGACGTGGCCTTGGCAGAACAGAGCTTGGCTACGGGACTGGACGAGGAGAACAGGAGACCGAGGAACATCTTGGAGGAGGTTGTCAAACTGCTGGACGACGAGGCCATCAGCCCCGGGGACAGGTTGCGGCTCATCGTCCTGTATATCCTCTACCGCGGTGGCGTCGTTGCGGAGGACGTCAAACGGCTCCTGGCACACGCTCAGCTGCCGCAGGAGGATACCGAAGTAATACGCAGTCTCGAACTCCTGGGTGGTCGGGTACATCACGCGCTCAAAGAACCCCGACAACCCCAACCCTCCGTCTTCCCCAAGAACCCGAAACCAGCGCAGGTCAACGAAGAGTACGCCCTCTCCCGGTTCGAACCCGCCGTCCAATCCCTCGTCGAAGACCTCGCCAGCGGCACCCTCGACCAGACCACCTTCCCTTACGTCAAGCCGCCGATCGACCCCAACGAAGACTACCAAGCCGCCCAGCAGGGTTCCCTGCGCGCGGGCCGCCCCAACTGGGCCGCCGCCGGCCGGCGGCCCGTGGACACGAACCGCCAGCGCTTCGTCATCTTCATGGCCGGCGGCGCCACCTTCGGCGAGAGCCGCGCCTGCTACGACGTCGGCGCCGCCCGCGATAAGGACGTCTTCCTCACCACCTCCCACATGGTCCCCCCGCCGTTATTCGTCCGCCAACTGCGCGACCTGGCCCGCGACCCGCGCCGTCTGGATCTCCCCGCGCATCGCCCCAAGCCCCGTGCGCCCGACTGGGTGCATGAACGTCCCGCTCCGCCTCCCATGGCCGCCCCCTCCGGCCAGAGACCGCGCATCGTCCCGGGCGGTAGCAGTGGTGGCGGCCTCCCACCCCGCCCCGTGGCCGCCCCGCCGACGGGGCAGATGGGCAGTTTGTCGCTCGGAGACGCGCGCCCACCACCACCACCACAGCAGCAGCAGCAGCCGGGCATCGTGGCCAACAGTGGCGCGTCGTCGCAATCTCCAGCCCCGTCTCCGGCCCCTGGGCCACACAAGCTCGAGAAGAAGAAACGGAACCTCTTTGGAATGAAGAAGTCCAAGGGTTAGGGTTGCAGAAAAGGCCGCGTAGCAGGGTTCCGGGCACTTGATCGTGTTGGTGGTCCCTTACACAGTTTTGGTCTTTTTGTCTCTGTTCTCCTTTTTTGTTCTTCCAAGGCAAGCACGGCATGTTCAGCAGGTTGTTGTATAGTCGGTCGAAGCAAAAAAAAAACACCCACACATTAACTGCCCTGCTTCAAATTTCTTACCGAGCAACGGAACCCCGAGTGACGAGGAGATCGTGGGTTCCTGGTGTTGGCGTTTTTTAGTTGTTGTTGTCCCCCCTCCTTTAGCGTGGCGTCTCGGGGCGTTCAAACTGCCAGCTAGCTACTACCTAGGTCGGGTGATCACAATGGTCAAGGGAAAAAAATATACAAGTCTTACATCCCAAGGTGCCATCATCATGGAATGCCGAGACATATAAATCAAAGTGTGTATGGAAGGGAGTGATGGATTCATTGGTCTAGCTGAGGACAAGCAGGTGTTACAAGTAACTCACTCCACCATCCCATCCATTTTCTCTTGTTTTTGTTTTGTTATCTCTTGGTCTGTACTCTCCTCCCATTTCTCTTTTCTCGTACCTCAGGTCCCATGACGATGTGGCCTCTCCGAGCCTCCGAAAATATGGTGACGTCTTGATGGATAGTCGAGTAGGATGAGATGGTGCAGTCATGATAACAAGGCTGTATAAGGACTTGGAGAAGCACTAATACAAATAACTATAGCCTCGCTTCAGTCGGGGGGGGGGAGGGGGGGAGAAGCAAGACTTGCTTTGTGGTGCTGGAGATGAGAGTGTATTGGCGCCACTGAGCATGCGGCGTCCTTTGTAATCCCGAGTTTGAGTAAGGACAAGCGACAAGACACCCGAGCAGGAAAATGTTAAGGTTGATAAAGACAGGTTCATGTGGGCAGTAGGCGCGAAAATGCTGCTGACTGCATGTGGCTGGCGGTGGGGAACCAGCCCGTTCAGCTACCTTCGGGTCAAAGAAGTAGGTAGCTTACTGTCTCCGGAAGGCTTGGGCAGCGCCAGGGGGCGGCATGCCGCGGCCGTCAAATGGAAAGCCGTGGGCCTCGGGTATGGGGCCTCCAAAGGCCGGCCCACCACCTATACCGGGAGGGCCCATAAAGCCAGGCGGTGGCAGGCCCCCAAAGAAGCCGGGAGGCGGTTGCATGCCACGCGGCGGTGGAGGGACACCCATCGTGTCCGGGGGCGGGAACCCGGCAGGCGGGAAGTTCGGTCCAGGTGGGAACATTCCGGGTATAGGATGGTTGCGACTCGGGACGCCAAGGCCTCCGGGACCACCGGGACCACCGGGGCCTCCGGCCAAGCCAGGCGGCGGGCCCATGGAGCGTTGCTGGGGAGGAGGCAGTGGGCCGCCGCCTCCAGGTTGCATCCAGTTAGGATTCATCGGGTCCAGGCCGGGAGGGGGAGGTGGGCGCTGCAGGATCTGGGTGGGCTGCGGGCGAGGTTCGTGTTCCGGGAGATGATGGAAGGGTTCGTCCATGAAGCCAGGAGGGGGCGGCTGACCTCGCATCTGGCGCGGCTGAGAAATGCGGCCATTTGAAGGGAAGTCGGGTTCGCGATCGGGAATTTGCGACATGGAACCAGCTCGCTGGGGCTGTTGCTGCTGCTGCTGCTGCTGTTGATGCATGCGCAACAGCATCTGCTCGGTACGCATGGGTTCCGGCTGGGCTCTCATCAGGTTCATCAAGAACTCGGCGTTACTGAGGTTCCTGTTAGGCTTCATCTCGGTCCTTGACGAGCCTTGGCTGGACGAGTGCTGGCGCTGATTGACCAAGTCCTGCAAGAGCTGGTCCTGGCGTGACGAGGGCGGTTCCGAAGGCATCATGGGGCGCGGGGCTACGATGTCCTGGCCGGGTTGCGTTTGCGGCTGTCGGGAACGTAGATCGTCGGGGTGCTGCTCAGGAGGAGGCGGGAATTGTGGGAAGGCACCGGGCGACCTGACTGCGCTGGCTGGCGTTGCTTCCTGACCAGGAGGAATCCTGGGCAGAGATTGCGGTTCCTGGAAGGCCTGGACGGCAGGCGGCGACGATCTTGCCTGCGGGTGGGATAATTGAAGCTTCTGAAGCAACACCTGGAAGGCTTCCTTTTCGGCATCCGGGGCCTTAGCAATCGGCGGCGATGCTGTAGTCGCAGCTGAGGCAGGAGCGGGATTGTGGGCGGGCTCCGGCTGGGCACGTCGGCTGGGGTCCTCCTGAGGAGCGCTGAAGAAGGAAGTAAAGCGGGAGGATTTCCCGGCGCCGGACCTGGCGGGCTTCGGGGTGGCGTCCTTGGGGGTTTCCGCGGCCGGGGTGGCGGCATCCAAGACGGAGTTGGAGGCAAATGCCATGAAGAACTTGTCGGGCCCAGATTCGACGGCTGGAGCAGAGGCAGGGGCGAGCTGCTCGGGCTTGGGAGGAGTGACGGCCTCGGACGCGGCGGGCTTTCCTTCGGCGGCGGCGGGGGGCTTGGTCTTGCCGCCTTTCATACTCTCCATGAACTTTCTGAAGTCCTCCTCGGTATGGCCACCGGCTTTCTCTCCGGCGGGTTCGTCGAACCATTCGGGGTCACGCTCGTTCCGATGGTCACGATCCCATCGGCGCTCATAATTGCGGCCCATATGCCGGTTCTGATCACGGTCAACACGGTCACGGTCACGGTCACGATCGCGGTCTTCGAAAGTATCGGCGTCCTTGTCCCGGTCGCGCCAGCTCTTGGCGCGGTCAATCCGCTCACGGTTGGTCATGGCGGGCCTTTCGGGTTTGTCGAGTTTGTCGGGTTTGTCGCCCTCGCTCTTGAACCAAGGTTCCGACCGACCCCGGTTGAGACCGTTGCGTGGGCGAGTTTCTCCGTCATCGCCATCCTTGCCATAGTTGTCGACGGCGCGCCGAGGCCTGGCACTAGTGGCGTCATGGTCGACCTTGTCGCGCAACTTGCGATCGTTGTTGAACCTGTCGTTGACGGCACCCATGCGGCCCTGGAAACGCTCGGCACCTTCAGTACCGAAGCTCTTGCGCGGCTTAACAGTGCTCCAGCCTTCACCGTCCTGGTCAGCATCACCCCGACGTCGGAAATTGTGGTTTCTCGGGTCGCGGGTTCGGTCACTGCCTTCGGCATCGCCGTTGCGGCTACGAAAGTTGAAGCGATCGCGCGAGTCAAAGTCCTTTGATTCCTTGTCGTAGTCGAAGGATTTGTTGCGACCGCCGGCACCGGTGGAAGCGAAGGCTGTTCGGGGAGGCCCTAGAATGATATCATCCGGGTCTTGAGTGACAGGGTAAGTCAGTAGGGTGGTCCACAAAGGGGGGGGAAGTAGACGATAGATGGGAGATGAGGACATACTGGCGCCGTTACGGGACATAAAGCGGTCTAGGCCGGGACGACGGTTCGACTGGTCGCCGGAAAGACTGTCATTGTGCCTTCTGTCGGAGGTGGCCTTGTTAGGGGTGCGTACGGGTTCGGGAGGCGGTCTTGTCGCAGGGTGTCAGGTTAGCTTTCTCGTCTTAATAACGGGGGGGGAGAGAGAGACATGTCACTTTATGGCGCGCAAATGGTTATTTATGTGATTACATACCCCATCCACTCCTCAACAGGAGGTAAATTGCTTGGCTTAATACATAGCGGTGATTGACGAAGATGGAGGAGAAGCTCCGGGGAGTATCGAAGTGCCATAGTAGCAAGACGGCGCGAGTCACATCTGGGTGCTCGGCCTATGAGAGCTAGGAGGAGAGAAGCGAAGGGTTCTCGGGTAGGGGCACGGAGAACCGTACACAGCGTCGACGGTGGTTTGGCGAAGCGGAGGCAGACACGTATGTCGGAGAGCGGAGTCTGAGCGAGTCGGGACTCAATGTTCGAGAAAGCGTTGCGGTGATGGCAGAGGAGGAAACTGCGGTGAGGTTTATGAATTGGCGGTTGAAGTTAACGAATACAGAATGGCAGAATGGTGTTGTGATAAGAAGAGATGATGATTGTCGGAGATATCCAGAGACGAATAGGCGTCACAGAGACGAACTGCGAGACAGCTGGGATTGCGGTAGCGGTAGCGGCGGCGGCGGCGGCGGCGGTGGTGGTGATGGTGGTGATGGCGGTGGTGATGGCGGTGGTGATGGCGGTGGTGGTCGATTAAGCGTCGAGTTCGAGCCCAAGCGGAGCACGACGATGGGTCGAGAGAGGTGTCGGTGGAGGAAATGATAGGTCGGTAACTATGATATGGACGTAGTGGTCTTGATGGAAGATGCGAGTCAATTGTGATAGGGGCAGAGGAAAATAGATGGATGGAGGGGGGGGGTTGAGTTCGGTTAAGGTGAGGAGGGAGTGTGTGGTGATGAGAAGAAGAAGGAGAAGAATGAGGAGTCGGCGATGGCAGGTGTGTGGTGTGGTGTGGTGTGGTGGTCTCGGCCTCTGGTGGTGGATGCGGGTCAGTCAGAGTGACTTTCCCCAAAGCAATAAAACGGCTGGTGGCGGTGGGACGAGAAGTACGTGTAATTATAGGTAAGGGAGTACTTAAGGGTCTGGCAGGGTTGTCCCATTCAAAGGTGTCAAAGTATCCGTACACGTACTTCCTTACTTCCTTATTTGTATCTAGGTATCCTCTGTACTAACCATAACGGCAGCAAGCTCTATGCCCTATGCCCTCTACTAACAGAATGCGCGCCGAAAGCTTTAACAGAGTTGGGAATGAAGCAAGCCAACAAGAAACCCCTTTCTTCTATCTTCTGTCTCTTTCTTTCCAGGATACTAAGCATCATTTGGTCGGTATAAAGCGAGTACCTTGTCGTTATAGGTCTTTATATCAGATACAGTGGGTCGCCAAAAGTGAAGAGTAGATTTAACCCCACCACGCATTTATAACGCGTTTTCCACCCTTAACACTATAACCCTTATACTTTAAAAAATCACTAAAAATCGAAGATACCTTCTATAACCCCACGCGTTAAGTATTCGCCCTATAAACGGACCCTGATTACACAGGTATATTTTAATAGCCTTAGTTAAAAGGCTATAGCGTTAAAATTTAACGTGTCGCCAGGGTCGGTATAGGGGATCGTATCCCGGTATCGCGAGCAGTCTTTAGCCTATTCGAATAAACGCGCCGGCCGGCCCTAGGCTTTAGGCTAGCACGAAAAAAGGCATAGAATTCGGTCCCTTACGAACGACCCTTTTATATCCCCTGCCCAGTTACTAATAAACTACGCGCCAACCTGTTTAAAAACCACGTTATTACGGTATATCTAAGCTAAGGGCCTCCTCCACCTTCCGGCCCTACGCCGGCCGAAACTATCACCTAGTCAGGCGCGCGTACGCCTAGAGTAATGCCGACGGCACGTATCTAAGCCCCTAAGCTAGTAGCGTAGCGTTATCTTTTCAGATAAACCCACAGTCGCGCGCGGTTAAGGTAACCGTCAGAAATAATTCTTCTACTAAGGTATAGGTTAATCTACTTCTTAGTATTATACCTTAACTAACAGTATTATAGGGTAAACGACTTCTAAAGGAGGTATTCTAGCCTTATAGCCAGCCGATAAGATATTCGTAGATATTCTAGGGTGCTTTTTCGTACTATAGTCGTATATCTTTATACGACCTACCTAGGGACCCTGATTTAAAGCGCGGCGGCGTTACTAGCCGTATTATTAAGGAAACGCTTAAAAAGGCGCTTCCTACGATATACTAGCCGGATAGTATCTTTATCTAAGATAACGCCTCCACGTATATAGCTTATGTTATTTAGAATTAGATCCGGCCCTTCGCGCGCGAGAATAGGATATAATTACTGGATTAGCCTCTATATTCCCCTGACTTAAACCCTATCAAGAACCTATAAAAACTACTAAAAGAGAGGATCTGCGCGCAGTATCCGGAGCTCTCGGATATAAAGAAAAACGAGTAATCGTTGGCTTTACTCTGCCGGGCTGCTATAAAGGTATAGGAGGATTTTAACGAAAGGCTTCTACAGACCCTCGTGGACTCTATACCACGGAGGGTCACGGCTATAATCAAGGCGGGGGGGGGGGGGGGTAGTACACAAAATATTAGAACAGTATATATATACCTTTCGAATCTACTACTTCTACTCTATCTATTCTGAATTTTCCTTAATCTTTTATATATATTTCGTAAAGTTATTTATACTCGAACCTAAGGGTCTTTTTTTAGTAAGGGCGTTAACCATACTGATATAGGGACCTACTCGTCACTTTTGGCGAGGAACTATAGTATATGCCAGGCAGTCCTTGTGGTAAAAGGGAAAGCCAAGGAATATATACTACCCTAACAGTCAGCCGACTACACCTCCCCCAGGGTTTTAAAGGTTAGCTCGTATACAACGTAATATAACTGGCGAGAGACAATAGGGGACCCCTATAGGTAGTAGTACATCTATACCCATACTAATTCTTATAATATCTAAGTACCTATACGTATAGAAAATATAATTACCTTACTACTATTACCCACTATCGTTAATAATCTATATCTTCGCTATTCCTCTTAATAACCTTTTTGAAGATATCTGACGATATCGGATAAACTGAAGGGACGAAAGTCACGAAAAGCAGTGGGAAAAATAAGAAGGTAATAATGGGATTGTAGGGTAGGATCTCTGCGCGCGTATTGTGTCTTCTTAGGATCGAAAAAGGGATTGAGATTAAGGATTAAGGATTCAGAATAAAGAATAAAGAAAAGAAGAACCGAATCGAGGGAACGGGTTGATATCCTTTGTTCTTTGTAAAGGATTGATATCGTAATAATATCGTAATCTATTGTATCCTTTGTCTGACTCGTAACAGATAAACTAACTCGAAAGAGAACGGTCTAGGCTTACGGGGAAGATATCCTTTGTTCGAGTACGAAGGATATACTCGAAAGATATTAAGGATAATATTAGTAATAATATTAATATCAAAACCCCCCCGTAAGCTGGTTCTTATATAAGAAGGAGTAGCTTAAAACGAGTATATATATTATAGAGATATAGCGCAGAAACCCTAGTTAACTAACTAGGACTAATTATAAGAGGAAAAATAAAAACCTCTAGGGGAAAAATTTAAAAACCCTTGATTTCTTATAAAGGAAAAATTGGAAAACTCTTTTTATAATACTAGGAAAACCCGTAGGTAAAAACGTAGTTATAGTATCTTAGGAAAACCCGTGGGTAAAAAACCTAAGTATTTATATATAGGAAAATCCGAAGATAACAAACCTAGTTATAGACCTTAGTATTTTAATTCTTGAATTCGGGTATAAGGTGGTATATCGTAGTCAGGCAACGTATCGTCTTTATAACCTAAATTCATATAACCGCATAGCGTATTATGTAGGTCTTTAGTTAGACCTTTAGTCATTATATCGGCTATATTGAATTTAGTATTTATATAAACGACCTTTATTTTATTATTTTGAAGCTGTTGTTGGTAGTAGTGATACTGACGGTCTATATGCTTTACGCGTTTATGAAATTCAGGATTTTTACAAAGCTTCTTTGCGCTTTCGCTGTCTATTAATATAGTAGGAATCGGTATATCAATATTATTATTATTATTATTATTATTATTATTATTATTATTATTATTATTATTATTATTATTATTATTATTATTATTATATAAACCAAAATTTATATCAGTAAATAACCTAAGGTTATCTACTAGGTCTGTATATATATTGTGTATATAGATTCCTTCTTTAGAAGCTTCGGTTAAAGCCATGTATTCTGATTCTGTTGTTGATAAAGTAACGACTTTCTGTTTAGTAGAAGTCTAGCTTATTAAATTATTTACACCTATATAGCAGATGTAGCCTGACGTAGAAGTCCTGTCTTCGATTATATCTGAAAAACTAGTATCAGAATAACCGTATATATTAAGGTCTTTTTTATTAGAACAGTTATATAAAAGCCCGATATTAGGAAAAGTATGTATATAGGCCCAGACTTGATTTAACGCTATAGTATACTCTGAAGACGGATTACTTATATATCGAGCACACTTATTAACAGCGTAGGTTATATCTGGTCTTGAGTGTAGTGCTAAATATAATAAAGCACCGATTTCTTATTGGTATATTTTAATATCGGCTTTTGACGCCTGTTCTTGATTTGGTATAAGGACCTTTTTATTTATATAGGGGGTATCAACGTGTTTAAGGCTTCGTTTATTATACTTATCGAGGATCTTATTCGTATAAGGTAACTGATTTATAGAACGGGTCTTATTTGATTTATTTATAGTAATTTCGTGGCCTAAAAAGGTATGAAGTTCACCTAGTTCTTTAAGTGAAATCTTCTTCGACATTTCAGTAAATAAATACTGTATAGTTATAGTAGAAGGGCTTAGTATTACTATGTCGTCTATATGGTATAGTAGTATAGTATGGTCTGTTTTATTCTTATAAAAAGTAAATATACCGTTATCGAAATCAGAGACTAGGCAGCCGATATCGCGGAGTACTTTTACTAGGAAATTATACTAAAGCCTGGGGCTTCGTTTTAAACCGTACAAAGCTTTATTTAGTTTATAAACTAATTTATTCGTATTATTATTAGAGCCTTCTTTTTCCTCGAAGCCTGTAGGTTGTATAGTATAAATCTCGGTATCTATATCGGCGTGAACGAAAGCGTTCTTTACGTTGAACTGTCTAAAGTTCCAGCCTGGGGATACGCCTAGTATAAAAGCTAATCTATAGCTTTCGGGTCTACAGGTAGTAGAAAAGGTTTCTAAATAATCAATACCGAGTACTTGATTAAACCCTTGTATACACTAACGTGCTTTATATTTTATAGCCTCGC